CAAATAGGTTTAAGTAGAATTAAGACAATACTTACCACTTTAGTGGGTAGATTTAAACAGATAATATATTACGAAAATTAAATCACACAACAATCAGAACACTATTTAAGATTGGAAGACACGAGATAGCAGAGTGTCTCCCGTGGCAGAAAGCCGGACTTATATATCCTAGGTTCAGGAAGCTTCCAGACTTTATCCCTACTCAACATTTTACTTTGACATTTAACATCAGTGAACACAGAAGATCAATACTGTAGTTATAAACTACCTTAGATAAATCAACAGCAATGCAACGCAGCCAATAGATGTAGCTTTTAACAAGACCGTACGCACTACAAATGTACAAAAAAATAACTGTTACAAAAGTGGTCGGGGTAATGTTTCTATATGACCAAACTGTGATTGGAGAAGCCACTAGGTCAGGGGCATTAATTATCATCAAACACCTGCCACAACCATCCCTATCGAATCTAAAGATAATCTATAATCTATGTGGCCGTGATTAAACGCATATTCTCTGAACTTCATTTTACAATAAAATCTTACCATTGGTATACCCTGCACAAAATTTGTCTCCCGTCACATACGCCGTGTAGTACGGAAAAGTTTTAAGGCAGTTAATTTTATTGATAAATGGCATATCAACAACCTTCAGAATAGGAGAAGCATTTCCGTAAGCTGTTGTGAGACCCCACCCTGCAATCTAAAAGTAAACGGTCATCCAGGTAAACAAATAGTGACTGTTGATACCGACTATTATACTTTCTTGACTAATTAACTTTAGTATAATATGGCTTGTTATATTTAAAGTACTTGGAAGATTTCAGCCATTGTCTATCAAGTGTTAGGATAGCGAACTATGCACTACGTGCATTTGTTCAACACTATGTGTACGATCCAAATGTGACATAAATACGGGTCTGTTGGTCTAGTCTAGTGGTTAGTAGCCAGAGGTCGTGGTTTTGATTCTCAACCAGGACAAATAATTATGTAATGAGTATCATCATTTTGTTCTGTGTCTGGGTGTAATTTATATTATAGATAATATGTATATATTCAGAAATATATAAGTATGTTTATCAGCAGTCTGGTTACCATAGTACAGGTTCTATCTAGTTTGAGATCAAACCGGCGTGTGTAAGATGTGTGAGGTTATTATTCACCAAAGTCATCCAAAGTCTACACGCTTGATCGCCAGATTGCATGGTTATTCTCTATATTCGTATTAGAAAATAATGTAAAGTATTCTGTCAAAACATTTTGATAGTTAAACTAACCTTGCCAGTATTCCCTTGTTGCAATTGCGACCTTTCTAAGTTAATATCAAAATTTAGACACACCGGTCTGACGTACATGTTGTAGACGAATGGAGTACTCAGGATCAAAACGGCAATGTCTTCTTGAAAGTTAGTACTCTCCCCTAGGAAGAGACTTGCAATTTTTATTTGTTTTATCTGTGACATAAAATATATGTTTTGTAATGACCGACAATATGGTTATCGCCGTAGTCGTTCAGCTGGTGATCTTCTCGTTTATCTAACACACCGGTGGGCAAGGGAGAGGTTTGTACGGTAAGCTTGGACATAGCGAAGGCCTTCGATCGGGTGTGGCATAGGGCGCTTCTCTCGTAGCTCCCTTACTAAGGGCTTCCTGAGAAATAATGTAACTGGGACACCAGTTTCCTTGCAGGTAGAAGCATTAAGGTGGTTTTTGACGGTGCATGCTCCGACTTGAAGTCAGTGCAGTAAATACTGGTGTTCCGTAAGGCTGTGTTCTATCACCCACACTGTTTCTTCTGCATATCAATGATATATTACGAACTAGTGGCATCCATTGCTATGCAAATGATAGCACGGGAGATGATTTTATACAGCCGTCCCAATATTTCTCGGGAAAACGTCATCGAGAGTCGAAACGAACTTGTCTCTAAGATTGAAACTTCCTTAGGTTTTAGCTTGGGGTCGACTGAGTGTGGTCCTGATAACCCAAAAAGGACACAGGTTTACGCGTTCACCGCAAAAAAGATACCGTTTGTCTAATCGCCTCGGTTCGAGAGCATCTCCGTAACTGACTCAGGCAGTATTGCAATCCTAGGCAACAAGATTTCGAGCGAAGTCCAGTTCAGGAGGTTTAACCTTCAAGAAAAGAGCGTACTCTTTCCTAAAAGGCTGGCAACGCTCTTGTGACTCCTGAGTTGTAGGCGTTCATGGGCGGCGGCAGTCGCTTTCCATCAGGTGAACCGCCTGCTCGTTTGCCCGCTATGCCGTTATTTATCAATGTACATTGATGGCCGAGATTTTTCGTATTCCAGGTGGCGATGTCAAATTTTTGACTGAATTTAATTAAAAGTTAGTTTTATAACAAAATTTATATTCACTGCATTTGTGTTTGCTTCATGACTTTCTATTTTATCGTGCACGTAACATGCAACAAGGTATATTAAATTACTATTATAAGTTATGTTCAGTTTCTTACGTCAGATTTCTGCACACCAACGTCGCTTTTGCTGTCCCACGGACGGTAGAGTTTGCCTATGGCGACTTTATAGTTTGATGCCGGTAACAATTTGCGCACGTCACTCCAGAAACAATGGGCAGCTAAAAAAAAGATACAAAATCGAGCCCAAATCAAAATGAAAATTCTTTTTCATAAAAAGGGTTACCAAATATTGCAAATCGTCTATTTAATTTTTTATTATTTAAAATTATAGATCAAATCACGCAATAATAGATATAATATATGGTCAATGTAAATTTAATAAAACAAGTAAAAAAATAGAAAACAGATGATTTTGTGTCTGCCTATTATTATATTTATATATTATATATAGTTAAATATAATTGTGTATATTTTCAAATCTTGTCATGTTTTACGAACTAGTCGGATCATAATAGCATTTTCATAATACCATAATTGGTACTATGGAGTGGTGGATGGACTAACCAAGGTCTAGTGGAATTGTGACTCACTCAGTGAAAAGTAACAAAAGAATAATTGTTTAACTCCGGTGTTCTTCAAGTCAGTTTATTACTCAGGTTGAACCGCTTTAAATGTGTGTAAAATATGACTCTCCCACGATGGAATGGTTTGGTTCAAGTAGTACAATATAGACACTAAAGAAGCTATTGAAGCTGTTACCTGATATAACCACATTGTTGGAGACAAGAGATCCGCCACAAATCTGCTCGAAAGTGTCTATTTCTTTTCTGTAAATAGCGACGTGCCAGGAAAGCTCGCCACGCTTTTCTTCTTTCACGTCAATTATCAGTTGAAAGGCTTTAGGCGCTACTCGACCACATTCTGAAGAGAAACGGCATTCATAAAAAAACTTGGTAACGATCACTATTAATAATAATGTACCACATTCACAAAACGCCATCTAGTCCCATACTAAGCAGAGCTTGTACTATGGCTACTAGACAATAATAATAATAATAATAACTTAGCTTTTTTGGCCGCTTGAAAAAAGTACTTAAAAGTCTTTTATCAGGGGGCAACAAGGTGCGAGCCTGCAATGGTTGGGTCATGCCGGTTCTAATGTATTCCTTTGGTATACTTAGATGGACTCAGACCGAATTAGATGCCCTTGACAGGAAAGTCCGCACACTGCTGACTGCATCCCGAATGCACCACCCACGTTCATCAGTTATGAGATTGTATATCCCGCGAAAGCTTGGGGGTCGCGGTCTATTAAATATCAAGACCCTACATAATCGCGAGGTATGCAATCTCAGAGAATATTTTCTACATACCGACGTGGGAGTGCATCGCAATGTAGTTGCAGTGGATACCGGCTTCACCCCGCTCGCTCTGGCTAAAGAGAATTGGCGCAGACCTGTAGTACTTGGTGTTAATGATCGCAGGGAAGTATGGAAGGGCAAAGAGCTCCATGGTCGGTTTTATCGGGCCCTAAACGGGTCCGATATAGATTTAAAAGCATCTACGACTTGGCTACGGCATGGTGATCTCTTTGGAGAAACTGAAGGTTTTGTTTGTGCGATTATGGACGAAGTTATCATGACGAATAACTATCGGAAATATATCCTGAAAGATGGTACGGTTGACATCTGTCGGGCATGCCACCGTCCTGGCGAATCAATCAGGCATATTATTTCTGGTTGTTCTCGTCTTGCTAACGGAGAATATTTGCACAGGCACAACCAAGTAGCCAGGATCGTACACCAACAGCTTGCCCTTAAATACCATCTTGTGAATCTAGAGGTGCCATACTATAGGTATGTGCCCGACCCAGTTCTCGAGAATGGTCGGGCCACGTTGTATTGGGATCGATCTATTATCACAGACAGGACTATTGTTGCCAATAAGCCTGATATTGTGTTGATAGATCGATTAGAGCGCCGCGCAATGATTGTTGATATCGCCGTTCCTCATGACGAGAATCTCGTGAAAGTTGAAAAAGAAAAACAAATTAAATATTTGGATTTATCTCACGAGATTGTCGATATGTGGAATGTTGATTCAGTGATCATTGTTCCGATAGTCGTATCTGCTCATGGATTGATAGCCAAGAGCCTCGACCAACACCTTAAGAGGCTCACGTTGGATGGCTGGATCAAGGGTCTGATGCAGAAGGCAGTCCTCCTTGACACGGCTCGTATAGTGAGGAGGTTCCTATCTTTGGAGTCCTAACCACCGGTGTCTTGGTCCCTGTACCCGATGTCGGTGGTCTACTATTTTTTATATTTTTAAATGTATTTTTTTTATAAAGTGTATATTTAAAAATGTAAATAATATGTATATAAAGTAAATAAAGAGAATAATAATAATCTACCACATTCACACAACGCCATCTAGTCCCAAACTAAGCAGAGCTTGTACTATGGGTACTAGACAACTGATATAAATACATATATACCTTTTTTTTGTAAATACATACATATTATACATAGAAACACCCAGACCAAATCAAACATTAAATGTTCATGCACACAAACGTTTGACTTGAGCGGGAATCGAACCCGCGACCTTTGGAATAGCAGTCCGTTACACAAACCACCACGCCATCCGGTCGTCAATAACTGATATAAATACATATTTACTTTTTTTGTAAATACGGATTAAGAATACAGAGTGTCACCACCCCTATTCATCCCGTGTGTGTCGTAAGAGGCGACTAAGGGAGCAAACTACGCAGGACAACAGCACTGCAGAGAGAAGGAAAACTTGACACAAACCCTATACCAACCTGTCTGGCCAGCGTGGTATAGTAGGCCAAAACCTCCTTTCAAAGGAGAGGCCTATGTCCAGCAGTGGACTAGTAAAGGCTGTTGATGATGATGATGATGACATAGAAACACCCTGACCAAATATAACATTAAATGTTCATGGACACAAATGTTTGACTTGAGTGAACTTTGGAATAGCAGTCCTTTTACACAAACCACTATACGCCATCCAGTCGTCGAATCACTATGAATCGACGGTAATGTTTTTTTTAGGGTTTCGTACCTCAAAAGGCAAAAAAGGGACCCTTATAAGATCACTCCCTTGTCCATCTGTCCGTCTGTCCGTGTGTCACCGTCGATTTTCTCAGGAACGGGTAGACCTAGTAAGTTCAAAATTTATACCAGATACTGAGGTCTATGGTCCCTATTTGGTGTATAAAAATCAAGTTCCTGCGTCAACACGATAAAAAGATATGGGCAAATTTCGATTTTCGCGAAAACTTGTAAGTACCAAAATTTACCTTAATATTCAACTTTATTTATTTTTCAGAATTTTCTCTTTACTTATGCTGTAAGACCATTTTTTTTTTTTTTTTTTTTTTTTTTTTTTTTTTTTTTTTTTTTTTTTTTAACGTGTGGAAATCCTCCGGGGTTTGCGGCGGGGTGGTGTGTCGGACTCGGACCGACTAAAACCACACGGTGTGCCACTCTGCGCCTGTAACAGGAGGGATCCGGGAACAGCTGTTGTTAAGACATCCGGACCCCTCCTAGCGCCAGCCCGCTCCTGGTGCGGGCTCCGTCTCAATGTTTTCCTCTCTTTATAGGCGACGTCCGGCACACGCGGACGCCGCCCCCTCGCGGCTGGCCAAACTAATGCGGGTGGAGGGGAAACCCACCCCGTCCACCCGCGGCCACACTCAGGGCGGCATGAGGCTGTGGTAGGCGGGCCGGATCGGGTCCGAGTGGAGGTCGTCCTCCCGGGCCCTCTCCGCCGCCTCCTTCCGCGAGATTACTACCTCGCAGAAGGTTGCGACCGCGGTAAAACAACTGTCGCTACCGGCCATGGAGCGTACTACGGCCGGTAGCGAGAGATCCACTCCGATGACTGCAGTGAGGGCCCGGCGCTGCGCCGCCCATGCGGGGCAGACCGCCAGCGTGTGCTGGGCCGAGTCCTCACTGCAGTTGCAGTGGTGGCAGGCGGGACTCAGTTCCCTCCTAGCGACCGTGTGCAGGTACTTTCCGAAGCAACCGTGCCCGGAAAGCACCTGCGTCAGCCGGAAGGAAAAGGTCCCGTGCTGCCGCCCTGCCCACTCGGCGATGACCGGCTGGAGAGCCTCCACGGCGGCGAAGCCAGCGCGTGGAGTCTCCAGCCGGAACGACCAACGAGCCATCGTGGCTCGGCGAGCGGCTTCGCGCCACTCGCGCACATCCTCGGGCGGAGGGCGAAATCCGCTCTCCGCCCGGTAGTCAGCCACTCGCCGATAAACTTCGGCGAGCACTTCCGCCTCCAAATCCCACGGGGGAGTTCCGGCCAACGCGCACGCCACCTCCGTCGAAACGGTGCGGTAACCGCGTATGGCTCTGACCGCCATTACCCTCTGAGGGCGCCAGAGGCGTACCCTATTCTGGGCGGTCAGAGCCGCCGCCCACACCGGTGCACCGTACAGTGCCATTGACCGGACAACCCCCGTGTACAGCCGTCTTGTCGCGACGCTGGGTCCACCCATATTGGGCAAAAGTCGCCCTAGGGCAGACGCAGCGCCGACCAGCTTTGGAGCAAGCTGTCGGAAGTGCTCGTCGAAGAGCCACCTCCCGTCGAGGATCAGGCCCAGATATTTCATCTGGGCCCGAACCGGTACGAGGACCGAGTTGACCACGATTGAGGCGCCAGGGGGTGGACCACGACGGGGCCCATGGAATAACAGGGCCTCCGTCTTATCTAGGGCCACCCGTAAGCCCAGCGCCTCAATGCGCTCGACCACCAGGGAGACTCCCCCTGTGGCCAGGCGCGCCGCCTCTTGGAAGTTTGCCCCCCGGGCTGTCACGAGGGTATCGTCTGCGTAACAGATTACACCCAGCCCGGGGGGGAAATCGGCGCGAAGGGCCCAGTCGTACCCTATGTTCCACAAGAGGGGTCCAAGAACAGACCCCTGTGGAACACCGCACGACATGGGCCGACACCTCAGATTACCTTCTCGGTCCTCGTACACGACGGTACGCTCCTGTAAATAGTCTGCCACTAGCCGCCTCAGGTACTTTGGCACCCCATGATAGTGGAGTGCTTCCCTGATGCAGCTGAATGGCAGACTATTGAATGCGTTGGCGATGTCCAATGACACCGCCAACAGCACGCCGCCACAGCTCACGGCCTCTTCGGTCACGGCCCTCAGGCGCAACACGGCGTCGACTGTCGAACGCCCCGCCCGCTGTAAGACCATGCTTTAACCAAAATTGACAATTCTAGGTCAACCGGTAGTAGTATCCTATAGGTTTATGGTCGTAAACCTATATGGTAGTTTCCGTTGACCTAGAATCACTCAATTTGGCAAAAAGAAACGTCTTAGAGCACAAATGAAGGAATAATTCAAAAACGTTGAAAATTAAGATAAATTTTGAGGAATGAACTTTACAATACATCATGATCGTACATCCCTTTGAAGTCTATGATAAGTTATTTCAACCATACCTGCTTTGCATTTAGCCACGTAATTCCAGAAACCAATTGCACACTTCATTTTTGGGAGACTTTCGGAGGAGTAGTAGGAAGGAGTGTTGCAGATAGGACTGACTAGCGTGCCTGGAGGCACATAGTTGCCACAGACGTTGAGCCCTATTCCTGGCACGTGGCACATGTAGAGGACACTAGGTTCAGGATCCAGTTTGCAGAAACCTAAAAATATGGCAAAAGTAATTCAAGAGTGGAAAAGCCATGCTTTTGCACATAATTATGGACCAGCTTAAGCGCAGAAAACCGAAGTTAAGCAATTCTTTCGTTGCTTTCCACTGAGTGACTGAAGTTACTGAAAATCCCTCTTCCCCTTCCTAACCATGAGGGCACTTAAAGGACAGTAGCACAGTTGTTTCTCTTGAGCTGCAGATGTCCATAGGCGGCAGCAGTCACTGATGGTAAGTACGGTGACCCGTTTGCTCGTTTGTCCCATTAAACCTGTAAATACAATGTGTTAAAAAGGTTTAGTCTTAATTTAGTATTGTAATGTAAAGCTACTGAATGTTATGATAGAGTAAAATCTTCGAAAATTTTGTTGTGTTTATTAATTTAAGTTCTCGAGTTGGCGACCGCGTACCGAAAGATGGAGCGTAGCTGGGCCACCCACCAGGTGGTCCAACGACGTAGTTAAGGTCACGGGAAGCCGTTGGATGGGGGCAGCACAAGACTGTTTGTTGTGGTGATCTTTAGGGGAGGTCTATGTTCAGCAGTAAACGTCTTAGTAAACGTCTTTTGGCTGAGATGATGATGATGGTGATGAATTCAAAATACTCACGGACGCATTGAGGCATATTCTGATACCATATTCCATTTACGCAGTATATTTCTGTACTGTTTGAATTAGGTCTATACTTGTTCACTACTCCGTATCCTAGCTTACAGTGGACTGTCAGTACCACAGCATCGAAGAATTGACCAGGGCGGGCTTGAGAGTTGTTTAAAACTTTATATGTTCCATGGTTAGGATACGCTGGCAGAACACAAGCGTTAGTTCTTTTTGCTCTGAAATCACGAGTTGCCAGTATGTTTAATAAATTCTTTTTAAAAGGTTTTCCTCTAGGATTTCTCTAGGATCCCATCACAAGGATCTGATTTGGTGGAGGATCTGACCTTTCGATTACAAAAAGAATTTTGCAAATCAGTCCACAATTGACGGAAATACCGCGTAACAAACATAAAAAAATAATTACCGACGAATTGATAACCTCCTCACTTGTGTTTTTGAAGTCGGTTAAAAACTAAAAAATAACTACTTAATTCCATAGATCTATTCTATTAATAGAAAGACTAAAATAATATACTTAAATGAAGAAAAGATAATTTCTAACTTATTTTATTTTCCCTTACGAAGGATTTTTCATCTGTGAGTCACGTGATTGGCAGCACCAATCAGAAAATGTGTCATAATCGTACAATTTTGACAGCTCAAGCAGCTCTTTAGTTGGCGCGAAAAGATAAATAATAATTTGGTGTAAATATGTGATTTCAACGTTTGACAAACTATTCAAGTTGTTCCTTCACTATGTTTTTTTAATACTAAAAATGTTAAACTTTACACTTACAAAAATGCTCATACAAAATTTAACGTACTCTGGAACGATGACGTCATACGTAGTCACGTGACCATAATGCTGCGTTTTCATGGCCTTTTTATTAGGAAAAAATATATAGGTATGTTTATTTAAATTCAATAATAAATTAAATATTACTTAAGGGTTATTATTTTAAACACATAAAACATTTAAAACTATTTTTGAAAAGTTGTAAACTTCCAGATTGTAGCAAGCGATGGTACTGTTTCTTTCTTTTCTTTTTTCTTTTTTGAAAAAGACAACTCCCGCATTAGGAATATATCCTGTGTCGCGGGGGACTTTACAAACATACATGAAACGGACACAAAGAACACCCAGACTCAGAACAACAATTTGTGGATCACACAAAGTGTCGTCCCATGTGGGATTTGAACCCACAACACTCGGCGCAGTAGAAAGCGGCGTGGCGACCGCTTAAACCACTGCGCCATCCGTGCAGTCAATACCTGTAATACAATAACTGTAATAGTTATGTTCTCGGAATTGATCTAGTATTAGCGAGTTCAAACCCCAAACATTGTTATGGTATGGTATAACACGTAATTTCTGTCTCCCACGGTCTGCGTTAAACCATGTTTTACAACTCACTGTAAATTGTGCGTTTTGTTGTTGATGTGTAGTAAATCCCTGAACAATTTGAATCAATAGAAAAAAAACTACAGTCATCTACCTTCTATTTGCTAACGTACAGAAAGCCTCGTCACTAGAGTCAGGACAGTGGCGAATTCCATCACACAAGTGTTCCATGCCTATACAACCTGTCCCGTTCTGACATCTTAACTGACTGAAACTGGAAGAAAGAAATAATTGACTTTTTAAAAAGATACGGAAACCTTGACACATCCCTATACCAACCCGTCTGGCCAGCGTGGTATAGTAAGCTAAAACCTCCTTTCTAAGGACAGGCAATGTCCAGCAGTGGCTATTAAAAGCTGTTAATGAAATAGTGGGAGGGTATACTATATTCACCTTTATTTTTTAACAAGAGTCAGAGACTAATATAAATACCCTAAATAGTGCCAGGGAATTTTACTAATCAATATTTGTTACCTGCAGGGAAATAATCCATTTTCCAGTTGACTTGTAATCGCTGTAGTTGTAACTGAAATAAGTAATATAATTAACTATACAAGTGTATTTTCATATAGAAAAAATGTGTATCACGTCATAATATAGCTATTTCCTAAAAAACGATTTAATTAATAGTATGTTTTAATTTAATTAAAATGAATACATCTAGAGAGATTGTCTGTCAATTTACTTTAGATGGGTTTATTTAACTAACCAGTATAACTTGCCCTGTATTAAAAAAATGAGTTCTGCATATAAACATTATGTATTCTAAATATACTTGTTTATACATATTTGTTTAAAAATGAGTACAAAGAGTTATTAAAAAAAACAATCAAGAAGAAAGCTTAAAAAAAAACAAAGGATCCCGCCATTGTTTTTACACCAAAAAGGAATCGCATGATTTGCGCAAAACCGAAGATATGTCGATAGAAAGAAATTGTGGCGATTTCTGCATACAATTAAACAAAAACATATTGCAGTGCCATCTGACGATGAGACATAGCACCACGGAGTAACTGTTAATACTATATCGAGATGCGAAAAGTTTCACGCTGATTACCCTGTATACAAATTCTCAATATTAACATAATCATATTGATTAGTCGGAGGATAGTCGCTTTGTATTGGAGGTACATGACACATGAGGTACCTTTCTTTATCAAAAGCGTTCAAACATAAGAAATGTTTAGAAGAAAATCGCGTTGGAATATAACTTGAATCATTCTCAGACTGAAATTGAGGTGATTTTCAATGCTTCTTGCTTTGCTTTGCTTTCTTTCGTACATATAGATACTATGTACTTAGGTACTATAATATATTATCTTTGTCAACATTATCCTAATCTATACTAATATTATAAAGTTGAAGAGTTTGTTTGTTGGGTCAACGCGCAAATCCCAGGAACTACGCTCTGGTTCGAATTGAAAACATGGTTTAATGTAGGATACCCCATTTATCAAGGAAAGCTATAGGTTATATTAAAATATCACACTACGACTAGTTAATTAAATATTAAAAGAGCATTAATAAAAAACGTTGGAAAATTTATTCCTCTTGAGAGATGCAGAGGAAATTGCGCAGGTCGGCTAAATTAAGCTCGAAAGCAGACGAAGTCTTTACCAAAATTCTATACATTTCCGCTAAACTTAGTGAGGATAAAACAAGTTACCAATGAGTGGATTATTTTACCGTAAGTGATTTCCACGAAGGAGGATAATGTACCTAAACTATTTATACCTAAGTGTTATTTTCGTTTATTCGAAATCATCATCATCAACAGCCCTTAATGGTCCACAGCTGGACATAAGCCTCTCCTTAGAAAGCAGGTTTATTCGAAATAAGACTTGTTTTTGTTGTAAATCGCTATGGTAATCAATGTACAAAAATATTTTAACCAGGAAGTCAAATCAACAATAACTTCGAAGTATATCTTACCATAACAGCAGTTTCTTTCATCATAAATTTAAATTAGTTGTTTTAGGTTAGAGGACACTGACTAAGGTAATAATTGGGCCTGGCTTGCGGCTTCTCCAGGGATAGGGCCTGCACAGGCATGGCGTTGATTCGGGGGGGACCTATAAGTCACATGATCTGGGTCCTACTCAGTGTAAAGCTTCTTAGGCCAACCATCTAGGTGGTTTTTAGTGGAAACACTCCTGGCTGTACTTTGCCGCCCTGGCATCTTCCGAGAGCGAGAGATTTAGAGGGATTGTTCACCCGGTCCCGAAAAAAAATGAGGGTTCTGACTGATGACCTGATCCTGCTCGCGCTGTTGTTTCAATTCCTCAAATAAATGTGGGCTTTTGCATACACGTCTGTCCACCTGCCTGTGTGTTTTTGTTTTTTACGTTTTCATACCCAAACTACTTGTTAAATCATGGAGTTTTGTATATACGTTATCAGGGTTTTAACCGTCATCTTCTTACCCTTTTTTCAAATTTATATGAGGTTCGTGCTATGAGCTTTCTTCTTCCATTCTCCTCTAAAACTTGTCAGTTCACTACCTATTTCATTTAATCAATCAAAACTTCATTTTGCATTTTAATTTAACTTGCTCTCTTTCTAGTTCCTCTTTCACGCATTCTATCCATTTTTTTTTTTTTTTTACAAAAAAGACAACTCCCGCATTAGGAATAAATCCTGTGTCGCGGGGGACTTTACAAACATACATGAAACGGACACAAAGAACACTCAGACTCAGAACAACAATTTGTGGATCACACAAAGTGTCGTCCCATGTGGGGTTTGAACCCACAACACTCTTTCGGTTTCGGTTTTCAGCAAATCATGCGATTCCTTTTTGGTGTAAAAACAATGGCGGGATCCTTTGTTTTATTTTTATCTTTCTTCTTGATTGTTTTTTTTTAATTTCTTCTCTGGTCGTTCTCTACTCTCATATTCTTCAACTTCCATACATAAAACTTTCTTCAATATATTTGGTTTATCTCTACTCATCACATGTCCATACCAGGACCACCTATTGCTTCTCAATTTTTCATCCACTGGTACTATTGTCATCTAATGTAGTGATTACTAACATTATCAATCCTTGTCACACCATACATCCATCTTAATATTCGCATTTCAGTTATATGCAGGGTTCAGGATATCAGGATTATACAAATGGGTATTAAAATAATATTTAGACAGCCTCGTTGTCAATTTTGACCATACATTCGACCATAACAGTGTCGGAACTAATGCAGGTATAAATTAGTCCATAAATTAGTACGAAATACCACATATTTAAACTCTTTTAATTACTCTAGACCAAACATTATTTTCAAATAAAAATCGAACTGTTGAGTACAAAACAGTTTATTTAATGACTATTAAACTTCTAATATATTTATATTAAAATAAAATAGGCTTTATTTAATATCATTTGTATGACACAAATGTGATAATTCAACATAAAACACGTCAGATTATCATCAATACATTTGAGCGCGTGAGCTTGGAGGTCATTTGAGAAAAACTGGTTTCTGGCAGCAGAAAACTATATATGTATGTATTATTAATAAAAAGACAGCCGATTTCATAGATGAAAATACACATACAAATGCTTTTATCTCATCATCGACAGCCTTTACTAGTCAACTGCTGGACATAGGCCTCTTCTTAGAAAGGAGGTTTTGGCCTACTACACCACGCTGGCCAGACGGGTTGGTATAGGGTTTGTTTCAAGTTTTCCTTCTCTCTTCAGTGCTGTTGTCCTGCGTAGTTTGCTCCCTTAGTCGGCTCTTACGACACCCACGGGATGAATAGGGGTGGTGACACTGTATTCTTAATCCGTCACCACACGGACTTTTATCTCCGAAGGGGTAAAAATAAGGAAAAAGGTGTATTTATTTGACAGAATTAGAAATGAATATGTTTGGTTTCCTATTATATTCTATAATTTTTATTGTATAAATATTTTTTGTACATAATTTTATATTACCATAATCTTATTTTAACAATTAAATTTAATGTACGAAATATGTTTGTTGTTAAAACCAATCTGTGTGGTCATTAAAAATACGGAGTGTCACCACCCCTATTCAACCCGTGGGTGTCGGAAGAGCCGACTAAGGGAGCAAACTACGCTAGAAAACAGCAGTGCAAAGAGAAGGAAAACTTGACACAAACCCTATACCAACCCGTCTGGTGGCATAGTAGGTCAAAACCTCCTTTCTAAAGGGGGCCCCTCTTTAGAAAGGAGGTTTTATCGCCAGTAGTGGACTTATTAAAGGCGGTTGATGATGAGCAGATGGGTTCCATGATGGTAAGTGACTACCGCCACCCATGGACACTCGCAATTCCAGAGTGACAAGTGCGTTTCTATCGTGAGGCAAGAGTATACTCTGCTTAAGATTTTAAGTTCAAGATTTGAAAGTGTTAAGGTGGCGAAACTGGTGTTATGTCTCTCTGACACGAAGGGAGGATCCAGCGACCAATGCAGGTGTTCATTACCTGGCGGATTGCGGGGGAGTTGAATATCTAGCAATCGGTGCGAGAATTTTCATTGCGCAACTTAGGTTTAGTAGTTTCTCTGTAGTTCGATGTGTCTTCGTTAGATGGCATCGGAATATATGTTTCTTCATCGCAGTAGAAAAACTAAAAATTGTTCCACAGGTTGGTTTTTTGAGATCACTTTTTTTACGAAAAGCTGACAGAAGTAGATTAATAAATATCCACGTGATGGGGATGGAGATTTTATTAAGTTCTCTTTCTGAATCTGTAATTATATTATATTTTACTCATCCTGCACTTTAGTTGCATTGGCGTACTTAATGCCTTAGGCATTCTCTGCGAGTCAACCATTGGGTTATGCAGAGAAAGCAGGAAGTAGGTGCCTTTTAGTTGGAGTTAGTTTTGTAATAATATCAAATACACATACATAAACCTATTAAACACTAGCACACTTTATGCACAAATGTGACAAAGGCGGACTTTATGCCGTAGGCATTTTCTCCTAGTCAACCATAGGGCGATGCGGAGATAAAACATGATGGATGCACAAAATAAATTAAAAATGTGATTTTATGAAAAATATAGCATATATAGGATATCATATACCCAGAGTACTTATATTATTTCGTGTTCATTACGGTGTTCGTTGTGATTAGCGTAGTGAGCAGACGTGTCTAAGTATTGCAATAAAACAAAATAAACAAGTGCTAATATAAATTAAACCTAACATCACTGGAAGTACAGTATAATTTTGAATAATAGTGAGTGCCCGGCGTTATTCAATCATAGTGTGTAGTGTGTTCATCACTAGGTAGCGCACATGTTACACAAGCGGAGCGGAAAGCGGATCGGGTAATATTTTTAAAAATTTATAATTAATATCAAATACACTTAACATGAGTGTCTTAAGGTCGCCTAGTGAGACCATTAGAACCAGTAGTTCTCAACCAGATTTGTTAAATTTCGGGATCGCTGAACCGGAATCAATGAAAAAGTCAATACGGAAACGAAAAACTCGTGACGATGATTTCTCACAACAATTTAGTGAATTTAAAAATGAAATTCTTGGCATGTTTAAAGAATTTAAAATGTTCCAGATATGTAATTTTACAGCTACAAGACAAGATTTATCTTCTGTAAAGCATCAATTGGACGACATTAAAACCACAACAGAGAGGCTGACTGCCGAGAATATTATGTTTGACACTTTTTGTGTCAAACATAATATTCTCGGTTGTGTAGCAAGTCTTACGAGTACTGTTAACTAAACTCAGGCAAAAGTGAAGTCCCTGGAGAGTGACGTCTGCAATACAGTGTACATTTTCGGCATTAGTAGAAAACCTGGGATCAATAACTACTTATGATAAAATAATAGCAGAAGTAAAAGAGCGCACTGAACTTAGCAAAAATGTAATAATCACTGGTATCGTTGAACCGCTCTTCGACAACACCGAACAAAGAAGAGAAAAAGATAAGAATGAGGTGAAAAGTATAATATCAGCCATCTACCCAAACTGTCCTGACCCGGAAGAAATTGTTTCGATATGATTACTTAACACCCACTGTAAAATATTATAAAGAAACAGGTATAATGAACCTTGCTCAAACACATAAATACAATACCATCATATTTATTAGAAAAATCTTGACAAAAGACATTCAGTCACAGTTAACATTTACAAAAAAGACAGACAGCCACAAGCGTTTAACTAGGCGAGCCAATAACATCTGTCTGCGAATGGCTAGGACAAATTACGGCAAAAAGAGTATTTTATATGAAGGGGCACAAAGCTACAATAAATTACCTTAAGATATAACAGAAGCTAAAACATTAAACACATTTAAACAGTTATTAAAAGGGGCCACATTTTAAGGGATGTTTCACTAATAAGATCATGAAAGTACTATTGTTAAAATTTAATGTGATAATACTATTACTAATGAACTATATTTACTATCTAAACTATATACATACTTAAATACGAAACAATTATACAAAATATAATTCCTATACTAATACATATTCACACTATTAATACATTTTTTTTTTTATTGTGGATTGGAAATATTATGTATAGAACACTACATATAATATTCTGTGATGCAATTTACAACGCTTCTATGTTAAGTCTAAATATATATAATAGCACTACACTCCGTTTATTTAATTATATAACATACTATTTACTTATAAAACATATTATATTGCTGATGTCACTATAATAATAAATAAAATGTTTGACATCAATCTACAGGTACGTGTCACTAAGTCATAGGCCTTATCAAACATACATTGTTTTGTCCTCCAACATTCTTGAACTCACAGCTTTATAGAAAGTATTTCATCTACCCGACTCATAAAAATCTTTTCACAACTACCTTACTAACTAACTACGCTAATTAGGTAATAGATTTTTGTTTAGTACCACTCTGTCAAGAACGTACCGGGAAAAGATCAATAATACACAAAATGTTTGTTATTCATCCAAATTTATTTTATAACCTTCACAGTATGCTCCTTCAGAAACGATACACTTACGCCAACGAATAACCCAATCATTAAAACATTTTTTAAACGCTGTTTCCAGAATTGAGTTCAGTTCTCGCCGCGAATTCTCCTTTATGTCTTCTACCGATTGAAAACGGGTGCCACGAAGTGGTAATTTGAGTTTAGGAAAAAGAAAGAAGACGGCTGGAGCCATATCTGATGAATATGGTGGTTGCTCGATGGTATTTGTTGAGTGTTTGGTCAAAACTTCGTTCACAATGATGGCCTTGTGCGAAGGCGCATTATCGTGGTGCAAAATCCAAGAATTTTCTTCCCACAAATCTGCCTTTTTCGTCGAATTTGCTCTCTAAGTGCCGCATGACGCTCAAATAATATTCTTTATTTACCGTTTGACCTTCCGGCAAGAATTCCGAGTGCACAACACCGCGATAGTCAAAGAAAACAGTCAACATGACTTTGACTTTTAATCGACTTTGACGTGGGTTTTTTGGTTTCGGTTCAGTTGGAAGGCGCCACTCCGAAGCTTGTTAACTAGTTTGTATGTCAAACACGTAAGAAAAGAGTAGAGAATATAGGGTAGTTAATTCCCGTGTCTCTCTGCGTTGGCGAATTGGAAGCCACTCCAAAAGGGAGCGATGCTGAGACACGTGATCATATTTGCGTAAATTGAAAATGAATCAAATGCAATTTTTGAGAAGGCGCTCAAGTTTATTGAGTAGTAGTGAGTCTGCATTCAGGTTAAAGTAGCACACATCACCATAGTCGATTATAGGAAATGTTAGAGTCTGAACAAGCATTATCTTAGTTTTCACTTGCAGAAAATTCTTAAGCCTATTGAGGGCCCGCAGCGAACCTGTACTTATACACATTTTACATAAAAATATATCACACATAACATCAAGAGCCTTTAATAGTCTACTGCTGGACATAGGCCTCTCTTTTTAAAAACATGTAATATACCTAAATAAATTCTTAAATACCTATAACTAAATACGTATTTACTCAAGTACTCAATTACTAAAGACCCAACGACTTATGATGCCATTCTATAAAAAAATATGCCATTCCATATAATAATCTCTTTAATTAAGGCCACACTACATTTTCGATCCAATCTATATAATATTTGATTTCCGTAACTATCGTTTGATTGCCGTTGACGTTGCAGTCGACTGGATGTGAGAACAATCCAAGCAACAGAAATGGACATTGTCCGTTGTTCTGTGATTGCACGGCATCCATGATGCTTCCCTGGGGAACACCAACAGATATATAAAATGTTTTAATTAAAAAGCAATATGTAGCGTAGGTATTGACTAGTGATTAATCAGTTTTGGTTTCATTACCAATCCTTAATTGATTGCTATATAACGTAGGACTTGCAAGCGAGTCGTTGTGAAGTCGAACGCCACCCAGTATACTATTAGCGTGATGCACTTCTAACACAGTAATTTAACGGAATACTGTTGGTAAGTGAACACCGCCGCCCATGGTAGGTGAATGCTGCCCTCAACCTTCCATTCAAGAGTCCCAAGCACGTCGTCGCCCTTTGACACCTCCCCCCCCCCCCCTCCCCCCCAAATCTGGGCAAGGGGTTGTTTGGGTTCTAATAACCTCACTCACTTGGTAAAAAGAAACGAAAGAATGGTTCAAAACCCGTTTTCTGTGAGGTCATGGTATCACTCCAGTCGAGCTAGCTTATTTGTGCTGAAGATGACTCTCCCACGCCTAAAAGAAATAAGCTATTAGTCGGTCTAGGTCTTTAAAGTTTATCTTACCTGATTAGGTTTTTGCATGGGTACTTGTGGTGGGTTTTGACTTGAGTATTTTCCTTCAAACCTGACCTTGAGTACCTGTATAAATGTCGTCAATGTTATTTGTAATAATAATTGAAAGTTCTTTAGAAATGATGATTATAGAATCAAAATTATTGATAACTTTTACAGACTAGCTTTTGCACTCTTTAATGCAGATTCTTTAATAACCCTCTGACTGCTTATATCCAACTTCTATAATCGTGTGACGATACATAAAGAGTCAAAGCGTAACAAACAGAGAAGCATACTTTCACGTTTAAAACGGGATCTGAAATTTGCAAATTCTTTTTTCGATATTCCTACGTAAAAAAAAAACCTATGTATTCCTATCAAAACAAATTGGCACTCGGAAGCATATTATATTTACAATAATTAATGTTTATATGTAGGAGAAGAACAGAAAACTAAATATTATTACATATTTTCATACTTCCATATTTATATTATAAACGTAATATTATAAGGTTTAAAGTAATTTTTCGTAATAAAATGAAGGAGTGTATGAAAGAGGCTGTCTAGTGATAAGGGAGAATGAAAGATGAAAACTCATTGCTCGGACCCCAAATCTATTTGAAAAAAGGGTAGGATGATGACGACGTACTGTAGCAAAAATAATTCTTTAACGAGTACCAACCTGTCTCCAGATATAAAAATAAAATTGTCTGTATAAGAATAATCAGTTTTCCATTCAGTCTAGATACTTACAGATTGAAGAATGTCATGTCTGAGTATAGGGTCAACTAAGACTCCAAAGCCGGGAAGGTACTCGTAATCCACCGTTTTTTCTTCTCCATGGATACACGCTGGTAGAACTGAAGAGCTGAATGCGATTCTAAGACAGACAAAATGTGTCAAAGTACCATTAAACATAACATTACATTAAACTTAAGTTCAAACTTAAGTTTCAGTATTAACAAAAACACAGAACAAAGGATCGTGTTCATCACACAAAGTATTTGTCTAGGGTGGGAATCGAACTCACGACCACTGGCTTAGCAGTCAGGATCACTATCTACTAGACCAACAGGCCTATCAGGTTAATACAGACTACCAGACAACCAAAAGAAAAAATGAGTGGACAGAATCAAAGAAGACATGGCTAGAAGGGGTGTCAATCGTGACACCAAAAGTCAGAAAGTAGAATGGAAAATGTATAAATGGAATGGAAAGGCAACTTCTGCTGTAGCCTTCCCCACTTACGGTCTATCAGTTTCCACCAGACCTATGTTGTGGTAACCAAGCGATGGATTGTAGTTTGAGCGGACGATGGATCTCTTCACGTTGTACCGCTGCCAATTACCATATGGATCTGCACGCCTTAGTACACCCAGGGCGATATATTTTACCGGACCTCTGAGGATTGGAGAACAGATATTTTTGTATTTAGGAATTGTTAGAACTAGTTTTAAACAAAATTAATCGTGGAAATTCATCAAAATATAGCTATAGAGTTTGCAAAAGAATGTAATCATCATCATTATCATCTCAGCCGAAAGACGTCCACTGCTGGACATAGGCCTCCCCGAAGGCTCTCCACAACTACCGGTTCTGTGCTCTCCGCATCCAACGGCATCCCGCAATCTTTAGCAGGTCCTTGGACCACCTTGTAGGGGGCCTACCAACGCTCTGTCGTTCCGTACGTGGTCGCCACTCTGAAAGTTTTGGCCCCATCAGCCATATTTTCTGCGAGCAATGCAGATCTCATCCCTGATTCGATCACGCAGAGAAACTCCGAGCATTGCCCTCTCCATTGCAATTTGGGTTACTTTGAACGTCCTTATAATACAAAAGAATGTTATTATGTAATGCAATATTTGTAAGTGTAAATACACTTACCTACATTCGTACATATATGTTTGTGCACCCAATGTCATAAAAAAATCTATCACAATAATTAACTTATGTATACATAAGGACTTACAGTTCAGGATAGAACAAGCAATGCGCTGAAGTAAGAATGAATCTTTCACTGATGATTGACCCGCCACACTCCCAACTTGCTGTGTCTATCGTTTCACCGTATCCTAGTGATGCCTGAAAAGTTTTGTAAAATTATCCAGGGCTCTGACGGTATAGCCGTTCAAAAATAGAAGAAGAAAAAAGACTTCACTAGAGCTTGGATTTCCTTGCAATCGTTTGTGTAACAACGACAGAAAAATGCAGAATTTTGTGCCATCACATGTTCTTTCTACAGCTATGGCAACTGAATTTTTGTTTCCCAGTTTACTTGCTGTGGCCTTCGTAATAAAGAAAAACAAATTCGACACAGGTTCTTGCTGCTAATCTAACCTAATGGTCAATCATTTTATCATTGCAGGTACTATAAAAGTAAAGTAAAGTAATATTAGGATAGGCCACCATCTTACCCTTCGATCTAATTTACCAAGCCTTATTATGGCGTAGCATGCGCTAGATTGCCCAAGACGATGGTCAATCAGTAATGCGAATCTAGTGCAATCATGAATGTTGGACTATTCAAACTCATTTAATCGTAGGCCAAATGATGAATTAATTACCAGCCTATATTCCTAGATCTGTCAATGGTGTCTTTTCAGGATCATGCTCTGCATTCAGAAGACCACTTTTCATCACTTAGACATTGCCAGCCCTACAGCTATTATTCATGATACGGCGGGTATTATCATCTTAAAATTATAGATAATCTTCTCTTAGAAGAATTGAAACAGTGATCCGTCAAGATGTAGATAATCTTGTTAATATCTGAATAAGGTTCGAACTTACAACCCATTGATCTAAAGTTTAGATATTAAAGAGAGTCATAATTACTGATAATTTGTTATAATTTTAACTCCTGGGTCGCAATTGCCAGACGCTATCGAAGTCACATGTGTTGCCCCCATCTATCTCGCGATGGACCCGGCACCCGCATGGTCAATCCATGGAACGCTAAGAAATAGGTCTCTGCTCTTACCATGTGTGGAAATTCTCCTCTTGAGGCACTTCTTAGAGCTGAATTCAATTCTCCTCCGGGTTGCCTACGATTCTTGATATAGCATAATCGATGCTGATCTATCGGTTTTCCGTTTACCTGTATAGAATTATCTGTACCGCAAGTGTAGTCTAGCGTTTTCATATACTCTGTGCATTCTGAAACAAGAGTTACTTGAAGTGACACTACAGAGTCATATTAAATGGCTTGCAACTTTCCTCAAGAATTAAGCTTTTGAGACTTGTGTCATTTATTTTTTCTTTTGTTACACGGTACACCTGTTAATAATTAAAAACGCTACTTACTATCTCTTGCTTTGCTAGCGCCTGTTTTGGGCGAAATTTTCAACAGTGGGTTAAAAAATAATACCCTGGAACAAGACAATATACCTATTAATAATGTGACTAAAATAATTGAATGCACGGGTAGCGTAGTAGTTTAAACCGTCACCTCGCCACTTCCTACTGCGCTAAGAATTGCTTTTTCACACTTTTTAGGGCTCCAACAATCCGTAATGATTGAAACAGATGTTCGTATGGCAACCGGGACCTGCTTAGCATGCTCTCCGAGGCACGGAGGGGTCTAAATGTGTTATGAATAGACACCTATCCATAGACTGACCTGGCTAAGATTGCTTCACTTTACAATGTATTAATCTGCTTGATTAGTACCCCTAGTTAGCCACGAGTAGCCTCTATAAGTGTCTCTATTCATCTATACATATTTAAACCTATACACAGATCGCTTGGAAGTCTATTTTTAACTGTTTGAATGTCTTGTTTCTTAGTGTCCATTAATACTTGTACTGTCATTGAGTACACTTTTTTATTATGGTAAGGCACACATGTACTCGTATACTGGACACCTACTTTTTTATTATTTTTAGACCAACAGTACAATTATATTCTGTTTATAATCGTTTTGTACGAACCGAACTTTGTTGGATAGAAATTGCTATTAGCATTAAGTTTAAAAATTTAGCATTTCAATTTATAAAAATTATGTCATCAACTTTAAGATGATCACGTTAAGAATTTATGATGGGTTATGACGGATATATACCGTTTACTCGCGTGTGTTTTGGGGATGCCTCACTATTATTTTTGGTCAGCACAATAGCTGTAGCAGCTAGGCCACCTCCAACATACATTATTACACATCTAATTGACACTTCACCCTCTAACAAAGAACTCTTATCGGGTTCTGAACTAGTTGGACAACCCTGAACCCTCGAAAGTAAAAATCGTTTGTTTAAAAAAAAAACTTACACTCTGTCACTGGCCACCTCGTAATCCGTGCAGCATATTAGTGGCATTTTATCAGAAGGACTTGTACAGAGCTGAAAAAAAAATAAAAAATATAAAATTACATAAGAAGGCAAATATATATATATATATCTATATAGAGGTTAAAGTATGAAATTGCTGATTTGTTCTGAAAAATTAAAAGTCGTATTTTTATAAGATGTAACATATTTATTTAATCTAAATATTTCGCCTCATTATCTATACATTGCTGCCGCCTAAACGGAAGTTCATTTATGCCTATTTATGCCTATTATTAATATATATATATGCCTATTTTATGAGTTATATACGATAGAACTCTGGGGATCTAGATTCAACAAACTGTGTGAAAGCATTTTGTACTGCCTCATGGGAAGATTTTTTTTATCACGTAGATAATTGTCCGTGTGGTGACGGATTAAGAATACAAATTGTCACCACCCCAATTCATCCCGTGGGTGTCGTAAGAGCCGACTAAGGGAGCAAACTAAACAGGACAACAGCACTGCAAAGAGAAGGAAAACTTGAAACAAACCCTATACCAACCCGTCTGGCCAGCGTGGTATAGTAGGCCAAAACCTCCTTTCTAAGGAGAGGCCTATGTCCAGTAGTGGACTATTATAGGCTGTTGATGATGATGATTGATGAGATAATTGTCCAAATCACGAAAAAAATTGGGAGTCTGTTAAAGCAAGGTCTGGCGAGTACGGAGGATGACCTATGATTTCTACAACTCCTATAGAGTTACAACGGTTTCTCGTGCAATGTGAGTTTTTACTCACATAGCCAACCTCACCAGCCACACACCGTTTATGTGTCTAAATCGGAAGGGGTCATACCAGGGACAAGATTTTTTATAAACCAAATTAAACGATATAAGAAACTGATAAACATAATAACATACATTTAGCAAGCTCTGTCATCTAATTAGAAATCTATGACGTTTTCAAACTCACCGGTGGTTCAGATTTTGTCAGATTGCCCCTCGGTACGAGGGGACACACATTTGAAGGAACACATTTACCCTTTTTCCCTTCTATTTCGCAATCAGCCGCTGTAAAAAAAAAGGAAATTTAAATGAGCAGTGTTTGAAGACACATGTGCAGGATATATCTAATTCTCAGGATTAAGAGTCTCTCAAACAGGATACAGCTAGATTTATTATAGATCTATGAAAGGACACGAGCCATGCGACCCCCTTAAAAGTTTAGTATGACAGAGAAGTTTTATGGAGAAAACACCGCACAAGAAAAGTAAAAAAATATCAACCTCATGAAGGCGATGTAGATGTGGAGGAACGGGTGTCATGTCCTTCCAACACAAAGGGAGGATCCTCCGACCAGGCGAGGTGATCATGCCTGGCGGGCCGCGGCCCAACGGTTGATGTTGTGAAGTTGTATATATGCTAATCGGCGAGGGAATTCTTTATATCGCGATACATGCTTGGCAATTCTTATTTTAGTAGTTACTCCGTAGTTCGGTGTGTCTTCATTAGATGGCGCTGTAGTATGTTTCTGTTTCTTTGTATGTGGGAGTCGCCACATAGATATTAGTATCGTAAATTATTAGTAAATGAGCAAAGGGACTGTAGTATAAATATACTATATTATCAAATATATTATCAAAATCATACTTTATTACTGCATGCTGGTCGACAGTTACTACTTTCGAATATCAGGGAAACTTACTGGCGCCCAGGAGTACTTTACTACCGCACGTAAAACCGTTTCAGCTTGCGTCAAATGCAGACGTTATCAAGGTAGAATTATCACGCCGATTATGGGTTACCTACCACAGTCTTATTCACAAGCAGACTTCACTTTTATTCATGTAAGTGTAGATTATGCGGGACCTATGATGATAAGCACCAAGAGTGGGCGTGGAGCTAAATTAATCAAATCATACATTTCAATTTTTGTATGTTTTACCGTTAAAGTTCACTTGGAAGTTACCGAGCTTACTAAGGAAGTATTCATATTGGCATTAAACCGTTTTATGTCTCGCAGAGGGAAACCGTCTCACATTTATTCAAAAAATGGTACTAATTTTGTAGGCGCTGCGAAAGCCATAGGTAACTTTTTTCACAAAACCATGAGAGTTTAAGTGCTGTGGCCGCAGACCAAGGTATTACATTTCATTTCAATCCTCCCTGGAGCCCCCATTTTGGAGGTTTGCACGAGTCTGGAGTGCGATCTACCACATATCATTCAAATCAAACATTCAAATTTTAAATCAAACACATCACTTACGAAGAGATGTATACAACACCTGTTCAAATCGAAGGTATCCTCAATTCCAGACCCTTAACCCCACTATCAGCTGATCCCTCCGATCTAACGTTTCTCACACCAGTTCACTACTACATCGGTCAAACTCAAACTGTATTACCATGCCCACAGGTCAGTGATTGCGACCCAATGCGTCTACTTAGACGTGAACGTATTGAGCAATTACGTCAACATTACTGGAATAGAGTTTACCAAGAATACATTTCAGAGCTGCAGACCAGGATGAAGTGGAAGAAATCTATAGGATCAACTACAGAAGGCTTGTAATAATCAAGGATGCCCTGCCACCACTGCACTTGCTCTTGGGTCGCATAGTGAAACTGCATCCAGGCGATGACGGCACAGCGCGAGTGGCCGAAACGAAAACCATCCGTCGAGCGTTCAACGGACTAAGTACGATCGTGAGGCGAAGCGTATGTCGCGCGGTCATATTAGATTTAATTTTTTTAACACTGTCAAAATATTACTTCTAAATGTAATACATTTACCAGTTAAATATACAGTCCATTTGCTCATTACATCAACATTTCCATTTCCCCTAATACCATTCAACTAAGTATACAAGATATTGTCTTATCATAGACCTGCATAAAAATATGGGATTCCCCGTGTTGTTCTTTTGCTTTAAAATAGGTTGAAGCCATAACTGATATTGTGGACTTTAATAGTTCGATTTTTTTATTTATTTTAGTATTATTAGTAGTTAGTATTAGTATTTTATTCCTGTAAATATTTGTAGTAAACGATAACTTATTTTATTATAAGTAAATTTTACGATTTCAAATACTAGTGATGTTTTGGCAATCAATGTATTAGGTACTGAAATTGACCAGGCATTGACAACGAACGACAATAGTTGGTCGTTTGTGTTTGCCAGTTCTAGTCCAATTTATTCAATTTTTATAGGCGATTGAAGACTTCGTTATGAAGTATATAATCATAAGTTACTTACGAATACATTTAGGGTATTTCTGATACCATACTCCATTACTGCAGTACACTTCTGTATCAAGTAAAATTGTACCAACTCCTGGGGTAGCTAAATTATATCCTTTGGAACAAGAAACTCTCAGAAGAAATGTTTCCAGATGCTGACCAGGTTTTGGATTTGAAATATTTGAGACAATATAAGAGCCGTGATTAGGATATGCTGGTAGGACGCAAACATCAGACGGTGGTGATCTGACAAAGGAAGAAGATTCTTAAATAAGGCTCTACACAAATAAATTAAATTGAAGTGTCTGTTTGTAATGACAAAAAAAGGTGTTTTTCATGCTCATACGGTTATTTGCACGATACATATGCCTAAAAACCAGTTTTTTTTGTCTGTCTGTCTGTCTGTTTGTTTCGGGTAATCTTCTAAACGGCTAACTATCTATATAAGGAGTAACTTAGGCGATATACCCTCTCAGAAATACCCTTTAAAATTTTGCCCGGTTCGGAAATCGAACCCACTAAGGCAGTTCGTTTTAAGTTCGTGGGTACCAGCTAGTACATAATATAGATTAATTACAGATACAGAAAAAATAATCATGCTCATCACACTTTTTATCCTGCTTAGCAGCAGAATCTGGTTTAGCAGTTAGAATCACCAGTGGGCTAACAGACCCGTCGTTTTTTTTATTGTAATGATATTTTCCTGGCAATTGCGATAGTACTGTTTGGTTTTATAAAATACTGGCATTTAAAAATCCTAATTAAATACGCAAACATTTAAAATAAGTCAGTGTAGTGTCTTATACTCAAGTCGATTAGGATACTAAATCATGGAATATCCTTTGAATTATTTTTATAGTTGTTTCTTGCTCTTCTTTATTTTTAGGATGATATTTTGAGACCTTACCCGTCGATTATATCCACAGTTGCTTTACACAGTTCATTAGCTTCATCGGACCCATCCGCACAATCTTCTATCTGTGGACAACGTTTTGTACACTACTATAATATATATATTGTGATATCTATCGTTAAAATTGTTTATCATTTTAGTCACGAAAGTGGTGATTCAATTTGACAGTCACCAAGTCATCAGTTTCAACTGATGGTTGATGACTGTAAAATTAAATCAGTTTTTAGGGTTCCGTACCTCAAAAGGTAAAAAATGAACCCTTATAACATCACTTTCTTGTCCGTCTGTCCGTGTGTCACCACCGATTTTCTCAGGAACGGGTAGACCTAGCAAGTTGAAATTTATACCAGATACTGAGGCCTATAGTCCCTATTAGGTGTATAAAAATCAAGGTCCTGAATCAACACTATAAAAAGATATGGGCAAATTTCGATTTTTGCGAAAACTTGTAAGTATCAAAATTTACCTTAATTTTCAACTTTTTTTATTTTACAGAATTTTCTTTTTACTCGTGACTTTGCTTTTAACCAAAATTGACAATTCTAGGTAAACTGGAAGTACCCTATAGGTTTTGGGTCGAAAACCTATATGGTAGTTCCCCTTAGAATCACGAAATTATGCAAAAAGAAACGTCTTATAGCACAAATAAAAGAATAATTCCAAAAAATAAAAAAAGTTGAAAATTAATATTAATTTTCGTACTTACAAATTTTCGCGAAAATCTACGTAAAATCTGGGTAGGTAGGGAAACCTCGGCTCACGAGTTCGACTCGTACCTGACCGGTTTTTTTATATTTATCTTCAATACAGTGTAGCACATTTGTATAGAATAACAATCTGATATCATAATTTACTTAATGTATTTTTCTAAGATTTCATAAATGAGAATAAATCACTTTATAATAATGAAGGATCTATACTAACTTATCAACTTTACGTTCTATGATATTGTTGCGCCATAGGATTAAATATTTCGATTGTATAGCATGTGGAGGACAGCGCCATCTAGTATCGACTAAAGTACATCTGTTAAGATTGTGGTTAATACGAGTACTTCTGATCCTTACAGCGCTAGATGGCACTGCAAGTAACGCGTGACAGATTCTGGAATATTCTTGTTTGTCTGTGAACGTACTGTCGAATACTAAGGATCTTTCTAGTAAAATTCAAAAGCGCTATAAAAGCGGAGCGTGTTTGACACAGTATCATTTTACGACACAGCGAATTAACATCGGAGTGAATTTCTAGAGCGACTAACGAGATATATAGTTATGTCTAGTTTATTACAGTGTGTTTGTAAATACAGTGCAATAAAATAATTAACCGACAACCTTTATTTTTTATTTACCGCGCTCGTAATAATATGCATGTGCGTCAATACGATCACTTAAACATCAAACAACTTCAAGTACCCGTGCGTGTAGAAAATTATGAGAATTCATCTATCTTTTTTAATTACTAGATATCTCTTAAAAATTGAACTACCCTCAATCTCTAACTCTAAACAATAGCAGTATTTTCTTGAATGACAGAAACAATATTACTAAAATATACATTCACATACCCCATCACAATCAGCTCCTTGATCCACACAAGATCCATCAAGACATTGGAACGAGTAAAACGGGCAAGTCCTACTAGCACTCTCAGCAAGCGCGCTGCAATTATTTTTTTAAAATATGTTTGATTAATCAAATTCCTTTGAATAAGGTACTAATGTTTAAATGCATGTATGCTATGACTTGGGTAAACAACCGCTAAACGCCTTCGTACAATGTGTGCATTAAGTTTTAAATAAATAAACAAGATGAGGAGTAACGGGAGTTTAAAAGTTTAGGAGTAACAGATTATCGTGGTATGAACGTGTCATATGAAAAAAATGTCAAAAAGAGCGTTTTATTTCTTGAATTTGAAGGATACAAGAATACCAACCAAAGTAAAAAATGGCTGTATTTTGTAAAATATTATATTGTAATCAAGGGAAAACCAGTGAACCGAACCCCAATAAACTTAGGAAAGGTGGTAAGAAAATGATGGTATATACACCATTTCTACTTCAAAGAGGATAGTTCAATTCAGTTGGGTAATATGTAAAATATTATTTTTTTATGCCACGATCACCGCTTATCATCAAGAGAGTTATAATCAGGCTGAGTGACAATACAGGGGTGTTAAAGTTTAGCGCCATCTGACGAAAATGAAATGAACTACATTGCAACTATTGATCCTAAAATGCGCAATGAAAGGCTCAAAGATAGATTTAGCTGATTGGAGGTATTTTTATGACATTTCGTACTCTTGTAAATGTTTTTTAATAATATTACTTATTTAATTCCATCATCATCGAATAAAAGCTGGTTTCTTTTCTAAAAAAAGTTTAGGCAAATAGAAACCTGTCTGTTTAACCATGAGAGCAAATATCTTATAAAAATAGTTTACTATTAAAAAATCCTGTTTATACTCATTGATGAATTCCTGGTGTTTCGTTATCTTTGTGAAGGTGGTATAAGCGTTATCATTGCACATTTTGTCATCGTTTCGTGGCGCCGTAGACACGATGCCTCTCAGATAATATCTATCAATTCCCAGCTCTCGGTCTGCAAAGGCTAGTCCTCCTCCACTGTCTCCTCTGCACAAAGCAGTTCCTGTAATATTTTTACATCAATGGATCAGATCTTAGTGGATTTGTCTCTCTCTCTTACTAAAGTTTAACCTTCGAGTCCTCTCCAAGGGTTCTCTGTTCATATTCAAAACTTGAGTTGATTTTTATAGGTTATATTTTTAATTAAGAGGAATCAAAATTTTTGTTAGTGTTGATGTTTTAATAGGAATGTAACCAATGAAATGCTTTTTCCTGTATACGGCAGTAATAACAATAACAATGTTTTTCCAGGCAGTAATGTCGGAGAATGTCTTGCAGCCCATTTAATCTTCTAGAGTTGTAATTCGCTGATATACTTTAAGGTTGGTGTGGTTAGTGTTGGAGTTGGATTTTAATAGAACAGTAGCTAATATTTTTACGGGATAGGGTTAAATGGTTCGATTGTATGGAATGTAGAGGACAGCGCCATGTAGTATCGACCAAGTACATCTATTAAGTAAGTAGTTCTGATCCTTACAGCGCTAGATGGCGCTGCAAGTAACGCGTGACTGATTATGGAATATTCTTGTTGTCTGGAACGGACTATCGATCTTTCTAGTAAAATTCAAAAGCGTTATAAAAGCGGAGCTTGTTGGCCGCTGTTTTCGTAAAACGTCGTAAAAAAAACACAGCGAATTGACATCGGAGTGAATTTCTAGTGCGACTAACAAGATATATAGTGATTTCTAGTTTATTATAGTGAGTGTTTGTAAATACAGTGAAATAAAGTAATTAACCTACAACTTTTATTTATTATATACCCCGCTCGTAACAGTATCATTAATGTATAGAACAAACAATTACAAGCCCAAAATTAAGTCCTGAGGGACACCAAAAGTATTCTTAATTTCATTAGATTCAAATTCATTGATCAACACTAGAATGTTGAAGTTTTAATCATCGCTTGATAAAAAGTTATCATCAGATCCAAAACTTGCCAGACATCCCCGAAATACGCACGTGAATAAAGCTTTTGAACACTCATCAAAAGCCTTTACTAGTCCACTGATGGACATAGGCCTCTCCTTAGAAAAGAGGTTTTGGCCTGCTACACCACGCTGGCCAGACAGGTTATTATAGGGTTTGTGTCCAGTTTTTCTTCTCTCTGCAGAACTGTTGTCTTGCGTAGTTTGCTCCCTTAGTCGCCTTCTACGACACCCACGGGATGAATAGGGGTGGTGACACTTTGTATTCTTAATCCGTCACGTTGAACAGTCACAAAAGGTTTTTTTCTAGAATTAAGTTTTACCATTGGTATACCCTGCACAAAATTTGTCTCCTGTTATATACTCCCTAAAGGATGGTGGAAGAGCCTTAATACAGTTGGCTGCGTTGATAAATGGCATATCAACAACTTTTAGAATCGGGGAAGCATTTCCGTTGGCTGTTGTAAGACCCCAGCCTGCAATCTGAAAGTAAACGGTCATCTAAATAGGAAAATAGAGATTATTGCCGTCTCACTCACTCTTCACCTATTATTTATTAAATTATGTTAACTGTGCCTGCAACATATTTTTATCTGTCTGTAAAAAATGAAAGCCCAGAAAGCAATACACCAGGTCCATTTGTTCATAACTGTCTATGACTAGGATCCACGTATGTTCAAAATAAATTCTGACTTTTGACCTTTTTTATTTTTCGAAACAATATTCTTTTCAGTAATTTTGCAATATATTTATTTTTTCTGTTCTAAAGGTTCCTAACTTTGCATGTCATTGACAGGAACCTGTCCTGTCAATGTGTATGCAAATTTTTATGAGAGAATGATTATTAGATATATTTTTAAAGCCAACCTTGCCAGCATTCCCTTGTTGTAATTGCCATCTTTCGAAGTTAATATCAAAATTGAGACACACCGGTCTCACGTGTGTCTGATAGACGAATGGAGTGGTCAGAATTAAAATAGCAATGTCTTCTTGAAAGTTGGCAGCAGCCCCTTGGAAGAGACTTGGAATTTTTATTTGTTTTACCTATAAAAAATATAGTGTGTTTAAAAACGAAGAATAAATGATGTTAGTGGTTGTAATAGATATGTATATTGAAAACATCGAAAAGAAAAAAACATTAAAAAAAGTTTTCACTAAAATAAAAAGTATTTATTTTAAACCTTTATTTTAAAATAACTTCACGCTAATGTAATCAGGCATAAGACATTACTATTGGCGCCACGTCATTGGTCCACATAAAAGACGACAGATAATCGTACAGATCATGTGAACGGATGGGTCACCTGGTCACGGGACATGGTCAATGATGGCTATGAAATGAATGGTAGTCCTCCCGCCAGCCATAGATGCCTAAACCCAAGAGTTATGACTGCGTTGCAGGTCTGGAAAGAGTGAGTACGATCTGGTTTCGAAGGGTTGAAGGTCGTTTCGGTGTGGGAATACCAACGGTGATATTTTTTACCTCCATAGATGTTTAATTATAATGAGTTTCTTACGTCAGATTTCTGCACACCAACATCTCTTTTGCTGTCCCACGAACGATAGAGTTTGCCTATTCCGACTTTGTAGTTAGATGCCGGTAACACCTTTATGGTGTCACTCCAGAAACAGTGGGCAGCTGAAAAAGGTAATTTAACTCGTGTTCCCAAAGTCTTTTAGTCTAGTTTACGTTAAATATTATTACTAAGTCATAAACCTGTATTTATAAAATTACTTGCCCTTGCTGACTTATTCATCAACGCAGAGTCGAAACCGATGGGACTACAAATTTAAAATTTTGGCATCTGATGCTTTTTATGTTGTAAGCACCTAGGACAGGATTTTTAGAAATTTACCCTCATGGGGGGTAAATAAGGGGTAAGCTGTTGTATGGCAGTTCGTCATTTTCAAAGTAAGAAACAATCACGAGAGCAAAGACGCGGTCGGTAGCTAGTAGGGTATAAAACAAAAATAACAGAACACTTCTTATTTGAGCTCTGTCTTCAGAAAGACGGTAAGATAATGAATATGCCGATACAAGGTAAAGCTTAAAAACTACAGAAAACGCTGAAATTCTTCCACTTACCTGATATAACCACATTATTGGAGACAAGAGATCCACCACAGATCTGTTCAAGAGTATCAGCTGCTTTGCGATAAACACCAACATGCCATGGAAGCTCTCCACGCTTGGCTTCCTTCCCATCAATCACCAGCTGAAAGGCTTCAGGCGACACTCGACCACACTCTAAAGAGAAGGAGAATGGACTTGAATGAACGTAATAAAAGTTATTGGTCACTTGGGGTATTTAAAAAAAAAGACTGGTCAAATATACTTAGGCCTGATCAAAACTTACAATACGTGCGTAAATCGATGAATTTATGCATAATTAACATTTAGAATTGTAATCAACATTTGATTCCTTAAATTGCAACCCTTAGGGGTAATTTTTAACTCTTCAAAGAATGGAATCAATCGGAAAGTATACCTTTAAAAGAATTTTTCAAATAGGTTCATAAATTCTGAACTTCTGAGGGGACAAACAAAAATAAAATAATAGAATAATGAAATCGGTTTAAGCACGTTATCCGGTCATATCCGGTGAACGGCATAAGTTTTATATTGTTTTTTATATTTTTAATGTCAAATAGGGTCTTTCCATGTCTAATGGTACATAATTTTTGTTTTATGCTTCACGGAAGCTGTTGCCGCCAATGTCTTGAGCTGATATCAGTACCCCAATTCACGTCTTAAGACAAATTTTCTGTATACGTCTAAAATTGTCAAATGTTACTAATGAATACCTTTCAAAAAAGCATCACCACACATCACATTTAATGTTATGGCACAAATTCACTCAGCCCGTCTGGCCCACTGGCCAAAACCTTATTTGAAAGGAGTGTGTGACCGCGGTGGACTATTATAGGCTGTTGATGATGATTACTCAGCGCCATATTACATTAACAATAACGCCATAAACATTAATTACAAAAAATTAACCAAACCTGCTTTACATTGAGCGACGTAATTCCAGAAACCAGTAGTACACTTCATCTTTGAGAAACTTTCAGTGGAGTAGTAGATGGGAGTGTTGCAGACAGGGCTGACCAACGTTCCTGGAGACACATAGTTGTCACAGACCTTGAGCCCCAATCCTGGCACGTGGCACATGTAGCGGACACTAGGGTTTGGATCCAGTTTGCAGAAACCTGATAAAATAATTTAAATAAAAAGGATAATAGAATAATATCACATAAAGAAAATGCAAAGTTTAGACCATTGTCACTTCTGATAAAAATACGATATACTTATGATTCAGATAAACAATACTGAGTTTCAAAGGACGTTTGACGAGACGGACGTTTAAAAGTTTTATGATAATAGTATCACCTTCAGATGCCCACGATAGGAATCTGGATTAGGGCCTCATGCAGAAGGCAGTACTTCTCGATACAGCAAGTATTGTGAGCAGGTTTTTGTATCTGAAATCCCCACTGGTAGCTCGGTCTCTGTACCCGACACCGATTGGGGTAGTATTTTTATATATTTTTTGGGCGCACTTCATTGAATTGAAGTTGAGTGTAATTTATATGACGTATATTTTATTTTTACCGTGTGGTGACGGATTAAGAATACAAATTGTCACCACCCCAATTCATCCTGTGGGTGTCGTAAGAGCCGACTAAGGGAGCAAACTAAGCAGGACAACAGCACTGCAAAGCGAAGGAAAACTTGAAACAAACCCTATACCAACCCGTCTGGCCAGCGTGGTATAGTAGGCCAAAACCTCCTTTCTAAGGAGAGGCCTATGTCCAGCAGTGGACTAGTATAGGCTGTTGATGATATTTTATTTGTAACTATATATATTTATTTATAATTATAACTATGTTCTAGTGGAAAATACTCACGGACACATTGAGGCATATTTTGGTACCAAACTCCATTGACGCAGAATACTTCTGTGCCGTTCCCACTTGAACTGCCCCTGTTCACTACTCCATAACCTCGTCGACAGTAGACCGTCAGTGCCAAACTATCTAAAGTCTCACCAGGGCGGGCTTGAGGGTTGTTTGAAACTCTATATATTCCATGGTTGGGGTACGCAGGTAGGACACAGGCGTTGGACCTTTTCGATCTAAAATGGAAGATAGTTAATGATTAGAAGGTTCGTACTTTCTATCATCATCATCAACAGCCTTTACTAGTCTACCGTGGACATAGACCTCTCCTTAGAAAGGATATTTTCGCCTACTATACCACGCTGGCCAGTCTTATTGGACTAGGATTTGTTTCAAGGTTTCCTTCTCTCGTACTTTCCGGCAACAGGTAATTAAGCCTTTGGTTTTATGTCTACCACATCACCACAACCACATTCAAGCGATGAAAACCAATGAAAGAATTGTCAGGTCGTGTGTGACCGGCCCAATCATACCCTAGTAAAGTTCTCCCACGGCAATTTCCACAACTCTCACATCACAGCATCTTACCTGTTATTTGATAACAAACAGAATGTTTCGTCCCTGGAGTCTGGACAGTGGCGGATCCCATCACACACGTGTTCCAAGCCTATACAATCTATCCCGTTCTGACATCTTAACGGGCTAAGATTTTGATCTCCATTAAGGAAACTGTAAAAAATAAAATTAGGTACAGGTTATGTAATAGAGGACAACCGCCGCCCATTGCTACATGCAACTCATGAGACAAGCGCATTTCTCCTAGAGGTTGTCAACACCAGATGGAGGGGATGGACTCAGGTAACTCCCTCAATTGGTGAAAAGCCAGAAGAAAGAATTGTTGCCACCCAAAAGAAAGCCAGAAATAATAATAATATTCTGCCACATACACACAATGCCATCTAGTCCCAAACTAAGCAGAGCTTGTACTATGGGTACTAGACGGGGGGTCCGTAGCTGTAGAGGGAAACGGTCTTGACAAGGAGCTGTCCTAAGTCCTTGTCACCTTGAAATTCAGTCGACTGGAATGGGTCTTAACTAGTATGATAATGATTACTAAACGACTTACAGAAAGAACAATGCGCCTATAATGGGTACTAGACAACTGATATAAATACATATATTCTTTTTTATTTGTAAATACATACATATTATACATAGAAACACCCAGACCAAATCAAACATCAAATGTTCATGCACAGAAATGTTTGACTTGAGCGGGAATCGAACCCGCGACCTTTGGAATAGCAGTCCGTTACACAAACCACTACGCCATGCAGTCGTCAGAAGAAAGAAGCCAGCCAAAACTAAGCCAGAAGAAAGGTTTGCTGTGAAGGCATAGTATCACTCCGGTCGTACGTGGAGAAGCATGGCTCTATCATATAAATGATAGTAGTTCGAAAACTTCACTCACAAAAGAATCGACCAATATAATTAGTATTCATGCGTTTCTGAAAGGGGTCGCTATTATTTATTAATATTCTATTTATTACCTGCAAGGAAATAATTCATTTTCCGATAATCTGGTAATCGCTGTCGATGAAACTGAAATAAATGAAGTTCATATTAATTTATTTCTTGTTCGTCAATTAATCAAAACAGGATGTCCACAAACCGCCTTGCATTCCAGACAAAAGTGCGCCATCTTCTCCGGAGTGAATTGGCAGAACAGTCATAACACTAATACCCGACTGAGTATTTTTATATTATACTAGCTGACTCGGCAAACGTTGTTTTGCAATATACATTATTTCAAAAAAAAAGACAAAAAATAATAAAAAGAAATAAGTTTACGAAAAATAGATGTTGGCCGATTCTCAGACCTACCCGATATGCACACAAAATTTCACAAAAATCGGTTGAGCCGTTTCGGAGGAGTTCAACCACGCACACCGTGACACGAGAATTTTATATATTAGATTAAATTTATTTATATATATGTGTATGTTTTTGGACTTCAATAATGCTGAATTTAATATTTCATTTTGCACCTACCTCATTATACTTCTACATCACCTGAAGGTTTACTAGAAGAGAATGCCTCATGGCATTAAGTCCGTCTTTGTACAACATGTGCATTAATTTTTAAATAAATAAATATACCTGTCCACGTGGCTTCTCTAATCACAGTATGTTAATTATTTTAATTGTATAAATGGTAGGCCACTACCGCCACCCACTGACATCTGTCACTCAAGAGAAATTCAAATCGATATTGTTTGACAAGGCTAACCTACCGGTCACTGCTAAACCTACCTATCAATAACTCGATAGTTTTTTAACACGCTTTTATTAGCTTGGTATGTATAAATATATGTATATATATGGATCTATATTCGTATGTATGTAACGGAATCTTCGAACGTGATTTTGACCCAGTTCGAAACGTCCAAATAAATTGAAACTTCGCACACTTATCAAGGAAAGATGACAATACACTAACTTCATAAATTTGGCCGATTATCCTGATCAGGATCTTCAGGATTAACAGCCTTTACCATACCTAAATTACGGTAGTGTCTTTTGCTACTTACTAAGACGCGTGTGCTGAAGCATATTTGACTTACTTACTTCGTACTTTTTTAGTCCTAATGAGAAAATAATCATCATTAATGACTGAAAAAGCAAAAATAAATTATCATCATCATCAACAGCCATTAATAGTCCACTGCTGGACATAAGCCTCTCCTAAGAAAGGAGGTTTTGGCCTACTATACCACGCTGGCCAGACGGGTTTGTATAGGGTTTGTGTCAAGTTTTCCTTCTCTCTGCAGTGCTGTTGTTCTGCGTAGTTTTTTCCCTTAGTCGGCTCTTACGACACCCACGGGAAGAATAGAGGAATTCTTAATCCGTCAACACACAAACCAAAATAAATTATAGTTAAAAAAAACACGCTTTTTCCACTTTTTAGTTCGGCTAGTTACAAAAACATGTTTTTTGAGTTTCTTTGAGTGTAAATTATTTAAATGTGATTAACATATAGATAGTTCAACTCAGTTGTGCGCGCGGTGCTCGGACGACGACTGCCACACGAATGAAAGTTGTATATTTACAAGCCCACGCACACATAGGGCCGCGCGCACAACTAAGTTGAACTATCTATACCTATACAAGGCAAATCTAGTGTTGACTGCTTATAATTTCAATATTTCCTCATTCATTCCAGTTTACTTATGTGAATTCAAGCTCGTACCCGCGACTTCGTTCGCGTGGTATTTGAAAAGCGCTGCCTTAGCGGATTCGATGCCCGGACTGGGCAAATTTTGAAAGGGTTTCTCTGAGAGGAAAAATACCCTAAGTTATTCCTTATGTAGACAGCTATCTGGTAGTAAAATATTATCGAAATCGGTCCAGCCGTTTAGAAGATTACCCGGAACAAAAAGAGAGACAGACAAACAGTCAGACAAAAAAACTGTTTTTAGGCATACGCATAGTGCAAATAACTGTGTGAGCATGAAAATAACCTATAATTTTGACATTACAAACAGACACTTCAATTTTATTTATTTTAATAGATTACTAGCTGACCCGCGCAACTTCGTCTGCGTCTTTCAAAAGTAATAAATTTTCTCCGTTTTTGAAACATTCTTCATTGGTGCTCCGCTCCTATTGGTCTTAGCGTGATGATATATAGCCTATAGCCTTCCTTGATAAAAGGGCTATCTAACACTGAAATAATTTTTCAAATCGGACCAGTAGTTCCTGAGATTAGCGCGTTCAAACAAACAAACAATCTCTTCAGCTTTATAAGAGTAGAGTAGGTAAGAGTCTTTTTTTGGTTGTTGTTTTTTTATCATCATCATCATCATCATCAACAGCCTTTACTAGTCCACTGCTGGACATAGGCCTCTCCTTAGAAAGGAGGTTTTGGCCTACTAGACCAGGTTGACCAGACCTAGGTTTTTTACTGCATACGATATATTCATCATCAAGTTTCCTGCCTTTTCCCAATTTTCTTTAGGTCCTAATAATAATAATAACTGTCATAGCTATTATTATTATTACCCAAACCCGAATAAAATTGGGCAAAGCTACTTAATAGTAATAACTTACAGTAACTTACATATCTCACACACGGCCGTCTGATCCCAAACTAGGCAGAGCCTGTACTATGGTAACCATACTGCTAATAAACCATACTTACGAGTATATGGTACTAAATACATTCATTTGATTTATAAATTACACATTATTTATTACAGTTATAATTGTTGAGTAATATAATATAATCCGAGTTCGACGAAGAGACGAATTCAATGCCTCAGGCAATTTCTAGCAGTTCTTTTAAGGGGGTTAAAAGAGGGGGGGGGGAGGACTTTTTATGGGAAATCAGTAACCGTTGAACTGATTTGGATAAAATTTGGTATGAGAATATTTTGATTCTTGTGGAAAGACATAGTTACTACTAAATTTACGGGGGCGAAGTCGCTGGCAAAAGCTAGTTAATCCATATAAATAAAACATTATGTACACGTGACCGAAATAATGATCAAAGTATGATTAGCCATATTTGTTTTTGCTGTTCGCACGACAAAAGTTACTCTAATATTGTTTAAAAGTCAATTTTTAAGTTCCTCAGTAATTGTTATGTCTAGAATTATAGATTCAATTGTTGTAATTCTTATAATGAAGTTTCTATAGCGTATTTTCGCTGTTCGTTGCACAATTCAATAGTACACTGTCATGTTATCAAAACACTTATTTTTTATCACATATTAACCACTTTAATAACTAGTTTGATTATCTGAAAACGGTACTAAAGTCGAAACTAAAGAAAAGCTAAATACCATGTTCTTATTGTAAATGATGACATTATGTTACTTGAAAAATATGTACATAATACTCGTATTTATTTACATTTTAATAACTTACCAATGATGACATAAATGCAAAAACACCTCCACATTTTCAAAATATAATAAACAATTCTTTAAACATTATAGTTTTTATTCAATTACAATCATTGGGCAAACATATAGCTTTAAAGTATATAAACACTAAATTTAAACAAATGTAGTAAAAACTGGTTATAACCAAACAAATAACACGTCAGATTATCATCGATACTTTTAAAACTGCGCGTGAGCATCATAAGTCATTCGAGTAAACTGGTTTCTGTATGGATGTAATAACTGGTATAATTCTTGATGTGTCCAAAAAATTAACGAATTATTAGATACAAAAATATACATAATTACGACAAGCTTATGGATATAAAGAAGGAGAAGGAAGGAGTGGGCAGAAGAGCATTAAGGTTATAGCTCATTACACTCACCCGACACCCGACCAGCACCACCTCGTCACTCGGTGTCTACTCCTTATCGACGGGTGGTCCACGGGTGGACGCCGCGTTGTTAACCAGAAAACGATACGACAGACACGTTCGAGGAGGAGCTGCCAATGCATCGTCCTTACGCGCCAACCACTTGCGGACAGCGCGCGGTCGCCGAGTGGTTCATTCACCGTCCGCGCCTTGTCAACCGGTGTTAGAGGCGCTCCGGGGTAGATGTAGTGAGCGCTTACCCATAGCACTCCATACAAAGATACTACCCTGGAGCTGTTCAGGTGTCGGGTGGCTCTTATGAGCTATGACCTTTAAACACCTACAATTAGCCTGCTGAAATTAATTAAGGCTAACATAAAAGAGGATGAGTCTATCACTGTCAATCCAACAGTTTGATAATTAAGAAGCTAATTGGAGAAAAAAAGAAAAAACTTAAAGTTTTGCCGTTTTAAAGTGAATTTTTTTTTAAATCGCCTCAATTGTTCTCATCCAAGTCGCATTACAGCCAAGGTCAATATGGCGGCGCTCGCATCAGCTGACCGATCCAAAAAAAAGGTTTACTTGGACCGTGGTTTCATAAAACCACAACTCACTTTTTTCAAACGGGCAATTTCAATATTCAACATTTTCATGTACCCAGTGTCACACTCACAATTAAGTCGAATCTGATGACACCTCAGACGCAATAATTCATCAAGCCGTCAAGGTAACAGAGCGCACCAAAGAAATATACATACTTACTTACATACATTCGAAAAACATAATTCTCTTTCAGGTGAAGTTGAGTAGAAATGGGAAAATTGGGTGTGTTATTATTGAAAGGGAAAGGGAAATAAAATATTCACACACTCACGCTTCGCAGTACACCCATGAAATAAGAGACGAGCCTAGTACTGTCGATTAGATACTTTAGGGTATCGGGAGACATTGTGAAGAAATTGTGAGTATTTGGACCGAAATCCCAATTTATGCTGGCAACAGTCAGGAAGGTCAGGTCCACGTTTTTTTAAGACAACTCCTGCATTCAATATATCCTGTGTCGCGGGGAACTTTAGAAACATACACGAAACAGACACAAAGGATACCCAGACTCAGAACAGGAATGTGTGGATCACACAAAGTGTCCTCCCATGTGGGGATAGAACGCATAAAACTCAGCGTAGTAGTAAGCGGCGTGGCGACCGCTTGAACTTCTACGCCATCCATGCAGTCATACCGAATGGTGTAGTGGTACATACCATATACACCCAGACCGTAGAAAAATAAAACCGGTGAGGTACGAGTCGAACTCGTGCGCCGAGGGTTCCGTACCTATCCAGATTTTACGTAGAATTTCGCGAAAATTTGTAAGTACCAAAATTTATCTTAATTTTCAATTTTTTTTTATTTTTTGGAATAATTCTTTTATTTGTGATATAAGATATATCTTTTTGCCAAATTTCGTGATTCTAGGTCAACGGGAACTACCATTCCGGTTGACCTAGAACTGACAATTTTGGTTAGAAGCAAGGTCTTAAAGCACAAGTAAAGAGATAATTCTAAAAAATAAAAAAAGTTGAAAATTAAGGTAAATTTTGGTACTTACAAGTTTTCGCGAAAATCGAAATTTGCCCATATCTTTTTATCGTGTTGACTCAGAACCTTGATCTATACACACCTAATAGGGACCATAGACCTTAGTATCGGGTATAAATTTCAACTTGCTAAAGCGCTTATGGAGGACGGAGGTCGTTCTGCGACCTCCGGCGCCTGAGTCGCCTGCGGTACCTGGCCCGTTCCCGGGCCTGGCGGGCCGGGAAAGTCCTAAACCTCTCCCGGTCCCGCTCCGCCATCTCCTTCGCAAGCATAACTTGCTCGCAAAAGGAGACCGCAGAGTTCCACGCACTCCCGCTCCGCACGATAGCCGCAATCAGGTTATCGAGCGAGAGAACTCCCACTCCGATGGCCGCTACGAGTTCTCGCCTCTGCTCCACCCACGCCGAGCATTCTGCCAGTGTGTGGAGCGCCGTGTCCACGGTCCGACCATCGCAGTGGTGGCACTCAAGCTTGGCTCCTTGCGGATCAGACACAGGTGATCCCCTAAACATCCTTTCCTAGTGATAACCTGCGTCAGTCGGTATGAGAGGGTCCCGTGATGCCTCTCGAGCCAATCCTCCATAACGGGTCTTACCGCCGCGATGACAGCGTGCCCGAGTGTTACCATCCCTATTTATACCGTAGGTGTCGTATGAACCGACTAGGGAAGCAAACTATGAAGGATAACAGCACTGCAAAGAGAAGGAAAACTTTTTTGATGATGGGTGGATTTATGAATGGTTGGAAATTTAACACGCAAGGAATTTTAATAAAATTTTGAGCACACTGGTATTATTAAAATGCAAGCAAAATCTCACAGTAGTTTAAGTCCTTGAATTAGGAGGAGACTGAAAAATTAATTAATATAGGTATAAGATATAAGAATACACACCATATATAAACAGGAAACACACATCATGCACACACACCTTAACACACATACATGCGCACACACATATACATGAATGCACATCCTCGCAACTAAATGACCTCACACACATTATAATGCATAGAAATAAAAATAATTCATCTAAAAAATTATTCATTTACAAATAATCTCAATTTAATTTTATTTAAGTACAAAACAATCACGAAATTCTCACATTTTCTTAAAACAGCATTAAGTTTCATTAAGAGTACATGAACATCTTTGATTCCTACCCTATTATTATTATTATGCATTAATGATACCAATATGAAACTCTAATATCGCATAAAATAAGTGTGCTTCAATACCAAACGAAGAAGCAAAAACCAGTTCTATAAAATATAGTTATAACTGGTTTTAAAAATGTTGAAAACGCGTCGTGGGAATCCCTGTCGAAAGAATTTACATGCAAACATGAACAACATTATACAGGAAGTGCAATATTAAGACTCGCGAAATAAATTTTGTATGGTTTCAGACGTGGTTAACCGTTCCTGTCAATGGCAAAACGATCACGAATAAAAAGTGACAATTTAAAGTGTAGCAAGACAATCCTAAAAATGATAACGAAAGACATGACAAAGTGTCCAATCACAACTTTCGAGACCTATCTTTTCAATAATTGGCACTTAACCACTTTGCGTTTTTTTTTATACCTTTTGTCTTGCAGCTCCAATTTGTAGAAAAAATTGAAGAGGAAAAGAAAAAACTTCAAAGGCCGAAAACTTATTTCTGCCTTTGAAGTTTTTTCTTTTCTTTCTGACTCCTGAGTTGCAGGCGTCCATGGGCGGCGGATGTCACTTTTCATCAGGTGTCCCGTTTGCATGTTTACTCTCGGTATGCACTAAACGGTATGCGTGGATGACGTAGTGGTTTAAGCGGTCACCTCACCGCTACTGCCTGAGTGTTGTGGGTTCGATCCCCACATGGGACAACACTTTGTGTGACTTATAAATTATTGTTCTGAGTCCGGGTATTCTTTGTGTTCGTTTCATGTATGTTTATAAAGACCCCTGCCAGATTAGACAGGATTTATTCCTAACGTGGGAGTAGTCTTTCTTTATTGTTTTTTTTTAAGATGTCTTTTGTCCTGGAATCTGTCTCAACGACATTGAGCTCGATTTTAATCAGTTGAGCAACATGCGCATATGGCACAGCTCCTCATGTAGTCAGGTTTAGGAGCACGTCTTTTCAGCCTCTTGAAGATAGAGTTTGACCCTATGGTCATAAGCTCTCTTGCCAGAAGCTTTGGCTGGCGATTTAATCTTTCTGAGTATTTAGGTTGTGTTGCCGCCCGCAAGGATTCAGAGGAAGTGGGAAAGTTTGAGCTCCGGTAGCATCACTTACTCACTCAGTGAAAAGCAACGGAAAAATTGTTTAACACCACTTTTCTGTGAATAATATGCCACAGCTTGGTTCATCCATGATAAATAATGAAATAAATAAGTAGACCCAATACATCATCTTTCTTTTATTGACAAGCGTTAACAACACTCAATAGAGTTCTTCAAGGCCAGACGATGCTCTCGATCCAAGAAACGAAGTGCTGTACCTTAGTGAATACAGTTGGAGCACACTGATGTCCATCAAATGGGCTGATTCCTATCACCGTATTCATACACCGAGAGTATTGAGTTGTCACTGCTATGGGACCTCCCATGATGTACTGTAATAAGAAAAGACAAAAGTTTTAAATCTACTTAATAATAATATTTCGGCAATCTGACACACAATGCCATCTAGTTTCAAACTAATCAGAGCTTAGTATGAAAACTAGATTGACTGCTAGAAGTCTTATGTATACCCGGCCATCGAACCTGAGACCTCAGCACTGCAGTCGCATACGCTGCCACTGCATCACCGAGGAAATCAAATCTTATTGACTGCCTCGGTTAAAAAAAAAACTTATTGAAGTAAGAGATGATACGATGATTTAACGAAATTGAGAAGTATACACATGCAATTATTCAGAAGATAAATCTTTCTTTTTCTTTTTTTTGTTTTTTATAAAAAGACAACTCCCGCATTAGGAATAAATCCTGTGTCGCGGGGGACTTTACAAACATACATGAAACGGACACAAAGAACACCCAGACTCAGAACAACAATATGTGGATCACACAAAGTGTCGTCCCATGTGGGGTTTGAACCCACAACACTCGGCGTCGTAGGAAGCGGCGTGGCGACCGCTTAAACCTCTACGCCATCCGTGCAGTCAATTCAAGACAGGGCACGGGAAGGCAACAAAAAGAAAGAAATGCAAGAAGAGCAAGAGATTAAATCTATTTGTTGGAAAGTGCTCCTCCTTTCAATATTCATAATCATCATGTTCAACAGCCTTAAGTGGTCCACTGCTGGAAGGTCCTTCTTAGAAAGGAGGTTTTGACCTACTATACTACACTGGCGAGATGGGTTGGTATAGATTTTGTTTCAAGTTTTTCTACTCTTTGCAGTACTGTCACCATCCCGTAGGTGTCGTAAGAGCCGACTCAGGGAGCAAACTGCTCAGGGCAACAGCACTACAAAGAGAAGGTAAACTAGAAAAAAACCTTGGTATAGTAGGCCAAAACCTCCTTTCTAAGGAGAGGCCAGCAGTAGACTATTAAAAGCTCGTGATGTGTAAAAACTGGCTTAGCAGAAAATTAATTATGAATCTTTAAGTTCTGAATATTTTTTAAACCCCAAATGACAGACTTCAAAACAGTAATATGAAAAAAAAATAAGTATCCAACCATGCAATTTTCCGGTCCGTAGCAGACTTGTGATTCCTCGTTGACTTTATTCGGCAAATATATTCTGTAAATATATGATTGAAGTGGGTCCACGTTTTCCATATTAGCATTACACTCCTCAGCAGTGAACTCCCGTAGTTCCACCTGCATACAATAGAAAAACAACATGATTAAAAAAATACTTAATCAATTTCACTTGACTGCATAATGTGTTCGACCATTTAATAAAAGGATTCATGATGTAGCCAGCTGAGAATCGAATCCCAATTTTCTGGCGCAGCAGTCAGGATTACTAAACATGAGATCTGCTGCGACTTCTACATACAGTTAAACAAAAACATATTTCAGTGCCATCTAACGAAGATCCACCGAACTACAAAGTTACTACTCATTCTGTATCGCGATATGAAAAATTCTTACGCCGCATAACATACATATATATTTTCCCAACATTAGCTCGACTACGGCACGACTACGCCTAGTCGGATGATTCTCCCTTTGTGTTGGAGGGACACGACACCCGTTCCTCCACAAATCAATAGGACAGTCAATATTATTCACGGAGTCTACTACATGGCCCTAGAACATGACAAGAATTATCTGTAACACTCTCTAACTATATATCCGTGTGGTAACGGAATAAAAATACAGAGTTTCTCCACACCTCATTATCCAGTGGGTTCCGTAAGAGCCAACTAAGGGAGCAAACTTCGCAGGACAACAGCTCTGCAAAGAGAAGGAAAACTTGAAATAAACCCTGAACCAACCCGTCTGGCCAGCGTGGTATAGTAGGCCAAAACCTCCTTTCGAAGGAGATGCCTATATTGTCTCTAAGTTAACATTGGATGTTCACGCACCCAGCGCATGAATCGTGCCCCTCGCAGGGAGGCGCGCGGAGTGCGCGGTGTGACCAGCGGTGACGGCACGCGGGCTGTCACGACGTTAAGTTTAACCAACATTGTACTGTTTAACCGACTTACGACATGTGGTGAGTCAAAGGGTCCTTTGATAATCGGATCTGAATCATTCCTAAGCCAGGAAGTGAATTTGGCTTTGGAAGTATCAAATTCTTCAGCTGGATCAGGGAGGCATGCTGGGAGAACGTCACGGTTAAATGAAATCCTGTAAAAATAATAAATCCAATAATAACTTGACACATCTTACAGACGGCCGTCTGATCGTAAACTATGCAACCTGTAGGCGACTGTAACCAGGCTACTGATAAACATACTTAAAAAATTATTAAATTAAAAAAAAAAGCAAAAAAAAAATGAAAATAGCAAAACAACGTTTGCAGGGTCAGCTAGTTATAGATAAATTACACCCAGATACAAAATTTTGTTCATCACACTAATATTTTTCCAGGATCAGAGTCAAACTCACGTCCAGGGTCACTTCACCAATAGGTATTAGACTAATAAACCAGTCAATTTTTTTTATGATTGATTAAATACTACACCTTCATCTCAAGAAACACAAGTGCATTGTCGCCAAGGATGGGGGAGGGGCCTGGGTTGAGGTTTCTGTGCTTGGTTCTGTTTTTTTTTTTTTTTTATCCTGTGTCGCGAACACCCAGTCTCAGAACGCAAAGTGTTTTCCCATATGGGGATCGAACCAACAACACTGCAGTAGAAAGCAGAGTGGCGACTTCTTAAACCACCACACCATCCGTGCAGTAGATACAAGCAAACAACAGTCAATACAAAGATAATTCTAATACATACGGGGTTTCAAGCTCCAGCAATGCGATATCGTTGTATCTGGATTGATCTCCGTCGTAATCTGGATGTACATGAATTTTCGTCACGTTGTGAATCTCCCAGGTTGACCTGTCCATGTTTTTTACGCCCAATGCAACGTACGTCAATGGACGATCTGGTATTGATGATCTGTCAATAAAAAGTACCTACTGAAGTCAGGTGTTTTTACTAAACATGTAGATATCAACAGCCTTTAATAGTCCACTGCTGGACATATATCTCTCCTTTAAAGAGCTTTTTGCCTACTAGACAAGGCCAGACGAGTTGGTATAGGGTATGTTTTAAGTTTTGTTTCTCTTTGCCGTGCTATTGTCCTGCGTAGTTTGATTCCTTAGTCAGCTCTTACGACATCCATAGGATGATCCGTATCTGTTTATACGCTGTGGCACTTTGTGGTTGCATTGATAATAAATTTTCTAAATATAAAAATATATAGTGTCATTTGAGCTCAATCGGTGTAGAACTTTTTCAATTTTTGAAGCGTACACAAACCAACTTAACATTTAATTTATATCCATTCTAATATAAGAAGTGCGAAAGTGTGTCTGTCTGTCTGTCGTTCTATTTGTCTGTCTGTTACATCTTCACACTAAAACGAGATATTTATATATTCATCAACAGCCAAAGTTCACTGCTGGGCCTAGACCACTCCTTAGATCGGAGGTTTTGGCCTACTATACCACGGTAGCCAGACGGTACACACATAACAGACGGTACAAACTTGACACAGTTTGTGTCAAGTTTGCCTGCCCTTTGCAGTGCTGTTGTTCTGCATAGTCAGCTTTTACGACGCTCACGGGACGAATAGGGGTGATGACCATCCGTATTCTTAATCCAATTAATTCTTAATTACACGGATAGACATTAAAAATACAAACGATAGATAGTGCAGAGGAAGACTACTTGTGCAAATAAACTTTTGATAAAAACTTACGCGTTCAACCGATGAGCTGCAGTAAGAACAAATTTTTCATGGATAATTGATCCAGCTGACATCCAATATATCATATCTCTGCCTTGCCCAAATCCTACAACAGCCTAAGAAAAAGAGTCTTATTATAATCATCACAATAAGAGTTTATAGTCCCTAGTATAGTGGCAGCATTCTTTATTTTTCACCGAGTGAGTTAGGTTATATATATTACTTGTTTTGTACCTGGGCCCAAACCCCTCCGCCCCCTGATTCTGCGTGAACAGAGGACTCTTAGGATAGAAGTGTCTATGGGCGATGGTGGGGTCACTTATCTGGTGACTCGTTTGCTTGTTTGCCCCTTATACCTTAAGAAAGGCCTGTTTTTTTTAAACATACATCATGCACTTTTAGTGCATTGGCCGGCTTAATGCCTAAAGCATTCTCTACCAGTCAACCTTTGGGTGATGCAGAGAAAACAGGAAGTAGGTACATTTTGGTTTAAGTTTGTTTGTAGTTATAATATCTAATATGCGTACATAAACCTACTATACACTAGAACCCATACACATTATACATACGTCATACGTATTAGTTTCGTTTCCAAATCTAAGACAAGCATAGCTTATACCATAGGTCCGAGAACATTTATGTGCATTTATTTTGTTAATAGGAAACTCAACAGCTTATTAACAGCGCGTGAAATGTTATTGATGACATTTTAATGTTAAGCCTATTACAGAATTCCGCGACATGCATGCATAAAAACTAAAAAAAAGAAACAAAACATGATAACATTTAAATTACATTGAGTATGGTAACTATATCACACGACGAGACTCAAAATCTGTCGTGCCTATGAGATCAGCCGTCCCGTGCCGTCAGTCCCCATTGTGGCAATTGAACACCCGTGGCAATCGTTACGGGTAGTTGGGCCCTAAAAAGTACGACAATAGCCTTTCTACAATACTTCGATATCGCCTAGTACTTAGGTTGTGGAGATCTGATGGTCTGTCACTCCGTGTAACATCGAAGTTCAGCCGTATCTTTAAAAAAAAAAGACATCCTGCATTAGGAATATATCCTGTGTCGCGGAGGACTTCAAAAAACATACATACATGAAACGAACACAAAGAACACCCAGACTGAGAACAACAATTTGTGGATCACACAAAGTATCGTCCAATGTGAGGAACGGACCGTAGTATGAAGTGGCGTGGTGACCGCTTAAACCACTACGCCATCCGTGCAGTCATAATCGTCGTCGTAGACTTAAAGAAGACCCCAACCTAGTTTGACAAAAAGGCTCTGAGGAAGGATGGAAGGTGCGGTAATAAGATACATTCAAATGCGTTTTGATTAGTTTCATAACTGTACAGTTTTTATGAAATGTTTTACCTCATAAGGGTTTTCCGAGGGAACTCTCGCGCCTGGTCCTGGTGCTCCTCCTATAACCCAGAGAGAGAATCTATGACACTTCTTCTCTTCGTCTAGTTTTCGGGATAGTCCAGCGTAATAGCCTTCCTGGCGGCATTTGTGAGGCAAGTCTTTCAGATATTGGAGGCAGGCTGTAACATATTACAAAAATGCCTGGTCAGATCGGAGTGTCAGTTTTCTGTACGGCCGTGGGGACAGAAAACTGGTTTTGAACAATTCTTTCTAATCATTTCGTTTTAAAACTTTGAAATTTGCTTTTTGTGTCCTGAGGCCTCTTTTAAAATGATAACTATCCAAAACTATAATTGATATGACTATAAAAACCACAATGCGTTTGTGCACTGTTTCTTCTAGTGTACTGAAACTTCGCGAGAATCGAATCCACGATCCCCGAAGTGGCAGTATTTTGGATTCATAAAGAAATACTAAATAACGAAATACAGAATACATACTATGTCCAGCAGTGGACTAGTAAAGGCTGTTGATGATGATGCTGATGATGATGATGATGATGATGAAAGAAATACTAACCGTCTCTTGATTTTCGGCCATCTTTCCAAAGCACGCCCGAAGACGGACTTATTATGAAGTTGCTAAAACAAATATATTAACGGTATCATTTAAAATTAAAAACAAAACTGTACTGCTAAAAATATATTAAGCGTCATACGACCGCCATTTTTATTCTGTCTTTAATGTCATGAAGAAAGTCATAGGTACCTACATTTATAAGCCCTGACGATAATACACTCCTTTTTATATAGTTTTTGAAAATTTAGGTTCGGATTCATCCACATGCTGAAAAAATTGATTTATGCGCCATCTAGTGTAGACAGGCCGAATTACGTAGTTACTACTTAAGCTGTATCGCGTGATGCAAGTACTCACACCACTCCCCACTTGCATTTTAATGAATTATTCTTCCAAAGAACAATTTCAGCACGATAGTGCTTCTCTGCGCTCTCTGTTTTTATGCTATCCTATCCCTTTAAAATATAAACAACAGAGAATTACTTTAGATTGTCTGACATCATCAAAGCTAGCAGCTATTTTAGATTTTTTTTGAGGTAACATTACGAAGAGTATTCTTTTCAGATGGAGAATAGGAAGAAGTAAATTGATGTAAGGAGTATGGCGAGGGAGTTAGGAGTAAGAGATGTAACAAGTCTTGGATGGAAAAGACGGAAGATGTTAGAAGAGCCCGGTTCCCCAAAAGTTTCGTAATCGTCGAGAGTGTGATTGGAGAGTCGACTAGGATGAAGGCTAGATATAGATGTCAACTGGTAAGAGTTAAAAAGAAGAAGAAAATTTAGATAGAAAGTATTTCAAGGGTCTTACCTGGTATCATTAACAAGCTCGCAGTCAGTACAACAAATGATAGTCTCGTCGCCTTTTTGAGAGCATACCTGAAAAGATTCATAAGTTTTATTTATTTATTTATTTTATGGCTAACCAACAATTGTTTACACTGCATCTTACAATTTATTTACAAACTTATTACTAACATAAGTGTAACAATTTATTAAAGGTTAACACCGCATGCTTAGAATATTATAAAAGTATACAGCTTAAAAATGAAATAAATCTTAAATTAGAGAAATAATTATAACAACATTTTTTTTAATAATGACAATAACAAATTAGAAATTTAGTACAATGAATAAATAAAACCAATGCAACACAATTTTATCAATACACTCAATTCATAAATTAACCAATTTTATTATAAAAGTTGACAATACTCGTAGTACTGTAAAGTTGCCCAATGTTATCGCTATAAATATCTACTATGTCACTGCAGCCGTTGATTACTTTACAAAGTCTGGGAATTGGCGAGTTGACACCCAAAACTGTTCTACGTAAAGGTGGGTATAAGGGCGTGAGAGTGTTTCTAGAATATCTAAATGGGGCCCGGAATCTAATCAGATCAAGCAAGCAAGGGCAACTAATTTGATTATGAAGAAGTTTAAATCCAAACAATGCATCCACAATCATCCTCCGCACCAACAGTAGTTGCATCCTGAAGTACTGCAGACGTGAGGTGTACGACGGCAACTGTTTAGTTTTCCCCTCGCAGAATGCAAGGTGCCAAAGAAAACGTTTCTGAACGCGCTCCATCATAGGATAATCCTTTTTGCGGTTTAGGGGCAAACGAACAGACAGGGCACCTGATGGCAAGTGACTATGGTCGTCTATGTACACTGCTACCCAAGAGTCACATGTGAATTGGCGGACCTTGAATCCTCCACCAGAAATAGGGGAATTTGCGGTCTGGCCTCCGTTGACTGGTAAAAATCAATGGAAGAACAGCTGAACACTGGTTTGCTGTAAGGCCGTGATGAAGCATAACTCTTTCACGCTGTGTAGGCAAGTCACAATAGAAGCAGAAAAAATTATAAATAACCTAAAAATTCTATGCGTTTTTCGCCTATTTTATTTTCTGTAGATTTTTCTATGATTTGAAGAATCTAACGTCTCGTCTTACAGGGGTTCTCGGTGGCTTCCTCGTTAAGGTATCTCAAGACTTGTTATATACTTTCTTGTGATGGACTACCCTATAGTTTAATCTGTTCAAGCCATACCACTTCGCCTTCGGCCCTGATGAGGAGACGAACTTAAGAAGCCACAGGAAAAGAAATAATGCTTATTCTACTTACGGGAGGCTTAGCTCTACGCTTGTCAAGGGTCGTGAGACATACGCTTGGATGGACACACTTGCCCTTAATCCCATCCCATTCACAGTCTTCTCCTGAAAAAAGAAATGAGTTCACTAAGGGACTATTTATCCGTGAGGTGAAAAATTAAGAATACGGAGTGTCGCCATCAGTATTCATACCGTGGGGGTCATAAGAGCGGACTAAGGGAGAAAACTATGCAGGCAACAGCACTGCAAAAAGAAGGAAAACTTGATACAAACCCTTTTTTTTTTTTTTTAACGTGTGGAAATCCCCTCGGACCGTCATCCCACCGGGGTTTGCGGCGGGGTGGTGTGTCGGACTCGGACCGACTAAAACTACACGGTGTGCCACTCTGCGCCTGTAATAGGAGGGATCCGGGAACAGCTGTTATTAAGACATCCGGACCCCTCCTAGCGCCGGCCCGCTCCTGTTGCGGGCTCCGTCTCAAAATTTTTTCCTCCCCCGCCCCCTCGCGGCTGGCCAAACTAATGCGGGTGGAGGGGAAACCCACCCCGTCCACCCGCGGCCACACTCAGGGCGGCATGAGGCGCAGGTGAGCGCGCCTCCGCCGCCCGGTTCGCCGGCGGCGGATCGGGTCCGAGTGGAGGTCGTCCTCCCGGGCCTTCTCCGCCGCCTCCTTCTGCGAGATTACTTCCTCGCAGAAGGTTGCGACCGCGGTAAAACAACTGTCGCTACCGGCCATGGAGCGTACTACGGCCGGTAGCGAGAGATCTGCTCCGATGACTGCAGTGAGGGCCCGGCGCTGCGTCGCCCATGCGGGGCAGACCGCCAGCGTGTGCTGGGCCGAGTCCTCACTGCAGTCGCAGTGGTGGCAGTCGGGACTCAGTTCCCTCCTAGCGACCGAGTGCAGGTACTTTCCGAAGCAACCGTGCCCGGAAAGCACCTGCGTCAGCCGGAAGGTAAGGGTCCCGTGCTGCCGCCCTGCCCACTCGGCGATGACCGGTTGGAGAGCCTCCACGGCGGCGAAGCCAGCGCGTGGAGTCTCCAGCCGGAACGACCAACGAGCCATCGTGGCTCGGCGAGCGGCTTCGCGCCACTCGCGCACGTCTTCGGGCGGAGGGCGAAATCCGCTCTCCGCCCGGGAGTCAGCCACTCGCCGATAAACTTCGGCGAGCACTTCCGCCTCCAAATCCCACGGGGGAGTTCCGGCCAACGCGCAAGCCACCTCCGTCGAAACAGTGCGGTAACCGCGTATAGCTCTGACCGCCATTACCCTCTGAGGGCGCCAGAGGCGTGCCCTATTCTGGGCGGTCAGAGCCGCCGCCCGCACCGGTGCACCGTATAGTGCCATTGACCGGACAACCCCCGTGTACAGCCGTCTTGTCGCGACGCTGGGTCCACCCAAATTGGGCAAAAGTCGCCCTAGGGCAGACGCCGACCAGCTTTGGAGCAAGCTGTCGGAAGTGCTCGTGGAAGAGCCACTTCCCGTCGAGGATCAGGCCCAGATATTTCATCTGGGCCCAAACCGGTACGAGGACCGAGTTGACCACGATTGGGGGTGGACCACGACGGGGCCCATGAAATAAGAGAGCCTCCGTCTTATCTAGGGCCACCCGTAAGCCCAGCGCCTCAATGCGCCAGACCACCAGGGCGACTCCCCTTGTGGCCAGGCGCGCCGCCTCTTGGAAGTTCGCCCCCGGGCTGAGTTACCAGAGTATCATCTGCGTAACAAATTACACCCAGCCCGGGGGGGAAATCGGCTCAAAGGGCCCAGTCGTACCCTATGTTCCACAAGAGGGGTCCAAAAACAGACCTCCTCCAGGCTCCTCTAAATAGTCTGCCACTAGCCGCCTCAGGTACTTTGGCACCCCATGATAGTGGAGTGCTTCCCTGATGCAGCTGAATGGCAGACTATTGAATGCGTTGGCGATGTCCAATGACACCGCCAACAGTGTTGGGTGTCCGACAGATCGGGGCCAACCTCGCAGAGGTGCCGGACGATGCGGGCAGAGAGAACCCTCTCAAACAATTTACCCGCCTCGTCCAGCAGCACGATGGGCCTGTAGGCCGCGACCGAATCGGCAGGCCAACACAAACCCTATACCAACCCGTCTGGCCAGCGTGGTATGGTAGGCTAAAACCTTCTTTCTAAAGAGAGGCCTATGTCCACCAGTGGATTATTAAAGGCTGTTGATGATGATGATGAAAGAAGGGCATTCAAAACGGTCAAGCGACTAGAGGCATATGATTATGAATAGTGAAAATTAAAATGGTCTAGCGAATTCTAGTTTTAGATATAGTAGTTTTTACATATTCTTTAACTTATAAAGTTACACATATTGTTTAAACTTTTACAAATTGTTTAACTTTTAAACATTGAGCATACCAAATACGATATTCTACCGTACGTCATATTTATTATGTTTAAAAAATTTAAAATAAGGTTCAAAGATTCTTCTTTACGTAATAGATAGATAAACTTTTAAAGTAAATAACAACTAAAAAAAAATGTACATATTATTTATTAAATAAAATTCGATCCCTTTATATTATTTATCAACAATAATGTTTTATAGGTCACTGTTAAGTGGTATTTTGAACTTGATCTTTAGTTTAATATAAACAAATAACAACTTACGTTCAAGTGCTTCAATAATTCTGATAATTATAAGGCCGGGACATACTACAGCACTATCTAGACTAGTGATGTGCAGAATCGGCAAATGAACATAGGGATACGGTTTTCAACCGGTAGTAAGCCATGCTTCGGCACCATAGAGAGAACACGTGTACAGCTAGTTGAAAGTGGAAGCGATACAAGCAACGAGACAGATGTATGGCCGATAGTTCCCTCTGTCTCTGTTTAGCTAAGCTGCGATTGGCTATCGTGGTTTTGATCGTAGAAGATTAGAAATTTCCCCAGCCAACAACAGAGCTCGACTAGAAAGAGATAGGGAGAACTATCTATTATCCATCTTTATCGTTGCCTGTATTGCCAGATTGGGGCTCTTGTTTGGGGCACAGAGGTAAATAACTATTCTTGTTGCAACATGGGATTCAAAGAAAATAGTTAATGGGACCCATCGTTAACACCTAAAGAATGTTATCTAAATCTAGGATTCATCGAAAATAAATAAAGCCAGACGTTTATTCAATTCCAACCCAAAACAAATATTGTGTGATGAGCACGATCATTAATTCTGTGTCCGAGTGTAATTTATCTATGATATGTATGTATTTAGAATTATATAAGTTTGTTTATCAGTAGTCTGGTTATCATAGTACAGGTTCTGCCTAGTTTGGAATCAGATGACCCCGGAGTTGCGTCAAGTTCTTCACTTCCATATCAGGCGCTACACCCTCGTGGCAAATAGTTTGACCTCATAACATACACAATAACTTATATTTAAGAAAGTACAAAAAAAACCCGTCAGGTACGAGTCGAACTCGTGCGCCGAGGGTGCCGTACCTACTCAGATTTAACGTAGATTTTCGCGAAAATTTGTAAGTACCAAAATTTATCTTAATTTTTAAGTTGTTATTTTTTTGTGTTGTAAGACGTTTCTTTTTGCCAAATATCGTGATTCTTGGTCAACGGAAACTACCATATTTCAACCCAAAACCAGACAGACCAGACAATTTTATTTAAAAGCAAGGTCTTACAGCATAAGAAAAGAAAAAAATCTGAAAAATAAAAAAGTTGAAAATTAAGGTAAATTTTGGTACAAGTTTTCGCTAAAATCTAAATTTGCCCTTATCTTTTTATCGTGCTGACTCAGGACCTTGATTTTTATACCTAATAGGGACCATAGACCTCAGTATCTATTATAAATTCAACTTGCTAGGTCTACCCGTTCCTGAGAAAATCGGTGGTGACATACGGACAGACGGACAAGAAAGTAATCTTATAAAGGTTCCTTTTTTACCTTTTGAGGTACGGTACCCTAAAAAGAATTCATATTTTATACATACCTTCTTCCTTATCCAGATCACATGTTACAAAAGACAAGCAAACAGACAAACACACGCTAAATATTAAAACTTTATACATATTATTTGTATAATTTATTTTTTTAATGGCAGGCGACCGAGCGCTAGGCGGCTTGGCTGTCATCTAAAATTATATTCGGTGATGATAAACTTTGATGCCCTTTGTAATATATAACTTTAATAAAAAAATACTGATTTACGTTTTTATTTCCTGTTCTTGTTTATACAAGTAAATAAAATTGAAATGTCTGTTTGTAATGTCAAAGTAATAGGCTTTTTTCATGCTCACACGGTTATTTGCGCGATAGCTATACCTTAAAACCAATTTAAATATTTTTGTCTATCTGTCTATCTCTTTGTAGCGGGTAATCTTTAAAACGGCTAGACTGATTTTAATAATATTTTACTACCAAGTAGCTGTCTATATAAGAAGTAACTTAGGCTATTTTTTCTTTCAGAAAAACCCTATACATTTTGTTTGGTCCGGGAATCGAATCTACTAAGGGACCGCTTTTCAAATTCCATCCGAACGAATTCGCGGGCACCAGCTAGTATAGAATAAAATACGTTACAAATTTAATTGGAATAAATAGTAAGTTGAGATAGCCATGTTGCGATAAACCGGTACAAATGGGCCGGCTTGACTGGAGTGACACCGAGGCCTCACAGAAAACCGGTGTTGAGCAGTTCTTTTCCTGATTTTCATTGAGTGAGCCAGGTTACCGGCGGCCCCAGCCGTCCCTAATCTTGAATGGCAGTTGGCACTCACTTGTTCCTCTAGGATAGGGCCTGATTAGGCATGGTGTTAATTCGGGGTGGACCTGAAATAACATGGTCCGGGTCCTTCCCAGAGTAAGAACACCTGAGGCTGGCCGTCGGGGTGGTTTTTTTTTAGGTATAAATAGGCGACCGGTAGTCCTTCATTAGCCCGGTTGCTCGTTGGACCCCAAAACCATAAGAAAAGTTCATCACATCATCACAACAGCCTTAACTAGTCCACTGCTGGACATAGACTTCTCCTTAAAAATGAGGTTTTGGCCTAGTAAACGGGTTAGTATAGAGTTTGTGTCAAGTTTGCCTTCTCTTTGCAGTGCTGATATTCTGCGTAGTTTGCTCCGTTAGTTAGCTCTTACGACACCCACGGTATGAATAGGAGTGGTGACACTCCGTATTCTTTATCCGTCACCACACGGATAAGAGAATTTCATCATCATCATCATCAACAGCCTTTAACAGTCCACTGCTGGACATAGGCCTCTCCTTAGAAAGGAGGTTATGGCCTACTATACCACGCTGGCCAGACGGGTTGGTATAGGGTTTGTGTATGACATGTTTGGGTATAACATATCACGGATTATTCAAATCACACATTCACAGTCTATTATAAAATTATTTAAAAAAAAAGTTGAACCGACCTCAAAAAATACCAACAAGGAGCACTAAAAACCTAGTAAAATCGCGGTTGATTTGGTGTCATTTTTTGAAGAGTTCAGTTGTCTGTCTCCGAAACTCATCATCAGATCTATATGAAATTTAAATGGTCTATTTCGGAATAAACCCCGGAAATCCGTCTATATTAAGTATTAAGTGTTACTTTGAACCAGCTTCTGCACGCGACACAAGAGGTGACCAGGGCCTTAAAAAACGTAATATATTTTCAAATTATAGGGAAATGATTTATTTATTTTTCCAAATATGGCAATCTTTTTGATATCACCGCTGATGAGCCACTGCCATTCCATCGCCACTGTAAAGACACTGAGTTAGTGTAGACTACCGATATTTATACCGATGCCAATGGCCACTCAATGGCATCTCAATAGCGTGTGAGTGGTATGACAGTGGCTTGGCGTGAACATAAAATAGCAGAATTGAGGCCCAGGCCACAGTTGCTTCGAAAAGTACCCGTGTTCTATAGGCAGGGAGGCAACGTCAGGCTGTCGTGAGGATACTGTACTCCAAACTGTAGTGGAGTGCTCAGCGTGAATACAAGAACACTGTAATCTCTTGGTGGCTATGGTTCATAGTGAGAGTTCCATTTATTTTTATTAGGAAGTGATGTTCGCTAAGTATGGGGCGGAAGGGAACTGGAGAGTGTCAGTTCTCTCCCGTACTGAAGAAGTAGCAAAAGATGCCAGATTTGCCAGAATAACCTCTATGAGCGCTGGCCTGAGGGTGACCTGCTTGAAACAAATTAACCCTTTTTTTTAACGAGTGGAAACCCCCTCGGGCCGTTCCTCCACCAGGGTGTCCACTGAAGAGAGGGTGGCGTCAGGAATCAGGGAATCAGGTTCAAAGTTCATTTATTCAAAAAGATTATATTCTCTTCTAAGTCCATTTCTATATAATAGATTAAATTGAGAGCAAAGTAATTATAAATTTAATTATGTCAGCTTTTCAATCAAATTATATAATTATTTACAAATTTTGTCGTATGAGCAAACTGAGCGGTTACTTGAAATATGTAAATAAAAGTTTGCTGAACGGTCTTAGTGCATTACTTTTGACCCACTTATCACTGATGTTGCTAGTTGCTTGTGTAGGCTATTAAAATATTATAATTGAATTTTAGTTATGTAGATTTATATTAGCTTGTAAGCACTTCTTCGCCCGAGACACAGGTTCAACCTAGTTCGGGCAAACAAACAACTACTGTATTTTATTTATAAATTAAAGAACCATTTATTATAAATTATTGTACTCTATCTAAATAAATATTATCTAGGATTTATATTACGTAATTGCCACTAGTTCTTTGCTTTCATTTTCTGATACCTACACAAAAATGAAGTTGCTACGACTGCACCTGTAGTGGAGATTACTCTATGAGTTGTAGTAATAGGTCCAGTCCATGGAGCTATACCTGGTGTGGTTTTCCACGGTGAAAAAGGTCTGCCAAGGTTCTCAGGGACCTTCTTTCTAGGGTATACCAGAGTCCCTTGAAATGAACTCACATGTAACTGCATACCGCGTGGTTTAAGTCAGTTCGATTCCGACCACGGATTCCGACAACCACTTTACTGAGAGCCCCATTGAGCTGATGACCCGAGGGGGTTTCCAAACGATACGATGTCATCGTAACCAAGAGTGTAATTAAAATGATGTATTAATTAATCATCTTCGCCTACATATTTGTTAAGGCCAAATTCTTCGAACTGACGTTCAAACCTACAAAACATTTCTTAAAATATATTCATCATCATCATCCCAGCCGAAAAATTTCCCCTGCTGGACATAGGCCTCCTCAAGACCTCCAAGGTTCGCCGCAACAACCGATCCTCGGCTGCCGGCATCGAACGTAAGACACTGAATTCTATCAATGTCTTCACTATCGTAAAGAGACTTCACTGGTCTCAAGATGACGAGTGGGAGTAACCTCCGCTAACTTCACTTAACGCCATCTATCGAGATTTTTAGTAGGCATGTGTCAGAGAAGAGATATGTAGTTAAAAAATTACCTTACAATGGAGAATTAAAGAATTAAAAACGAATGACTGCTTTTGCGTAAAAAGACACTTAGTAGTTGGGCAATTTCTTATTGTAATTAAAAACCAATCAAAAATTTAGGCATTGGGTAGAGACAGTATCACGGTAGAGAACGCAGATGGTAACCGCGCGTCTGTTCCGCATCTTCCGGCCGCCATGGTCAGCCATCCCGCATGACTGAATGTTATGCGATTTAAGACGAAAAAACCTTTTAAAAGTTCCAGTTAACGTCGTGAGTTTCGTCAAGTAAGTTGTGTGTCTATGTATAAATGTTTCGGTATTTTGTGATTGTGTTTCTAATTTCTAATGTTTCGTGCGAAAATTTGATGTTGCCTCAAGGTGAGCCGGTTTAATTAAATATATGTATTGTTATATAAATATATGGTTTGGTCTGCGCTTAATAATTGTGTGTTTTAGAAAAAATATTCTCGTGAGTGGTATGCATGTACATATATTAATCGTAAGTAATATACTAATCTGTAAACTATTTAGAAAATAGGAATCAGCACTCAATTTAGCTTTCAGAACTTGGCAAGCCTGAAGAATTTTTACTGAGAAACTCTAAGGGCTTTTTACTAGAGAACACTGAGGGATTTTTTGTTTTTAATTGTATAGCGAACGAGAACGAGCACAGGTCATCTAATATTAACTGTTTTTTTTTGCACAACACCTATCGTTTGTTAGGCGGCGGTGGTATTTCCAGTTTAGCCCGAGTTTTTGTGCACGAAGCATGGCTCTTTAAAATATCTATTTCTTAAGCTTTTTCTACAATTTCACAATGCAAAACGATATTTTAATTTTAGGTTACCACTTTCTAAAATATATGTACCTATCTGGTTTTTTATGGCAGATGCCCTGTTCTGGTTTTGAAATTTCACACCCGTAACATCATCAGGAACAGAATTTCATAGTCCACTGCTGGACATATCCCTCTTCTTATAAAGTAATTTTGACCTTCAATACCGCTCTCGCCAGATGGATCGGTATAGAGTTTGTTTCAAGTTTTCCTTTTCTTTGCAGTGGTGTTATCCTTCGTAGCTTGCTCTTACGACACTCACGGGATGAATATTGGTACCGGTATGTAACCCGTAACATAGTAAACGTAGTTTCAGATTTAAATGATACTTTCTGTAATGGACGGAGTATTTATTGAGGTATAATGTAGGCTATAAAACAGCACGCGATTACTACTAAGGCCTGAGCTCTGATCATGAATCTAGTAAGAACTAAAGATATACTGTTTCACGTGTGTATGGGACCCAACTGGGGCTCTTTATCAAAGAGTGAAGCGACAACCCACGTCTGTGATAAGCGAATCAACTTTCTCGTAAATAGGTGTATATCTACTCGTACTTAATATAAACAAGGTTAATTTCATAAAAATAACTAGAAACATCTCATACACGGTCCTCTCATCCCAGACTAGGCAGAGCCTGTGCTATAGTAACCAGATTGGTGATAAACATACTTATATATTTTTAATTACATACATATTACTTACTGACCCGACAAACGTTGTTCTGCCATTAAAGTTATCAGAGCAATCGAACAAACTACGAGAATGATTAAAAAATGGAGGGGAGGTGGTAGGAGGGTGAAAAATACTTTACGACCTATTCTCATCATCATCATCTCAGCCGAAAGACCTCCACTGCTGGACATAGGCCTCCGTCATGAAGGCTCTCCACAACAACCGGTCCTGTGCTGCCCGAATTCAACGGTTTCCTGCGACCTGCACCAGGTATTCAGACCACCTTGTAGGGCCGTTCTCTACCTATTCGAATACCTAAGTACCACAAAAAAATGCATTAAATTCGGTCGAGCTGTAGTACGATCACAAACACAGTGACACGAGATATTTATATATTCATCAACAGCCTTTAAAAGTCCACTGCTGGGCCTAGGCCACTCCTTAGATAGGAGGCTTTTGGCTACTATACCACGGTAGCCAGACGGTAGACGGTTTGTGTCAAATTTTGCCTTCCCTTTGCAGTGATATTGCTCTGCGTAGTTTTCTCCCTTAGTCGGCTCTTACGACACCCACAGGATGAATAGGGGTGGTGATACTCCGTATTCTTAATCCATTACCATACGGCATTATACCTATATTAGAAAGATACATTACCAGGCAAATATAAAGTGTCGTAAGTTATCAATATAAATTGTTTATACTTATATTGTATATAATATATATATATATGTATTTGTATGTAGGCCAAAACCTCCTTTCTAAGGGGAGGCCTATGTCCAGCAGTGGACTATTAAAGGCTGTTGATGATGATGATGATGATTGTATGTATGTGTATGTATAATGATATAATGGATATTTATTTATTTTTACACTACGTTAGCTTCAATACACCTAGACTACCCACTGTTTCTTCTTATCTACTGTCGATTTGTCCATCCAAAGGTTGCCTGTGAGAGATTGCTATTAGCAATATGGCCGCCCATTGTACATATCCATCTGTAAAATTTAACCAACTTACTGTAATTGGTGTATAATAAAGCATATTCTATCCTGCTCATTACATAATTACTTATTTGTCCTAAGGCATCGAACTCGTAAGACACTAGATCTAAATACAGTTAAAAATATCAACCTCAAATGATTCTACAATTGAGTCGAATATTATAACAGATAAACAGACAGCGTATATTGTCATCTTAAACTGTAAAACGAGTTGAGGTCAAGCGCCCAGTATAAGGTCAAAGTACAAGTTGTAGGTTTATAGCGAAACTGTGGACAGTTTCTCGGTAATACGAACTCGGATTAGGCGGTCGCCACGCCGCTTACTACTACGCTAAGTGTTGTAGATTCAATCCGCACATGGGACGACACTTTGTGTAATCTAAGAATTGTTGTTCTGAGTCTGGGTGTTCTTTGTGTCCCTTTTATGTATGTTTGTAAAGTCTCCCGCGATAGAGGATACATTCCTGATGCGAGAGTAGTCTTATAAAAAAAAATGAGAGACTACGGGTTTGAGTCCCGTTTATTACAAGATTTATATCAATATATTATTTCTCATATCGTGTTTCTAACTTTTGAAAATGACGAACTTCCATACAATCCTTCATCCTTTATTTTACCCCCCTAGGGGTAAAATTTCCAGAAATCCTTTCTTAGTGGATGCTTACAACATAAAAAGCATCAGCTCCCAAAATTTCAAGTTTGTAACCCTCGTGGTTTAGGCTCTGCATTGACGAATCAGTCACTCAGACATGGCAAGTAGGTAATTTTAAATATAGATTTTTTTCTTTATTTCTACATTCTCAAAAAATTTGTAATTGGGCTGGACATATGCTACTCCACCCCATTAACAAATGGAGCAAGCAAGTCACCCTCTGGCAACCAAGAGACGGCAAAAGAGGTAGGGGTCGTCAAGTCAGGAGATGGGAAGATGACTTGAAACAGACAGCGGGACCACTTGAGAGTAGCAAGGGACAGGACCCATTGGAAGGAATTGGAGGAGAGCTATGCCAAAAGGCACACCGAACTTAGGGACCTCTTGTAACCCTATGTTTAGGAATAAAGGCTATTATTATTATTATTAATCTCAAACCCTCAGTCAAATTTAAATGATTCTTTTAATATTGGATAGAGTATTTTTAGCTATAAAGACTTCACGCTACAGACAAAAAGAGAGTAGCAATGACCATAAATGTAGATGAAACGACTAGAACGTGAATTTTTCAAAATTTTCAAATACTAAAGTATGAATTAATATTTTTTTAAATAAGCTAAGTGGTAATCGAGTAGGTTAGCATATTTCTAAGTTAAGCAATCCTGGCCAGGTCAGTCTATGGATGGGTGACCATTCTTAACACATCTAAACCCCGTCGTTCCCCGGCGAGCACATTGCCATACGAACATCTATGAGATAACCGGTAGTTGTAACCCTAAAAAGTCCGAGAACATCACTCTCCCGCTCACCCTATTATGGGGGAAGAGTCAGCCATATAAACGTTTTTATATCTCTTAAGTTGTTACTAAGTGCGGGGCTAGTCCCTACCATCCATCATCATCACCAGATGACTTGTTTGGTCGTTTGCTGCAAAATGAAATTAAAAGAAGTTAAAGAAGATGATGTTGATTTAAGCTCTTTTTGTACTCTTTCAGACTCACCCTGTGCGTGGAATGGATCAGCTGGGCGCTGTGTGAGTGTGCACAGATGTTTTAGTGCCATTAAAGACATTGCCAATAAGACATTTCCACCGGTAAGTATTAATGATTTGACACATCTAACTCACGGCTGATCCCAAACTAGGCAGAGCCTGTAATGTGGTAACCAGACTGCTAATAAAAATACTTACATATACAAAAGAAAAAAAAACGTATTTAAGTATTCTACCAGTCAATCTAGCTTTCAAGCTCTGCTTAGTTTGAAACTAGATGGCGTTGTGTATTAGATCTCCAAAAATGGACCACATGGACTCACATCTTAATCCTAGTTGGGGTAGGCAGAAACAATAGAATGCCATTTTCCAGGATCCTATGCCTTTCATTCTCGCTCGTCGTTTACCAGTGCTTTTAACGAGGTCCTTATTCAGTATACTACTGATTTCAGTGCTGATGTAAGTGTCATTTGTCACTGTGTTAACATTCTCACATCAACAGCCTTAAATGCTCCAATGCTGGACATAAGCCTCTCCTTAGACAGGAGGGTTTGGCCTACTATACCACGCTGGCCAGACTTGTTGGTAGAGGGTTTGTGTCAAGTTTTCCTTCTTTTTGAAGTGCTGTTGTCCTGCGTAGTTTGCTACCTTGGTCAGCTTACGACACCCACGGGATGAATAGGGATGGTGACATTCCGTATTCTTATATCCTATTGTATAAATTTTCACTATAAACTTGATTTGAGCTCATGGTATATGACCATGTACTCGTATGCCATACTATTTTAAGCAGACGTTAAGCAGGTAGCCGGTCATAAAATAAATAAGATAAAACCATTGTACAAAGAAATAAAGGAGTATCTACGTGAAAGAGGTTGTCCAGTCATAGAGTGATAGATAAGATTGGAAGAAGAAAATATTGCACCGACCCCAAATATTTTTTTTGGGCAATGGTAAAAAGATGATGAGGAAGCTTTTAAGTAAAGTCCTATTATTTAAGGTATTCATATAATCATCTCTATAACCGACTTCAAATACAAAGTTCTCAATTCGCCTGATTTTTTGAGAGGACTATTTGACAACCAAATTCAACAATAATTTTTGTTTCAGCTCTGTTCATTTGAAGGAAAAACTCCTATAATATGCTGCACCGACTGTACTCTGGTTGAAGACACCAGGTAAAGTATATTCTTTAGGGTTTGAAAGTCTTAAACTAGCTAAGAATATCTAAACCCCAGTGGGGTGACGGCTCGAGGCATTTCCACAGATAATCTCTCTGATTGTGAAAGGGTTATCAAGAAAGATTCATAAATTTCAAAGATTAAAGCAGAAAAGATTGTTTGTTTGCTTTACTTACTTGTGTTCACGGGAATGCCGGTTATCAAACCGGATACAGGATCTTTATCACGCCCGTGATTTTTTAATAGCGTTTCACTTAAATAAAAACAATTATAATAAGTATAATATATTATTATAAAAAAAATACATTTAAAAATATAAAAAAAGTAGACCACCGACATCGGGTACAGGGACCAAGACACCGGTGGTTAGGACTCCAAAGATAGGAACCTCCTCACTATACGAGCCGTGTCAAGGAGGACTGCCTTCTGCATCAGACCCTTGATCCAGCCGTCCAACGTGAGCCTCTTAAGGTGTTGGTCGAGGCTCTTGGCTATCAATCCGTGAGCAGATACGACTATCGGAACAATGATCACTGAATCAACAGTCCACATATCGACAATCTCGTGCGATAAATCCAAATATTTAATTTGTTTTTCTTTTTTTTATTTCTTTTTTTATGTTTTTTTTTGTTTTTCTTCTTTTTTTTTGTTATTATTATTAAGATTAAGATGGTATTCTTTGATAAAAAGAATTTCGATTGATTTATGTGTATATGTATATGTATATAATATGTGAAATCGTGTGACTAAAACCAATCATTGCAATGAATATAATTTAAAAGTAGCAATAATAGACTGAGACCGGTCGTCTTTATTTGAAAACACCACATACTCCTGACCCCTGCTTCCCCAAGGAGACGGAGATTCGAAGGGATTTGCCACCCGGTCACCAAAAAAATGTCTTTAGGTGACCCGTCTACTCATTTGCCCCCTTTTTTTTTCCCGTGCGGAAATCCCTTCGGATACCACCTATCGGTGGCATGTCGGACTCGAACCGACTAAAACCGCACGCCGTCTCGGGTACTAATAGCCGGGGAACCAGGTATAGCCTAGAAAGGAAGTCCCTGGTGCCCAACTCATTTGCCCCCTAAAAATAAAATATACACACTCACGTATTTATCCCCGGGGTAGGCAGATGTCAAATTAAATTGAACTTCAGGATGTAGTTTTTAAAGTAGTTATTTGTCTGCACCATCGCTTTTTATGTCATTTATGTAGAAAAAAAACATTCATAGATTTAATTATTTCTAATTTCTTTTTGAGTAATATGTAATTGTTTTATCACAGATTAATAGTAATCAACCCACTGTTGGGAATCTTGTATAAAACAGGCACGAGCAAGGCTAAAGACAGTAAGTAACTGATTCATTTAATTATTTATTTTATCCTTATAGAGAACCTCATCGTTAAATTATGAAAATTTATAAAAAAACTTATGGTTCAAGTAAGTAAGATGGAACTGTATTAGTGGCAAAATAAATTTAAAACTCGGTGTTAACTAAATTAATAATTTATTTATTTATTAAGCCTTCCTGCAAACATATTGCATAAGGCGGACTTAATGCCTCAGACATTTTCTTCCAGTCAAACCTTTGGGTATTGCAAAGCTGTGTTTGGCAGATGTATATTTGGGACAGGTAAAGATGAGACTGAATTAAGAAATGTTACAATGGCAGAAAAGAAAAAATCCTGCAGATATATAAGTACTAGGTATACATTCATATAGTTTATATTTATAAATATCAAAATATATATAATACGAAGATAATAAATATACTATTAAGGTGCTATTCTGATGACTCCGTTAACAAGTCTCTATAGAGCTTACTTTAAGCTTAAAAATGTATCGGTTAGTGGACTTCCTGGAATAATTCACGCCTGGACCCTTACTTCCCCGTCACCTCGACCATACAGCCTATAACAGTCCACTGCTGGACATAAGAAATCTCCTTAGAAATGAGATTTTGGCCTCCTATGCTACGCTGGCCAAGCAGGTTGGTATAGAGTTTGTTTTAAGTTTTCCTTCTCTTTGCAGTGCTATCTTCCTGCGTAATTTGCTCCTATAGTTGGCCCTTACGACACCCATGGGATAAATAGGGATGGTGACACTCCGTATTCTTTATTGATAGAAATCGATACTATAAGTATATGAAATACATACATAGCTTTACCTATGGGCTTATTCTCTTTTTAATATCATTATCGTTTGATAAACATCGATGTACGTGTAGGTACACAAGTACCATTCAACTGGTCGATTTCGGAATAACAGCTATCACCTATAATCACCTATAAATTAGAAATAATATTAAAATATAATATTGTACCACATTCACACAACGGCATCTAGTCCCAAACTAAGCAGAGCTTGTACTATGGCTACTAGACAACTGATATAAATACATGTATACTTTTTTTATAAATAGATACTTATTATACATAGAAACACCCAGAACAAATCAAACATTAAATGTTCACGCACACAAATATTTGACTTTAGCGGGAAGCGAATCCGCGACCTTTGGACACAGACCACTAAACCATTCGGTCGTCAAAAGAAAGATATTCCAGAAATGAAAAAATAAATAAAGTGAATGATTTATTTCATAAAACATAGCATCTTTTAGACAAATAAATGATAAATCTATATATATACTAGCTGACCCGGCAAACCTTGTATTGCAAAACAAAAAAAATTAGGGATGGGTCACCCTTACCATTTAGGGGTATGAAAAATAGATGTTGGCCGATTCTCAGACCTACCCGATGTGCACACAAAATTTCATGAGAATCGGTCAAGCCGTTTCGGAGGAGTAAGGGAACGAACATTGTGACACGAGAAGATAAGAGATTTCCACGTATACAGTCACTCATCACGATATCTCTGGAACCATTAGAGCTAAAGACTTGAAATTTGGTAGGAATATTCTTTTCACCGAGTAGAGGTCAGCTAAGAACGGATTTTAAGAAATTTAAAAAAATATATGTAAATAGCAAAACAACTTTTGCAGGGTCAACTAGTAAATAATAACATTTACATGTCTATGAAATGTTACTAATAGTAGTAGACCCGCCCGGCCCAACAGTATATAGGTACACTGCGATGGATAAATACCACCTCAGTACCGATTTTCAGTCGGTCTATCGATAGTCGGCTCTTACGACACCCATATGATAAGGAAGTGTGGTGGCACTCCGTATTCTTAATCTTGATATACATTAAACACTCAACATATATTCCAGAATGTATTGACTACATTCACACCCTGGACTATCAATGCAAAAACGGATTATTCCCTATTATTAAAAAGAAGAAGCATGATCCTTCAGAGAACTGTACATACGAAGGGACTGACAACCAGTTAGGCAATAGTTTTGCGTCTGGTGGTAGAAATGCTGAAAGGGAAGAATTTCCTCATATGGTAAGACTTTAATTTTTATAAGTGCAGTATTTCACACATGGTTCTGATCACTATTCTGATACCGAGGATTGTAGCATGACGTTAAACAGCCTGTAACCTCGAATATTGGGCTAAGAAAAATAAAAAGGCTAGACTAGTATTTTCAAAGCTTTTATCGAAATAATAGTTAATAGTAACTTTAAAATTTAGCACCGACTTCAATCCTAGGCATATTGAAGTCGTCCTGAGCTCTTTTTGCTGTCGCGGATCCGTCGTTTTACCTTTCCTTCGGGGCAGATCGACCAGTTTTGGGAGGTGAGCGGTCGCTACGAGCCCCTCAGCGGCTTGTGCCCGCTTTGGCTGAGGTGGCCTCATCGCTAGAGGCCGACGCCAAAGGGCTATTGTCCCCTGAGTGGGGCTGGCAGCGCCTTTTACTCTTGTTAGCACCCCGCTGGTACTGCTCTGCACCTGACACCATCGGGGTGCTCGCTGCGCTTGTTTCTGAGGCAGTGTCCGAATCCAACACTGCCCCATATGTTGCCGCGTTCTTTGCGATATTTTGGTCGCCGGATTTACCGCTCGGCGACGGGCGGGTAAGACATAGATTGCTCCCCCTAGAATACGACTGGGAGCCGTTAAGCTCCGGGAGGGATTAACCTGACGCAGTGCGTCTAGGACCTTCCTGGGTAGGTTTTAATTTAAGTTTACACATGTCATTTTTTAAATAGTTTAATGTCCATCGACGGAACGCCCTTGGCACTGTCTGCTGGACCCTGTCTGCACCAGACCGGGTTAGTCCGCCGGGTGGTTTTCTTGTAAAGGTTGCCTTCCTCGTAGTCCTCGAACAGCCGCCGTTCCTGACTGCTGCCAGTCAGGCTTACGGCATGGACGGTGGTCTGCATCAGACTGGTGTCCACTACCTCTGGACAAAGCCAGCGGTAGAGAACCCGTCCGTCCTCTAGCTTGCTCTCCACTATGCCCGCCGCTAAACAGAGGGACACGCGGAGAGTCTCCGAGCAACCCTCGGCAGGGCTGTTCCCTTCTCAACCCGAATTGGTCGTAGGTGGCAGCGCCTCCCCCACCTAAGGAAGGAGGCGCTGCCGTCTTCGTTGCCCAGGGTTCACCACGCGGAGGTTCCGGACCCCGCACCCCAAGGATTTCCTTTCTAGGATACACCTGGTTCCCCGACGACTGGTACCCGAGACGGCATGCGGTTTTTGGTCGGTTCGAGTGCGACATAATCATTCGACCGATAGGGGGTATCCGAGGGGAGGCCCTGTGAGCGGGAAGTCGATGCGAACAGACATTGAAAGACATATGAAGATCAGATTAGCAGTATACAAAAAAAGACCCTCGTCAAAAGCACCCTAATCCTCGAGCGTGTGTAAAAGAGTTGATGAAAAGCGTTGCAAATGGTGTTCCATTGTCTCTGCCCACCCTCATATTCCTAAAATGGATTTCTTATCAAATAGCACCGACTTTATCTTTCTTTTTCTTATGTCTGTAAAATATTCTTACAGGCATTACTTGGATTTGGGGATACTGTTGACACAGCGAACTGGTTGTGTGGAGGAACAGTGATCAGCGAAAGGTTCATCCTTACTGCGGCTCACTGCATTTCCAGTCTAAGAGTGTAAGTAATAAATAACTACCTACTCAATAAATATAAAAATAATAACCTCAATAATAACTCAATAATAATAACCTGATGCATCTCACACATGGCCGTTCGATCCTGAACTTGGCAGACCATGCGTTTTCGTAACTAGACTGCTGATAAACATACTTTCGAAATACATACATATTATTGACAAATTACACCCACACACAGAGCAAATGATCGTGCTGTTCCACAACAATGTTTATCCTAGGTGGGAATCGAACCCACGACTTCTAGTTTAACAGTCACTAACCACTAGACCAACAGGCCAGTCAATTTTGGACTCACATTTATGTTTCCGCACGAGAATTAACGTTACCACTTAATAGGGATTAAAATAGGTCTTTACCTATGAAATTGCTGTTTTGTATGCAATAAGTGAAAGTACTTATTTTTTCAAACTTTTTTATTTCTGTTATTCGAAGTAATCACCCATGCAATCGACGCATCTTTGCCAACGCATTGGCAGTTTATTGATGCTCTTCTTGTAAAAATCAGCTGGACGGAAGGCAACAAACTCTTCAAAGGCTGTGCTGCCTCTCGGGAATTGATTTTTTTACCCACTAAAAAGTTGTCTAAATTTTGGAAAAAGTAATAATCGGTAGGTGCATTATGGTGTATAGAGTAAACGAGCAGACGGGTCATCTGATGGAGAGTCACAACCGCCGTAGATGGATACCTGCAACTCACAAAACATAAGTACATGCCTATTAAGTGTCCATTCTTCCCCCCCCCCCCCTCCCCCAACCACGAAAGAAAGAAAGAGAGAAAAAAAGAAACGTTCATTTGCACAGAACACAGGTGGTACCATATTTAAAAGTGGTGTATTGTTCGAGCTATGTTCTGCCTGTATGCAAAAATTTACATTCGAACACATTAACAAAATGTCAAGAAATATTGTGACATATTTAATTGAAATAATTTCTTAACAAGATTTTTTGTGAGGCCATGGTATCTGATCAAGGCCCATCTGTACCGAGGCATGGTTCTCCACGACAGAAACGACACGGTTTGTTTTGTCAATAGCTCAGGAAAATCTACCTTTGTTTTAGATCTAATGGAACAGTTTTGTTTTTCAGAGGTTCGGTGAAGTTTATCGCCCTGGGTATACTGAAGCGTTCGGATGCTCCCAGCCTTTGGCAAACGTACAACGTGCAGAGAACTATTCCTCACCCAGAATACCAACCCCCCTCCAAGTATCATGATATTGCTCTACTGGAGACCGACAGAATGTAAGTGAGAACAAACCTATAGGAACCCTTAGTTAATAAAACAAAAAAGAATGGGACAGTTAGCATAAAAAGGAAAGGAAGGGTAAAAGTAAAAAAGAAAGAAGGTTGTTTATACAGGTGGATTGGGGATAACTTGGCAAAGGAGAAAAGAGAACTTATTATATTGCTCAATCCTATAAATTACTTCTGAATAACATCGTCTTTTTTTTTATTTATTTTGGATCGAAAACAAACGATACACATTTCTACAATAATTAAAAAATATACAAAAACATGCCTTGTGGAGCTCAAGGCATGTTAAAGGCAATCACAACTATCATAAGTAAAACTTGTACCATTCAAAAATAAAAAAAGGCATCATAATAGAAAAAAAAAAAAAAGAAAAACCTAGGTGAACTTTTGCTCACCCAAGTTTAGACTCAAGATAGTCCGTGATTTTTTTCTTAAAATTAGGCAAACTATCTCCAAAATTCGTTTCGTTCGTTCGTTTCGGGAACCAGCTACTAAATTACAAATTCCTACTCCTTTGCAAATTCACCCATCTGTCTACATCTTTCCTTCTTAATTACCCTTCCCTTCCTAAGGTATCAATTTTCTATTCCTTTTTATTTAACTATTCCTGGGACTTCCCGAGTGACATAACTAGGTGTATTGGAGTAGTGGGCATATGGGTAGTATTAGTCCCATTAGTAACTGATTGGCGCGACCTGGTCAAGTTTAAGAACGCGATTTTTTCTGTACATATTTTCCGGCTTCTTCTACTAAGACTGTTTCAGTAATATAAATTTCTTTTGTTCTCCAGAATATCATTCAGCTCAAAAGTTCTTCCAGCATGTCTCCACGATGACAATTACGATCTGGATTTATACGCGGACGCCACCGGCTGGGGTGCTCTTGGATACAAGAAGAATATTGCTGATGTGTTACAATCTGTGAGTACCATAACTGAGAAAATTAACTGCTTCAACCATGGGAGAGTCATGCTTCCGGTACATGTAGACCGAATCTTGCCAAAAACCGGTATTACGCCATTCTTCTGTGTTGAGTTACCGAAGACTCACCTTCTCTCCCACTCCCGTTTAATTCTGGGGGACATTTGAAGGTTGATAACGCACTTGTAACTCCTGAGCTGCAAGTACCCATGTGGGGAGCTAGTCACTTAACGTAAATATGCTTATTTATTGAGACTGCCTGCAAAACTTATTGGAAAAGGCGGACTTAATGCCACAGGCATTTTCTCCCAGTCATAGGATGTTGCAAAGCTGTGTGTGGCAGGTGTATATTTGGAACAAGGGAACAAACAAAAAGGGAAAAAATCTACAGGTACTAGGTATACATACACTTAGTTTACATAAGTATGTTGTTCATAGTAGTATACATACATAAATCTCTTACTTATAAATACATGAAAAAAACTCTTTTTACCTGTACAAAGAATACTCGGAACTACAATTGGTCGATCACACAAAGTGTCGTCCCATGTGGGGATCGAATCCACAACACTCAGCGCAGTAAGTAGCGGCGAAGTAACCGCTTATACCACTCCGCCATCCATGCAGTATGTAATATGAAACCAGCTACATAAAACTATAAGGGTCTAGTTGTTGTTGACCTATGATTGTAAAAGGTCTATACAAGATAGTTCAAGTTATACTGGTCAATGAAATTCAACAAGCCATTCAAAACATTTGAAAAACGACCCCCAAGCAACGTTTTGTTTTATAGTTAACAGAAATAGACTATTGGTATTGGTTCTACAGGTATCTCTGCGCCGGTTTACTGAAGAAGATTGTTCAGAACGGTACCCAAAACACAGGCACCTAATCAACGGCTTTGATGTATTAACACAAATGTGCTATGGGGACACGGGAGATCAGCAGGTGCCTACAGACACCTGCGAGGTAATATTTGGACTTTAAACCAAGTTTAGGGATGGGTAATGTTACAAAATGTATGACACCAGGCCCTCAATTCTGCTATTTTATGTTCACGCCATACCACGTTCATACCACTGACATTTTTAATTTGAAAATATAATACGTTTTTTTGAGGCAATGATTTATTTATTTTTCCAAATATGGCAATCTTTTTGATATCACCGCTGATGAGCCACTGCCATTCCATCGCCACTGTAAAGACACTGAGTTAGTGTAGACTACCGATATTTATACCGATGCCAATGGCCACTCGATTGCATCTCAATAGCGTGTCAGTGGTATGACAGTGGCTTGGCGTGAACATAAAATAGCAGAATTGAGGCCCAGTACAACTGTATTGACTATCAGAATTGTATTGTATCTATATATTATAATATTATTATTATTACTATACGAACTACGTCTTTCTGATGTGAAACATCCAATGCAGAGGGTCAGACCGACTTTTCGCGTGGCGACGCGTCACCACGGAATGCGTCGCCACACTTTGTGACAGTATATGTAACATGTAATGTAGTGCGTCGACGTTTTTTTTTACTCTATATATTTACAAACTAATTTAGATATTTAATATCTGCTAGACGTCCCGCCAGAGCCAGAGCCGACTAAGGGAGCAAACTAAGCAGGACAACAGCACTGCAAAGAGAAGGAAAACTTGAAATAAACCCTATACCAACCCGTCTGGCCAGCGTGGTATAGTAGGCCAAAACCTCCTTTCTGAGGAGAGGCCTATGTCCAGCAGTGGACTAGTATAGGCTGTTGATGATGATGATGATGATGAGACGTCCCGCAGCTCAATGTTTTGTAAGTAAAGAACAAAAGGGGCCCGTCGGGTCACCAACCGGCGGTGTTAATAGCGGCTTATCAGATACATTTCAATTCCTTGCTCACCCCACGGAAATAGCTTTTCCCTCCTGATTCTGGTAGCAAACGCAAAGGGCGTCAAAGCGCTTGGAACTGTTGAGTTGTAGGTCACAATGAGCGGTAGTAGTCACTTACCACCAGGTGAACCGTCCAATCATCAGAATAAACCTGAAGAATAAAGAGTTATGTATAACAATAGTCTGTGTATGTATTTTTTTATGATATAGGGGGCAGACGAGCAGTCGGATCACCTGGAAAGTGACTATCGCGGCCCATGAACGTCTGCAACTCAGTAGTCACAAACGCGTTGCCGACCTTTTAGGAAGGAGTACGCTCTTTTCTTAAAAGTTTGAAGGTCGTATCGGTCTGGAAATACCGCAGACGAAAACCCGTTCCACAGATTGGTTGTGCAAGGCAAAAAGTGTCTTGAAAAGCGCACAGTAGTGGAGGGCAAACTATCCAGGTGATGAGGATGTATGTTATCATCTGCCTTTGTGATATAATATTCATCAATTATTTCGTATTCTTCAGGGAGACAGCGGTGGTCCCCTGCAGTCTCAGGCTCATGATCGGTGTGTGTTCACGATTCTGGGAGTGACCTCGTACGGCAGACCGTGTGGGGATGCAGGCGGCGCAGGCATATATACCCGCGTCAAATACTACGTACCCTGGATTGAAGATATTGTCTGGCCTTGATTTATGAGAATTATCAAGACTGTATTATATTTTTTTGTAGTTAATAATAATAAAGAATTTAGTTCTGAATGTAGTTTCTGTGTCCCAACGTCGTGAAATGATTAGAAAGTGTCAGACTGAATACTATTAATTCACTTTGTTTTTCTTTTTATTTTAGTTAAAAAAGACAACTCCCGCATTAGGAATATATCCTGTGTCGCGGGGGACTTTACAAACATACATGAAACGGGCACAAAGAACACCCAGACTCAGAACAACAATTTGTGGATCATACAAAGTGTCGTACCATGTGGGGTTTGAACCCACAACACTCGGCGTAGTAGAAAGCGGCGTGGCGACAGCTTAAACCACTACGCCATCCGCCATACGCAATTATCTACAAAACGGTGTTTTTTTTATGAAGAAACAAGAAATTAGTTTTAATTATCCTTATATTTTGATTATTTCCAAACATAACACTACGATGCGTACAACTAAGTCAATGCAGTAAGCATTGACTTAGGAGAAGCAAAATCATTTCTTCTGTATCTGGGTCTAATTTATCTGTCCAGTGGTAGCGTTTGTGACTGCTGTGCTGAGGTCTCGGGTTCGATTCCCGGGTTGAACCAAATGTTTGTATGATCTGCAAATATTTGTTTCGGAGTTTGGGTGTTTTCTATGTAAAGTATGTAAGTATTCTATCATTCAATCTAGCTTTAATAGTACAAGCTCTGCTTAGTTTGAAACTGGATAGCGTTGTGTGTCAGATGTCCGGTAATGTTATAAAAATAAAAATAATAAATAAATTTGAATTTATTTAGTAATATATAGGTATGTTTATCAGTACTCTAGTAACTTATAACACAAGTTCTGCCTAGTTTATACCGTGGGAGAGCCATGCTTCGGCACGCATGGGCCCGGCTCGACCGGAGTGATGCCACGGCCTCACAGAAAACCGGTGTTAAGTAATTCTGTCGTTGCCTTTCACTGAGTGAGTGAGATTACCAGAGCCCAAATCCCACTCCCGATGACTCGAGCGGGAGGGACTCCAAGGGCGGCAACGCACTTGTGACTTTTGAGTTGCAGGTGTCCATGGACGATTCGGTTGTGCTTAATATTGTGTTTTTGTATTTAATTTCGCAAATATTCCGTCATGTGTCGTGAAGTGGTGTAGAAGTCATTTAGACATAAAAAAAACACTTGAATCACCTTTCATTAGTAAGTAAATAAACATTTTGTTAACCCATACTTAACGACTCCGTAAATGATGCGTCAGAGACGCATGTAAATCGTAGTTTTCTTTCTCTTTCTACCAACGTCCCCGGATCGTGGCTCACTTCTCCTCCATCTATTTATCATCTCTATGTATACAACACGCTTTAAATATAGTTAGTATCTATTTGATAATTGGCTATACTGATAATTCTTTTAAGGTATGTGTATCGACCCCCACAATCAAAGAAAAAGAAACAAACGAAGACACAGCGAACCTCGGAGTAACTCCTGAATGAGAATTGCTAATCTTGTATAGCGATATAAGAAATTCTCTCGCCGATTAACATATATACAACTTCAAAGGTTATAGGATCCTCCCTTTATGTTGGATGGACATGACACCCGTTCCTCCACAGTATGGTACTGGTCACCTGATGTTAAGTGACTGGTACCACCCATATACACCCTCAATAAGAGGCACAAGTTCGTTGCTGCCTTTTGAGTTTCTATCCCCTCACCAGATTGAGGGGGACGCCTCTGGTAGCTTCACTCACTCGGTAAGGTGCAACGAAAGAACCGAATTTTTGTTGGATTACAGTATCTCTCCGTTCGAGTAAAGCCATTATTGATAAAGCGTGAATAATTGAGGAACTCTTCCTTTTAAGTTTGTTAAATATTAAAATTTTTACAATATTCTTAAGTAGACTTACAATTTTGACATAATAATTAAACAATGCATATTACATACCCATCGGCTATACTAACAACTCACCTTTAACAAAATCACAACCGAAAATCAACAAAACGGTAATTTATACATTATGAATAAAAATAATTAAGTCTCACTTCACATTATTTTATATTTCATGTAAGTACAACATTTACGTACAAAGAGGTAAAAAAGTTTTTAGAAAATTATTTTAATCAGAATAATATTGGTATTTTTGGTAGATAGAAGTAATTTTTAAAACGACAACACTGGAATTGACGCTCGCCTCTGTTGTGTCAATGTGTGTAATCAAGAGCACCCTGCCATTTTGTTTTTATTAGTGCAAATAAATGATAAAGTACATATTTAATGACAATCGCGAGTGCTAAACTGATATTATATTCTTTATTAAGTTATAACAAAAGTATAGAAAACTTACATATTGATTAGTTTTTACTATTAAAAGAGTGTTAAAGTAAACTAACCTTACTCAAAAATCTAATTAGTTATTTGTGAAAATGGTGCGTGGTGCGGGTCGTGGTGGCCGTGGAATGCCAGGCAGAGGTGGAATGGGACGGCCACCATTTAATAGACCCCGGGTAATGTTGCGACCGCCATTTGACCTGATATTGGCTGAACCGGCATTCCCTCGATGCAAACCTGCCCCCGACGATTCTGCTCTTACTCAGGTACATAAACTTATTTGTAAATAGATCTTTAAGATACTTTAACACTTCGATTCGTTTGTGACTCCTGAGTTGTAGACATTCATGGGCGGCGATGGTCACTTTCCATCAGGTGACCTGTCTGCTCGTCTGCCCCCTCTAATATATAAAAAAAAAACACCAAAACAGACCGGGATCCAAAATATACATTCAAAATATAGTCTCAAATAGTATTCAGTTCCGTGTACTATAAACGACACCAATGAACTGACACACTGGGAGTAACAACACCACTGCTGGCTAGTGATGTATAACGTGAAATAAAACAAATATTTATGTTAATTTTTAATGATAATGTTGAAATTGAGACAAGGGATTTGTAAAACAGTAATTGTATACATTACAAAAAAAAAAATTTACAAAACTTGATCCAATATTATACAATAACCTTTTTTTCACCCTATCTTTGTTTCATCTGCTGGCTTTGAAGAACTGAAACCAGTGAAACTTTTTACAGGCTCTTCTGAAAAGACATGCAGAGTTGTGCCCGACACCGGCAGAGCAGTCTGCTGTGCTCAGCTTGGTCACAAAACTACAGACTGTCCTGGACAATCTGGTAGTTGCTCCGGGAGACTTTGCAGCATGTGTGAGTGTATTTAATACTAATTCGTTTCAGGGCTAGTATAGAATTTTCCACCAACACCTTTATTCATCCCGTGGGTGTTATAAGAGCCTACTAAGGGAGTAAACTATGCAGGACAACAATACTGCAAAGAAGTACTACTGAGAAGGAAAACTTGAAACAAACCCTGTACCATCCTGTCTGGCCAGCATGATTTTGTAGGCCAAACCTCCTTTCTAAGGAGAAGCCTATGTCCAGCAGTGGACTATGAAAGACTGTTGTTGCATGACTAAAAAATTGTGCATATTAGCTAACATACTGCTAAGTCACAGGGAGGGGGAGGTTAGTTTAGGCTTAAGCGGTTAGTTAGGTAGTTAAGGCGGCGGGGAGGTGTTCGACGCTAGCTTGGCGTCGGGACGCTTCCCTGAGTGCTGGAAAAGCGGGAAGCTGGTCCTATTGAGGAAGCCGGGACGGCCAGCCGATTCGGTCGCGGCCTATAGGCCCATCGTGCTGCTGGACGAGGCGGGCAAATTGTTTGAGAGGGTTCTTTCTGCCCGCATCGTCCGGCACCTCTGCGAGGTGGGCCCCGATCTGTCGGACGCCCAATTTGGTTTTCGGGCGGGGCGTTCGACAGTCGACGCCGTGTTGCGCCTGAGGGCCGTGACCGAAGAGGCCGTGAGCTGTGGCGGCGTGCTGTTGGCGGTGTCATTGGACATCGCCAACGCATTCAATAGTCTGCCATTCAGCTGCATCAGGGAAGCACTCCGCTATCATGGGGTGCCAAAGTACCTGAGGCGGCTAGTGGCAGACTATTTAGAGCAGCGTACCGTCGTGTACGAGGACCGAGAAGGTAATCTGAGGTGTCGGCCCATGTCGTGCGGTGTTCCACAGGGGTCTGTTCTTGGACCCCTCTTGTGGAACATAGGGTACGACTGGGCCCTTCGCGCCGATTTCCCCCCCGGGCTGGGTGTAATCTGTTACGCAGACGATACCCTCGTGACAGCCCGGGGGGCAAACTTCCAAGAGGCGGCGCGCCTGGCCACAGGGGGAGTCTCCCTGGTGGTCGGGCGCATTGAGGCGCTGGGCTTACGGGTGGCCCTAGATAAGACGGAGGCCCTGTTGTTCCATGGGCCCCGTCGTGGTCCACCCCCTGGCGCCTCAATCGTGGTCAACTCGGTCCTCGTACCGGTTCGGGCCCAGATGAAATATCTGGGCCTGATCCTCGACGGGAGGTGGCTCTTCGACGAGCACTTCCGACAGCTTGCTCCAAAGCTGGTCGGCGCTGCGTCTGCCCTAGGGCGACTTTTGCCCAATATGGGTGGACCCAGCGTCGCGACAAGACGGCTGTACACGGGGGTTGTCCGGTCAATGGCACTGTACGGTGCACCGGTGTGGGCGGCGGCTCTGACCGCCCAGAATAGGGTACGCCTCTGGCGCCCTCAGAGGGTAATGGCGGTCAGAGCCATACGCGGTTACCGCACCGTTTCGACGGAGGTGGCATGCGCATTGGCCGGAACTCCCCCGTGGGATTTGGAGGCGGAAGTGCTCGCCGAAGTTTATCGGCGAGTGGCTGACTTCCGGGCGGAGAGCGGATTTCGCCCTCCGCCCGAGGATGTGCGCGAGTGGCGCGAAGCCGCTCGCCGAGCCACGATGGCTCGTTGGTCGTTCCGGCTGGAGACTCCACGCGCTGGCTTCGCCGCCGTGGAGGCTCTCCAGCCGGTCATCGCCGAGTGGGCAGGGCGGCAGCACGGGACCCTTTCCTTCCGACTGACGCAGGTGCTTTCCGGGCACGGTTGCTTCGGAAAGTACCTGCACACGGTCGCTAGGAGGGAACTGAGTCCCGCCTGCCACCACTGCGACTGCAGTGAGGACTCGGCCCAGCACACGCTGGCGGTCTGCCCCGCATGGGCGGCGCAGCGCCGGGCCCTCACTGCAGTCATCGGAGTGGATCTCTCGCTACCGGCCGTAGTACGCTCCATGGCCGGTAGCGACAGTTGTTTTACCGCGGTCGCAACCTTCTGCGAGGTAGTAATCTCGCGGAAGGAGGCGGCGGAGAGGGCCCGGGAGGACGACCTCCACTCGGACCCGATCCGCCGCCGGCGAACCGGGCGGCGGAGGCCCGCCTACCACAGCCTCATGCCGCCCTGAGTGTGGCCGCGGGTGGACGGGGTGGGTTTCCCCTCCACCCGCATTAGTTGGCCAGCCGCGAGGGGGCGGCGTCCGCGTGTGCCGGACGTCGCCTAAAGAGAGGAACATCTACATCGAGACGGAGCCCGCACCAGGAGCGGGCTGGCGCTAGGAGGGGTCCGGATGTCTTAACAACAGCTGTTCCCGGATCCCTCCTGTTACAGGCGCAGAGTGGCACACCGTGTGGTTTTAGTCGGTCCGAGTCCGACACACCACCCCGCCGCAAACCCCGGAGGGGTGACGGTCCGAGGGGATTTCCACACGTTAAAAAAAAAAAAAAAAAAAAAAGGCTTAAGCGGTTGATCAACGTACGAGCCTATTGGTTGGTTTTAGTGCTGATCGACCAGCGAGCAAAACAGTTGCGCCTGAATTAGAGTAACAGTAACATGTCTTGTACCGAATCTGAAGCTTTGTGTTATCTTTCCATTGCATATTGCAAAATTATAAAAAAAAGCCAAAACTGCCTAAAGTTTGGGTTAAATTTAAAGTTTAATTAATTAAAGTTTATACAAATCTTCAACCCCGGAGCCGGTTCTCATGCTTGCTTCAAACCTTGTTTCGTTCTATCCTGTGGGAAGCTTGCAGTGACTGGGTGCAAAAAATGATTTAAAATTTATGAATTAATATGTGGAAACTAGAGGGAAGGATTTTGGGTTTAGGCATATACTACAGGTGATAATTGAGAGTTGTAAGGGAAGTTGTAATAAGGGTAAAAAGTTGTAATAGGTCATATGATATAGGTATTCATATGTTTTTTACATATTTTAGAAATGATGCCATTCTTAATATGAGTCCATAAAGCACAGTCCTATGTCTGTTAATGCCCCTGTTGTAGTGTCTTCTTCAATGGGACAGACATATGGCTATGCAACTCCAGTCTCTTCGTGCCACTCAGTCCTGTTTTCGGTGTGTTCAATTCCCATCCAGGACGAAAGATCCTGTGATGAGTACGTTATTTTTTTTTGTGTCTAGGTTTTATAGCTTTTGCCTGCAGTTCGGCTCAGCTTATGTCAGTTATCTTGGTAAAAAGTAGCCTATGTACTTTCTCAAGAATCAAACTATCTCCTTACTAAATTTCCCATGAATCGATTCAGCAGTTATTGATCCACCATTGAAACTTTCACCCCCTTAAAGAAAGATTTCTGAGATAATAACTATCCTAGGTCCTAATCGGTTCAACAGTTTAAGTATGAAGAGGTGACAGACAGACATAAACAGACATGTGATCTTTGATATACTCTTCCTGTTCAATCATTACTATTGTGTGTCTTGTTATTTGCTCTCTAGTAAGTGATTTGACAGCAAGAACACTTCACATTCACTGACGAAAGACAGCCTTATATTATAAGCTCCCTACTATTTCTTGACAGTGTTACCAACTAATAATTTTTAATTTTTTTATTTTTTATAATCAATATCCAATTGAAATAGTTATTTAACTATTTCGATTATTATTACTTTTTAAATTTTCATTCCAATTGATTGATTTGTTTTCTTTTTAATTATTTTAAATTCTTTTTGTTTGTTTTTAGTTTTATTTTGCTTTTTTATTAAACTTAGCATTTGGAATTCTCAGCAGTTAGAAGAAGTTCGTCAGGTTGGTTCATACAAGAAGGGTACTATGATGGCAGGGAAGAATGTAGCTGATATTGTAGTTATCATGAAGACTTTACCCACTAAGGAGGCTGTTGAGGGACTCTCTAACAAGGTATGAACATACACTTAAAAGTAAACTCTTTCTGCTAATAATTAATAATAAAAAATTCACACACATCTCACACACGGCGGGCTGATCCCAAACTAGGCAGAGCCTGTACTATGGTAACCAGACTGCTGATAAACATACTTATATATTTCTAAATACATACATATTATAAATAAAGTACACCCAGACACAGAACAAATGACCGTGCTCATCACACAATTATTTGTAGTGGTCAGGGCGTAGCAGTCAGGGTCACTAACCACTAGACCAACAGACCAGTCAAGTCGATTAGAGTTAATTATCAACCTCACCATTGTCCATTTACAGGTTAACGAAGAACTAAATAAACTGATGCGTGCTGACGGTGGTGGTACTGTTACGTCGGCGTGCCACGAGCGAGGGTTCACTGTAACAGCAACTTCGGCAGCCGTCAGGGTGCTGGTCACAACCCTACATCAGAACTTGAGGAAATTGGAGCCTGAGGTACGATAGCATAGCTATATTTGAGGGTATAGAGGACCCAATTACTGACTTAAAGGCTAACAATTTTTCAGGATAAAAAAATAGATTATGTGCTATTCTAGACTATAATCTACATCCATAGAAACTTTCGCTTTTAGGATGTTAGTAGTAAAAGACAGATATGAAGGAAACTGGGGAATTAAAAACAAAGATTTGCCGTGAGACAGTCACACTTAGATACAAATGGGCCGGGAAGGTCAATTCTCGTATTTTCGTAGTAAATGATTAAACATTAACCTGTAATGTGATCATATCGTATTGTAACCGAAAATTGAATCGGTAACCTGCTAGCCTTAGTAATACTTCACATTTCCTACTAAGAAAATACCTTTTACGACAGTTGTGAGATCGAAAGTTGATCGGAATTGAATTGTGACCAAACTTTTATTACGAGAATTGGGCTTCAGAGTGACTCACAGAAAACAAGTGTTAACCTAGTTTTCTTTGCTTCTCAGCGACCGCGTGAGGTTACCGTAGCCCAAACACCCCATCCTTTATTGTGAATAGAGTTTCAAGGGGTGGCAACTCTTGTATCTGTATATGTCAAACCAGGGATTTCCAAACTATTTGGGACAAGAGACCCCTTTTTATAAAAGGAACTGATACCACCTCCTGAACGATTATCGACATCTTGAGTTTTTTTAAAGTACAAGAATGATAATTTCTACTAAAATATATATCTACGTAATACCTACGTAAAACAAATAATAATCTTGAACGTTTCAAATAACTAGACCTTGTGGACCCCCAAAATCCGTTTTCGTTTATGTCCACCTCTGTAAAACCAATTTCGACCCCAAGGGGTCGATATCAACCACTACGGGAATCCCTGCTCTAAACCATACTAAAGATATTTTTAAGCAAACCTTGTTATCACAGAATGGCAAAGTTATAAAATCTACACTTTGGTTTAACCAGGTCCATTTGGACTACAAAGTCATCAGCAGCCACTTAGCAGCCATCCGTCACAGTCGCTGGTTCGAGGAGAATGCTCATCATTCGTCTATCAAGGTATACAATATTTATAACATTTTGGAGAGTGTCCCCGCCACTATTCATCCCGTGGGTTTCGTAAGCGTCGACTAAGGAAACAAACTAGGAAAACAGTACTACAAAGAGAAGGAAACTTAAAACTGGCCAGTGTGGTATTGTAGTCCAAAACCTCCTATCTACGGAGAGGCCTATGTCTAGCAGTGGATTATAAGAAGCTGTTGATGATGATGATGAGACAATCATTATATTTTTGACTGACCCATTGGACTAGTTAGTGATCCTGGCTGCTGAGCCAGAGGTTGTGGGTTCGATTCCCACCCAGGACAAATGATTGTGTGATGAGCATGGTCAGTGAATGTCAGTGTGGTACCTGACGTCAACGATAAGTACTGCCCTTTATATATGTTATTAGGTGTTCCCTGCCACGTCTCACTCTGGTACATTGTAGTTACATTGAAGGTTAAAAAATCGCACAAAAAATATCTTTGAATCGGCCTTTAACATTTATTGTGTCAAAATACATGTTGAGCACAATATGTACAGAACTTTTATAAGTTTTTGAAGCGTACACAAACCAACTTAAGATTTATATATATATAGATTGTAATATTCCTTAGGTATTAATACGTCTGCTGCGTGACATGTGTTCGCGTCACTCGGGACTTGAACCGCTGACACCTTGGATGATAGACCTGCTGGCACACCACTGCATCATGAATAACCCTGCACGACAAGCACTCCCAATCAACGTTGCATTTAGGTAATTACTTTTTTCTTTTTTTGATTGGTTTGTTGGATGGGCTGACCCCAAAAAAATTTATCTGATTATGGTATCTTCTAGATATTGAGTGAAGTAATGAAAAATCTTTAACTGTTTGGGTATTTTTCATAATGATTTGTATATTTGCTACCAGACAACATTTGATGAGATGTTATTGATGATGAAGACCAAAATTACCAATAGAATAAAAATCAATATTTCATAGTAAGAATGTGGTCTTTAATTAAGTTGTATTGGTAGTATGGTCCAATTTCCACATTAGGTACTACTCTAAAACGGTCCTGTTTCAATTAAGTTTTTCTCTCTCTTTCTGTCTCTATCATCACAATGTTTATGGGAAGTATGTTTGAAGGGAACTCTTCAAAAAACAACATCCCTGTAATGGGAAAAGTAGAATTTCGCAAATGGTGATAAGCAATTGCCAGGGCCATTACGACTTGATAAATTCTACCTCTAAGGGTAAAAACCTTACGGAAAACAGATGTTAAGTAATTTTTGAAGAGAAAACATCTTTAGGAGCTTTGGGCATTTTGAACAACAAACAAAAGAATGTATTTTATGGTTTAACATAAAACACATTTTTTGAGATTTGAAAAAAACCATGGAATTCGCGACACCGTTACCGTTACCGACACCTCTGTATATAAGTATCTACATATATTGGCCCCGTTTACATGAGAGTTGAGTTTGGGTTGAATTACATTGATAACATAACTATATATACTCGTAAACAAACATTGTGTATATACGTACAACATAGATATATATTCATATCAGAAAAAAGTGTCTTTTTTTTCATTTTTTAAAGAGTGAATGCAGTTACCATTCCATCAGAACCACTCAAATCACCCCTTTTCCCTGACTATGAGGGGGAGACTCAAAGGGTGTGTAAGGCGGGGATATTGGAGAGGTATTGAAACGCCGAATGTTGAGACAATACTGAATATATTTTAGAATACACAATGATTATATAGGGATACATGAATGTCTATAATAGGGTACACACCACACCTCCTTTCCATAAAAAGAAAAAAAAAATACACTAAGCATAGGTTTTTTTTTCGTATTAAAAATAAGTATAAATGCAATCTCTATTTCTAAAATACAATAGTAAAGTATAAAGTATAAATGCAATCTTAATTTCTAAAATATACTATAACAAGTGAGATTTTATCAGGGGACAGGTCAGCTGGTAACTATTATCAAGTTTTCGGTATGAACAATTTTGTACGGTTTTTATGAATTAAATCTAATTTACCATTTTTATTTATTTGAACATTCGGTGTTACATCTTTTACGACCACATACGGACCGGAATAAATATTATCCATTTTGTTACAGTTTTCATTTCTTATTAAAATTAAGTCATTGGGTTTGTATACAATAGGGTTAATACGTTTGTCATAAACACATTTCCTTGCTACTTTGCTTTTGAGTAAATTTTCCCTTGCTTCCTTTTGTGACAACTGTAGGCGATATTTCAGTTCGTTTGGATAATTATCATGTTTGTATAGCGGTTCTACTATGTTGCTATTTAAGTTACTAGGAAGAGAACAGATTTTTCCAAAGACTAACTCATAGGGAGTAAATTTAGTTTCAGAATGCACGGAAGTATTAAAAGAAAAACACCAATATGGTAGCCATTGGCTCCATGATTCTGGGTGATTGTCTGTTTGTATACGTAAAAATGAATTTAAATGTTTGTGAGAATTTTCTAATGCGCCAATAGTTTGGTGGTGATAGTCTGTAGATGTTAAGTGTTTTATTTTTAAAAGTAAACATACCTGTTCAAATACTGAAGACATGAATTCAGATCCTCTGTCCGTTGCAATTTCTCTCGGTATTCCGTAGCGAAGAATAAAACAATTAACTAATGCTTGAGCTACCTCTGCTGCCGTTTTTGAAATTAAAGGATGAGCCACAACATACTTTGTCAACTCGCATTGTAATGTAAGAGCATAAGAGTAATTATAACAATCCCTATCCAACGGCCCTACTAAATCTAAGAATATTTTGTCGAATGCCGTTGTAGCCGTAGAAGAGATAACCATCGGCTCCCTAATACTTACAGAGTGTTTCTGTTTTTGACAGTTTTCGCACTTTTTAACGAATTCTCGAACATCTTTCTCTAACCCTGGCCAGTAAAAATATTTCTTAATATTGTTAAACATCCTTCTCATGCCCGCGTGGCCACTTGTGGGCAAAAGATGGAAGTCGTTTAATATGACCTTCCTGTCATCTTTGTCATCGATTCGTCGTACGTCATTCAAGACGTAAAATTTTAATGAACACCTATTCCCTAGGGATTTTATTTCATTTAATACTTTTTCAATAAATATAGCATTATTCTTATTCTTCAAAAAATATATTTCGTCGACGTTTATTTCTTTACTATATCCAATTCCCTCACAAATGCGGCTCGCGTCAATTGTGATTGGAAACTGGCATTAATAAAAATAGTAGACTTGCTCTCCACATAGCAAAACGCGCTTTTTTCCACAGTTAGCTTATTTTGTCTTCTTAAATTATCTAATTCGTTTTTCTCTATAAACCTAAGCTCTACAGCATCTCTTGGTTTTGTTTGACTTCCAATAACAATTGGCTGATCAGACCAATTGCGATTAGAAACCACATCACAAGGAGATGCACGGAAGTATTAAAAGAAAAGGGGAGTCCGTAGCTGTAGAGGAAACCGGTCTTGACATGGAGCCGATCTAAGTCCTTGTCGCCTTTGTGTTTATTCAACATGAGAGAGTCTTAACTAATATGTTCATGATTACACTAAATGACTTACAGAAAGAAACAATCAATGCCCTAGAAAACGGATAATCCAATGATGAAACTAAGGGGTGGAAACCTCACACACCACAGGTGGCACTGCATTTGTCACTTTTGGGTTGCAGGTGCCGATGGGCGGCGGTAGTCACTTAACTTCACTCGTTTGAAACAGTATTTTTGTACAGGCGCGCGCTATCGTTATTGGCGGGAGGGTTGTTCCTGCCGGGCTGTGCGGGGCTGGCGGACCCTTGCGAGGCGGCTCATGCTCGAGCACACACCGCTCTAGACCTGGCCGTGCTGGACTTGGCCGCAGCTACAGCACAAACGTAAGTTATTTTAGACTTGATCTGGTAGCTAGTGACCTTGACTGCTGAACCATAAATTGTGTTGCTTAGCTTTGCTTTGCCACTACCTTCTTCTTAATCGACGGGCCTGTTGGTCGAGTGGTTAGTGCCCCTGACTGCTAAGCCGGAGGTCGTGGGTTCGATTCCCACCCAGGACAAATATTGTGTGATGAGCATGATCATTTGTTCTGTGTCTGGGTGTAATTTATCTATAATATGTATGTATTTAAAAATATATAAGTATGTTTATCAGCAGTCTGGTTACCATAGCACAGGCTCTGCCTAGTTTGGGATCAGACGGCCGTGTGTGAAATGTGTGAGGTATATTATTACTACCTTGCTATAGCACTAAAATTGTAACAACAAGTCGCTAAGATAGTATTTTGCTTGTTTTGTATATGTTTATGCGAGAGCCGTGGTTACCCACACCACAAGTTTAATCTTACCTTGGGTACCAAGAGTTCAATGAAATAATGTGATGGTTATAATACCTAGAAAAACATGTTCACCTTGAATCTAAATTATTATGGCAAATAAAATATATAGTTCATTCGAAATAGGAAAATAGAAACCACTGAGTCAGAGAATCCTGTTAAAATTGCACAATATTTGTGTCTATACAGAATATTATTATTATTATTATTACTGATCAAGGTCCGTCCCCCTGACCAATCAGTTTCCAAAAAAATTATAAAGGCAAATTCACATTGATCAGTCGACTGCAGAGTTTCGTACGACACGGTTGCGTCGTTTGAGAAAACTGAATCTGGCCAGCGCTGGCTAGCCGCGCCAAAGAATTAAGAAGAAAGGAGGGTCGGTCAGAGGGTTAAAATTTAAGGGTCTTATAAAATATATAATTGTTATGTATGTTTACGAATCCCTTGTGAACTTGACGATTTTCAACATTATTATTAAAAATTAACACAGCGAATTTTTTGATATCACTTTATACATCAACAATCAGCAGTGGTGTGGTTCAGTGGTGTCGTTTACAATACACATAGTTTAAAAAAAAAACTGTTCTATTCTTCTTTCTCGGCAGTCTACTCCGTGTGGTTGCACGCGGTGGTCACCGCTACGTGCTGGGGCTGCAGGCCTTCGAAGGAGGCAAGGATATCTCCACTGAGATCACCGTTTGGGACGGAGTGGTGGTATCTCCACTCGCTCCAGCTTACACTGAGACTCCAGAGCCTATGGACACTGACGATAAAGGTAATACACGTAGTAGTATTTACGTCCCCACCATTTTAATGGATTGGTGAATGTGGCTCCCCAATGCAACCATGCCATGCTTTCTTGTCCACTGTGCCCCTCCAGCTACACTTTAGAGGAACTGTGGAGAGGCAACGGACAATGCCGTGGCTGTAGAGGAATTTTGAGTGGACAAAATTTAGGGGTGTTCACCCGTTGATGGGATTCTGACCCCCCTCCACTCCTTGTCACAGCTGGTCACATAAGAGTGACGTCACATTGCAATTTTACGTCTAGAAATTATTAAATCAAAACAGCATTTCTGAAATTTGTATTCATTTCATTTAAATTATTTTTTACTAAAATCAAATCAAACATTAGAACAAAATAAAAACGATAAATTATTGTTAATAATTTAAATGTCGCGTTTTAATTTTTTGAAATATTGACACTAAACATGGACACTTCATACCGCTTGTCTCCGGACTTTCCGGAAACAGGAAGTTCGCATTAGGTGTGAAAGCGTAACAAACAAAGTCACTTTTACATCTATATATATATATTTATACAAATAAATAAAGTTGAAGTGTCTGTTTGTAATGTCAGAAAAATAGTTTTTTTCATGCTCACACGGTTAATTGCACGATGCCTATTTTTTTTTCCGTGCGGTAATCCCCTCGGATATCACCTGTCGGTGGCATGTCGGACTCGAACCGACTAAAACCGCACGCCGTCTCGGGTACTAATAGCCGGGGAACCAGGTATACCCTAGAAAGGAAGTCCCTGGTCCCTGACATACCTCGGGTCATCTACAGACGAGTAGACGACCCCCCCCCCCGTGTGGGAACCCCATGTTTTCTGTGCTCCCTGGAAGCGAGCGCGCTTTGCAACGCGCTCGCCGCCACCCCGGCCTGCTTCTGCTAGGGTGACAGATGGCCTCACCTGTCACCCCCAGGCCTGCGCTTATGGAGGACGGAGGTCGTTCTGCGACCTCCGGCGCCTGAGTCGCCTGCGCTGCCTGGCCCGTGCCCGGGCCTGGCGGACCGGGAGAGTCCTAAACCTCACCCGGTCCCGCTCCGCCGTCTCCTTCGCGAGCATAACTTGCTCGCAGAAGGAGACGGCAGAGTTCCACGCACTCTCGCTCCGCACGATAGCCGCAATCAGGCTATCAAAATTGCACGATGCCTGTGTATAGAAATCAGTCTAATTTTTTTGTCTGTCTATTCGTTTCGGGTAATCTTCTAAACGACTGGGCCGATTTTGATAACATTTTACTACCAGGTAACGAGTAACTTAGGCTATTTTTTCTCAGAAAAAGCCTCTAAAATTTTGCCCGGCGCGGGAATTGAACCCACTAAGGCAGCGCTATTCAAATTCCAATTCAATATTTGTAAAGATAAGTATGGAAGTGTGGATCTGTTTGAGAATTTCATATTATCTTATAACAAATATCTAATCTTTTAAATGTTTTGTTTCTTTCAGAAGATGATGTCCAAGATGGCGTCGCTGCTTAAGATAGGAAGAATTTAATATAATTTCTATATAATAAAGATCTTTTACTAAGTAATATAAATATTGTTTTTTTTTTAATTTTTACACCATGTTTTTAAGTGATATTTAAGCTGCAGTTCTCTTGTTCATAACTTGATACAGATACATTACAAATATGGCTTTAGAAGACTGATCAGCTAATACCATTCGTTCTTCAATGAAGACCTTCTGACTGATGTTTTCTAGAAATGTACCGTTTCAATTTCCAATCACACATTTTAGTTAAATTTTTCAGACCCAGCATTAAAGATATTTAATATTTTCGGACGTCTAACACAACGCCATCTAGTTTAAACTAGTGCTTATACTATGAAAGCTAGATTGACAGATATAATGTTTTTTTTTGTAAATACATACATATTATACATAGAAAACGCCGGAACAAATATTTGCAGATCATACAAACATTTGGTCCGACCCGTGAATCGAACTCGAGACCGGCACAGCAGTCGCATACGTTACCACAGCACCACCGAGAGGCCATTTCTGGTATAAAAATTCCCTAAAATCGAACTACACTATTGTTGTTGAATGGGTGTTATGATCTCCGCACATGCGAGGTGATAATCATGCCGCATGCATCATTGGACCGCCGCCGAATGGTTGATGTTGGAAAGTTATATAAAATATGTGTATACAATTCGACACGAGAATTTTCGTTGCGCGATGCAGGACTATGTCTTCGTTAGATAGCATTATTTTTCTTTGTATGTGAATGTGTTGCCACAAAAACAAAATAAAAATGCCTAATTGACTATTACTTGTTAAATAAATGTACAACATCTTTTTCAAACTTGATGAAGTTATTTTTTCCCGTGTGTCTAAATTCCTATTCAGTTAGTAGTTGGTCCTTCGCAGTCCACAGGCTCAAAACTTAAAATGTATTTGAAGTAGATAAGTTGAGGATATAATTAACGCCATCTAGCGAAGTTAGGCCGAACTACTTCATACCAACCGATTCTACAGAAAAGCAAAATCCAATTACACACATTTATTATAATCAAGGCCATACAATGCTTTCAATCCAGGGTACATAGTATTCTACTTTGGTGTACATTCCTGTATTGCCGACGACTCCACATGGTCTCCCGTAGGATGTCACCCCTATTATATCATAAATACAACTTCCAAATTTTGAGGTAATTTGTAAAGGACCACCGCTGTCACCCTGAAACAAAAATAAACAAAGTTAGAAGACCTAAAACTACCCAATAAATAATAAATTTATGTACTAAACTTGAGCCATTGCGTGTCATGAGCGCGTGTCGACGCGTCACCACGTCAGCAACTGGTCGGACCCTCTAGCATATTAAGTGTTTCACTTCAATAAAGATGAAGTGATTTTTAGGGATTTTTTCATCTAAAGGGAAAAAATTACCCTTATAGGATCACATTCTTCTTTGTCTGTATGTCCAGCAAGACTCTTTTTCTCAGGAGTAACATCATCAAAAGCTTTTAAGTCTATTGATGGACATAGGCTTCTCCTTAGATAGGAGATTTTGGCCTACCACGCCGGCCAGACGGGTAGGTATAGGGTTTGTTTTTCAAGTTTTTCTTTTCTTTGCAGTGCTGTTGTTATGCGTAGTTTGTTCCCTTAGTCGGATCTTACTACACCCACGGGATGAATAGGGGTGGTTACCCTCCGTATTCTTAATTTGTCACCACATTGACAGAGGAGGAACGCGAAGTTGAAATTAACATTAAATACTTTCGTCTGTGAACCTTGGAGCTCTAAATATCTACTAGGTTCAAACCAGTCGACACAAGCACCAGATTACATATTAACGATTTCCCGTCAAGCTGACACCATTAAACTTAGCGAAGCAAGGTCTCACAGCACCAGTAAAGGTCTTCTCTTAGCTATTCGAAAGTCTATCTCGTTTAAGGTTTAATTGTACAACATTTTTTGTGATTAATTGACCGGATTTACTGTTAGTAGAATGGACTAGCGTTCCATCACTATCAGTGTTGTCATTGAAAAAACTTAGTTACACCATGGTAGTAAAATATCAGTTACCTCACAAGTGTCAATAATCTTATTGTTCTTGCTTCCGTAGCAAGATTGAGACGCATGATTGTATCCGTTCTGTAAATGTCTATGAGGTGGGTATGCAGCAAAACATTCCTCAGCTGAAAACTGTTCCAACTGTACCTGAAATGTATGACACAAAATATGTTAGGGATATGAGATAATAGGAACAGCCATACTTCGGAAAATATAGGCCGGTATTATTCCATTATTGCTTTGCTTATCATCGACCGATTAAGTGAAGATACGGCTTAGGTTCTGATACCAAATCGCAGAAGCCTGTGAACGCCCGCGGAGGCTTCAGCGCTTCTGGAAGGTGCTTGGTTGTCTCACGTAGCCAACCTTGCCTCGACGGATAAGGGACCATTCTTGAGTCTAAATTCGGAAACCGGAGCTCACAACCAATAACTATTTTTCTACCGATTTTCTGTGAGGCCGTGGTATCACTACGGTCAAGCCTGTCCATTTGTGCCGAAGCACGGCTCTCCCAATGTAAAAGTCTTCACTAATATTAAAAAAAAGTCTTGATAAAAAGCTAGTATTTGATTAAACGAACCACTTGTAAGATATCCGCGAGAGACTGTCGATGTCCCAGGGTTCCCCAGCCTGTAGCCGTGGCCTCTATCTCATTACCACCACCCGTATTGAGACAGGCTGGTAAAACATCCTTGTTGAATTTGATCCTGAAAGATAATAATAGACATATAAACACTCACGTTTTATATCCCCGAAGGGGTGGACAGGGGCGAATTACATGTTCAAATTTTGCGGCCTATAAGTTTAGTCCTAGCGTAATAGCAGGCCTTTTGATTTTTTATTTTTGACGGAGTGGAAAATCCCTTCGGATCTCCGGCTCCTGGGGATGGCCAGCCACTCCTATGGCCAGCCTTAGGCGCCCTGCTCTGGGAAGAACCCGGGCCATGTGATTTCAGGTCCCCCCAGATCGACGCCGCACCTAACTAGACCCCGTCTCAGGGAAAGCCAGTGGCTTCTCCCTGCCTCTCAGCCTATCTAGATGTTGCGGCCCGAACACATTTTCAGTGCGATCAGGCTGCTATCCTAGCCCTACCGCAGCAATTAATCTGCCACAAGAGGTCCCCACTCTCTGGCGGCCCGCGGTCCCGTCGGCTGCTCATCCCGCCGCCGACGTGTTCTTCGCTCGGGATCGGCCCTCTCCCGATCCCGTTCAGCAGTCTATTTCTGGAGCATTACAGCTTCACAGAAAGGGAACACTGCGCCCCAACCCTCCTCACCCGCCAGCATGGCAGTAATGATTGCTGGCGGGGACAGTGGGCCGCGCAGTGCTGGCATTGTGCCGTCTCCTCGCGTCCAATCCGATTCAGGTACTCACCGAAGCAGCCATGCCCAATGAGCACCTGCGTCAGTCGGTAGGTGACGCGACCTCCCTACCTACCCAAGCTTCGAGGTTAGGCAAAACGGCACCGACAGCACGTTGGCGCGCATTCCGCGGCTGTTCTACCTCTGCGTTTCCTATGGAACGGAAGTCGTGTCCTGTCGGAAGCCAAATTGGTTGTCTGATAAGTCAGGGCCCACTCGTGACAGGTGCTGGTTGATACGGGCGGCAATAACTCTTGCGAAGAGTTTCGCCGCCTCGTCAAGTAGGCATATCGGTCGGAACGCCGAGGGAGAATCTGCAGCCCTGCCACGTTTCTGGATAAGTACCAGCCTGGCTTCCTTCTAGCCGGAAGGGAATATGCTATTACGGAGGCAGCTGGTAAATAGCCGCCTCAGCCGATTCCAGCGTAATAGCAGGCCTAGTAAATTGAGGCAGTCGTAAGGACTGAGAACAGAAATGAAAACTCAAGACAATGCCAAAGATAATTTTTGAATTTTTAAATTAATTATAGTCTGAACGTCATGAACCCGGGCCTCTATACTCGCATGTCGAGGTCATCGGTGACGCGGATCCATTAGTTTTTCAGCTACCAAAAACCAGTCAACGCGGCTAAAGAAGTTTACACTTCAAAAATTCTTACCGGGCGTCGTGAGTTCGATTTCCACTCAAGACAAATAATTTGTATGATGAGCACGATCATTTGTTCTGTATCTAAGTGTAATTTAAGTACAATATGTGTGTGTATGTATATTTATTCAATCTGGTTACCATAGTACAGGCAGTGCCTAGTTTGGGATCAGATGGCCGTGTGTATGTGTAATGTTATTATTATTTAATTTATAATTACGTTCTATCGACTTCCAATAATGCGATGTCGTTGTACTTGCTCGGAGGCTTATACTCCGGATGGCGGATGGCCCTCTTCACATTATACCTTTGCCATGTTTCCGGAGGGTCTGTACGCTTCAGGATACCCATAGCTGCATATTTTACTGTACCCCTATAAAATATAAGTAATATATTCACTAAGTGAGTGAGGTTACCGAAGTCCAAAGTGATTTAAGCATTGACTTATTAATAAGTAGTTAGTAAAAATATATTCTTACACTGATTTGCTAAATACGCAATGTGCAGCAGTCAGAATGAATCTCTCACTGATAACGGATCCACCACACAGCCACTGCGCAGTGTCTAAACTATCTCCATAACCTAATAAGGCCTGAAATATAAATTAGTTTTTATTAAATTAGTATATTTTGTGTGTTAAATTAGTATTTTTTTTTTTTTTTTTTTTATTAAATTAGTATATTATGTATATGGTTAATTTGGGCTAATTTAAATTAATTTAATGTTGTTTTTGTAATTTTAATATGTAGGGGAGAGTAGCCAATATTACCACTTCTGTATTTCTACCAAAATGGCAATATTTCTTACACTAGCAACACAAAAGTTAATTGCCATTTAAAATATGCCAGCATATATATAACTTTCTAAGGAGAGGCCTATGTCCAGCAGTGGACTAGTAAAGACTGATAATATATTATAAAATAACAAATAAAAGCAAGAACCTTGTCCCCTATTAGGTACGTAAGCGGGACTTAAATTTTTGTAGTCAATATGAGGTCTTGTAATATGCCTCTCTCATATAAATGTATAATAATAAATAATGTATTCGGTCATCTGACACACAATGTCATCTAGTGTCAAACAAAAGCTAGATTGACTGATAGAATACTTATACTTTTTTTGTAAATACACACATATTATACATAGAAACACCCAATCTCCGAAACAAATATATTTACAGATCTTACAAGTATTTGGTCCTACCCAGGAATCCAACCCGAGACCTCAGCACAGCAGTCACGTCGAATACGCTACCACTGCGTTACCAAGGAACAGTAAATAAATTCACTGTTCTGTGTGCACCACCGAGGCAGTCAATATTTTTCGTTTTTTTTATCTCAGAAAACCCTATAAAACGTTGCCCGGCCCGGGAATCGAATCCGAAGTCGCGGGTACCGGCTAGTATTAAATAAAGAGATCAAAATATTCACACTGTCAAAATATTATATTAAAAATAATGTGTAATGTATTCTATCTCATTCTCTCGCCGACTTAATCCTATATATTTACGAGTATGTGTTTGTTTCTATATCGTGACGTATGTTCGTTTCAAATCACAACGATTCTAAACAAGTTTCACTTCAAAAAATAAAGCAAAATGAAGGCAGCTAAAAGCAATATAACATTTCAATTGATATTAGTAAATATGAAACATGCATTATATTATTTATGACGCAGGACAACAGCACTGCAAAGAGCAAGAAAACTTGAAAACAACCCTTCTGGCCAGCGTAGTACAGAAGGCCACAACCTTCTTTCTAAGGAGAGGCCTATATCCAGCAGTGGACTATTGAAAACTGTTGATGATTTTGATGTAAGTATATTTTGTTTATTACATGATGATGAGATACCCAAAGCTGGCATATTTAGCACCATGTCAACCACACCAATTCCGTGATTCCAGATGAAATGAATTAACCCAACGATCAACCTTCTAAACTGTAGTGGATTCGTAATTTTTTGCTACCGTAATACCAAAAATAACACTAATTAGAACCCGAAGGTAAATTCTCGATCTCACAAACATCATAAAAGGTATTCTCATAGTGATTTAGTATTACTAAGACTAGCAGAATACCAATTCAACTTCTTTACTTATACGAATTTTCGTTAAGCTGAAATAGAGCTCGTTGAATCTTAGTTAATAAAAATAACCTCTTACCATTTGAGGAAATTCACTTCGGTTTGCATCTTGCCCGCCCACTGCGGCGGCACCAAAAACTGCCTCATAGACGAAGCATTTTTTATCCATATACTCCAACTGCCGACTCAACCCCTCCCGTTTAGGACAAGGGTAGTTTAAACTCGCTACATATTCCATACATTCTGAAAATTATTTTCCCGCTATGGTATTTTAGTCTGGTCAATCTATGCTAATTATCATTGAGCTGAAATGTTTGTTTTCTCTTTTGGTTTAACGAGCTAATCTCAGAAACTACTGGTTTGAATTGAAAAAAATATATTAGTGTTGGATAGCCCGTTTATTGAGGCAGGTCATGGGCTATATAACGCTACGACCAATAGAAGCGGAGCAGGAATGAAAAATGTTGCAAAAATGGGGAATATTTATTCCTTTTGAGAGACGGAGACGAATTTGCGCGGGTTGACTTTAATGTAACTATAAATAAATGTCTAGCGGTTAGTGATACTGATTGCTGATCCAGAAATCGTAGGTTCGATTCCCACCCAGGGTAAATATTGTACTTCGGCACGAATGTGCCGGCTCGACCGGAGTGATACCACGGCCTCACAGAAAGCCGGTGTTAAGCAATTCTTTCGTTACCTTTCACTGGGTGAGTAAGGTTACCGGAGACCAAATCCACCCTCCCGCTGACTCGAGCGAGAGGGATTCCAAGGGCGGCAACGCACTTGTGGCTTTTAAATTGTTCCATGGGCGGAGGCAGTTGCTTACCATCAGGTGATACTGTCTGCTCGTTTGCCCCCTGATACCGTAAACAAAAAACTTGGGGGAGTTATCTTTTAAAAGAAAAAAAAACAAAACTGTCAGTTATGAACCGATTTGGACTTTATAATTTATTAATGAAGAATAATTCCAGGTTTTTAATCGTCGGTCGGCCATGCTTCGGCACAAAATGGGCCGGCTAGATTAGGAGGGGAAGGTTAGGAGAAAGAGGGGTTCTTTCTCCTAATCTTCGAAAGGGGCAGTTGTCTCAAAGAGCGGTAACACACTATTTGTGAATTTTGTATTGCAGGTGTTCATGGGCGCCGGTAGTCACCGTCAGGGGACCCGTCTGCTCATTTGCCCTATGAAGCCCCCGATACTGTTTTAAAGATCGTTTTTCTTCTGTGCATTAACTGAGACAGGAATAAAAACAGTAATTGCGGACAATAAAAATACGTACGTTTTTATTTAAATTATATTAATATAATTAAGTTGTTAACCGACTTCTAAAAAGGAGGAGGTTCTCAATTCGTCGGTATCTTTTTTTATGTATCTTCACCGATGACTCGAAGTCGCCTGAACCGATTTGGAAAGTTCTTTTTATTTTTGTTTCAAACGGTATACTTCCCGGATGTTCCCATTTAAATTTTACCGAAACCGTATGAGCGGTTTTTGAAAAATCTATAAAAATCTAAACATTGCCTACATCAATAATATTTTTAAATTCTAGTCCTAAAATGTCGGCCAACAGTCTTTCTACAGAACATCGATATCGCCTAGTACCTGGGTTGTGAATATGTGATGGCAACCGTATCGTAGCAGACTTAAAAGCCGATTCCAGCCTAGTTTGGTATAAAAGGCTCGGCGGAAGAAAACGAATAGCAAGAAAAACGGTATTGCATCGAGTTATTAGGGAACTGGTTTAGATTCGTACCACTGTTATTTACGGATTTAATACACGTATTTTGTTATACATTTAAAGGTAAACGTGTAGTGACGGATTAAGAATACGGAATGTCACTACCCCAATTCATCCCGTGGGCTCTTACGACAAGAGCCGACAAAACAACGCAGGACGCCAGCACCTCACATAGAAGGAAAACTTGACACAAACCCTATACCAACCCGTCTGGCCAGAGTGGAATAGTAGGCCAAAACCTCCTTTCTAAGGAAAGGCCTATGTCCAGCAGTGGACTGTTGGAGGCTGTTGCTGATGATTGATGTACACGTAATCCATCGTAAGTCCAAAATAAAAATATTTCCGAAACTGTATCTGACAAATAAGTTTCGGATAAATTCGGATTTAGGCCGAGTCAAAATAAATAAGATGTTATGGGATACGTGATTATGAACTGCCTAAATGCTATTGTAATTTAAATTGTATTTTATTATAATTCTTTTATGATTTTACTGCTGAATGAAAGACTAAAAATAAAGCCAAATCATTAGGTACCTATCTATATTTTTCTATTACAATAACTACAGTATTTATGAGTATCCGAAACTATTGGATATTTCGAGATTATTTATGTTATTTTTGTAACAATCTTTACAAATTTATATCGAACATGTGAAGTTTAAAACAAATAAGCAAGTACGTATTTTATTTACAGCCTACATCTACGGTGGGTGAAGCAAACAGAATAATTCAATACTACGGGATGTTAAAGGGACGAATTATATTCTCGGTATTGCCCGAGACTTCCCTCGCGACGTGTATTGTAAACCATAACACTGAACCACACCACGGGGGTGTCGTTTACAATATATTTTTTCTTAACGACACTCATTTCCGCCTCTAAATCACCGGCTGAGGGTGCAAAACACGCCCTATTTTGGGCGGTCAAAGCTTCCACCCACACGGTTGCACCGTATAGTGCCATTAACTGGAGAAACCTGGTCTGTTACTAAAACTTACAGAGCAATCTCAACTACAACTGCAGTTGTAGTAACTGCATTTTTTGTACACGCACTAGCCACAATCTTCCTAGGTATCAGAAAATGCGTACTCGTACTAGTACCTACCAGCAAAGAATGCCTACCAGCAAAGAAGTAGTGGCAATTACGTAATATAAACCCTAGATTTCAACCTTAAACATCTCTATATAATTAAAGAGCTTTATATTGTGTAAGTATGTGCATACTTACGGACACAGTTCTTTTTATGTTAGGTATATATTTAGTACTTGTAAAAAAACCTTTGTAACACGTAGGCACGTGCTTACTTTGCCTTAGGATTAATCCGCCACTGATAGAGACACATGGAACCAATAATGGAAACTTAATTAATATTATTTAACGGGAATTAACGCGATCTCTTATTTAGGGTATTACATACCTCTGGTTTGCCTGACGTTTCGACCAGGTTGCACCGGCCGTGGTCACAGGCTGACTGTGACCACGGCCGGTGCAACCTGGTTAATTCCCGTTAAATAATATTAATTATCATGGAACGCGAAAGTTTAAAAGTTAGCAATGGAAACTTAGATAATGGTGCCCAGTTATTTGAAAATCGAATTATTATGAATGAAGAAAAAAGCCAGTAGCCATTGAAAATTAATGGATCTTGCAACACTTGTAGCATAACTATAAATATATAAATTGAAGTGTCGCTCAAGCATATATATTCTCATGCAAGATCTAGTAAAGTACCGTGGCCTTTTCACAGATCTTACCATATGGGGAAATTGTCTTCTGAATGCACCGGTTCCACCCACCGCAGCAAACGGTATGACAACATCGTATTCCAAGCATGTCTTATCGCTGGACACACGTTTCCTGAGTCCAATTTTCAAGTAACATGGGTAATTGAAATTCGCTATGTATTCAAGACACTCTGAAAAAGCGAGCATAGAATCACTGATGAACATTGTTTAAGTTTACTCTCGATAGATGGCGTTCGTCTCAATGAGCCGGCTCGAATGAAACAGCAGATCCATATTTGGCTTTCACCAAGTGAATAAGGCTACCGGAGCCTCCCGTACCCCCTGGCAATGCACTTGCGACTATCAGTTGCCGGCAGAGGCGGCGTTTGAAGGTGATCCAAGTAGAAAAAAATATATATTTGAATTTCAAACCTTATGTATCGCATTATAAAGCTCACGTCACGCTACTCGCGATCTCTTGCTTGGTAATTATCATGGTGTTTACGATTTACGTTTAGGAATTTCCTGTTTCATTTCGCCTGTCATATTGACAAGCCTGTCAATATGACAGGCGAAATGAAACATGTCAGTGGCAACTGCCTTCGGCTTATGCTTTTATATTCGAGCAGTATGTGGTGCGCTTTTTTGTTTTAAGTATCATTATTAACACTAAATCCACAAAGACAAGGGCCCCGCAATGATCTACCCACCCGGTACTTCGCTATGTCCTACCCGCCCGGGGCCTCGCTATGTCCAAGACGCCTTGGGCTTCGCAATGTCCTACCCGCCCGGATGTAGCAGGTGTCCACAGGTAGCGGTAGTTTATGGCACTTAATTTAAATAAATTAATGGCCGTCGGTCCATAAATAGATCCACATAAATTAATGGTTATCGGAACGTCTGTGGCAAAGCAAATATTTGGAGCCCTAAAAAGTCCGGCAACAGTCTATCGACAGAACTTCTGGAAAAAGGCTCGGAGGAGAATCAATTTACATAAATTGTGACTAGTTTGTAAAAAGGAATATAAAATATATCTCTCTCTTTCGTGAAACTTGCGTTTTAAAAGTTTAAATCTTTACAAATAAATAACATTGAAGTGTCTGTTTGAAATGTCAAAATAATAGTTTTTTTATGCTCACACGGTTATTTGCCTAAAACCCAGTTTAAATATTTTTTTATGTCTGTCTGTCTGTCTTTCTGTCTGTTTGTTTGTTCCGTGTAATCTTCAAAACAGCTTTATATATAATAATAATAATAATATACCTCACACATCTCACACACGGCCGTCTGATCCCAAACTAGGCAGAGCCTGTGCTATGGTAACCAGACTGCTGATAAACATACTTATATATTTTTAAATACATACATATTATAGATAAATTACACCCAGACACAGAACAAATGGTCGTGCTCATCACACAATATTTGTCCTGGGTGGGAATCGAACCCACGACGTCCGGCTTAGCAGTCAGGGTCACTAACCACTAGACCAACAGGCCCGTCTTTACCGATTTTGATAATATTTTACTACCAGGCAGCTGTCTATATAAGGAGTAACTTAGGCTATTGTTTATCTCAAAAAAACCCTATAAAATTTTGCCCCGTACAGAAATCTAAACCCGCTAAGGCAGCTCTTGAAATTCAAATAAATAAATTAATAAATTTGATTAAATTTGATTGATGTATAGTTTTGAATGGCATCACCTAACTAATTGTCTATGGTAACTGCGCAAGTCTAGAGTTGCCAGTAAAAAAAAATATGAGTACTCCTAATTAACGTGATTATATCAAGGCGTCTTTATCTTAGAAATAAAATATGTTTTCTTTCTTCTTTAATTAATTGAATAAATAAAACATGTACGTAAGAGATAAAAAGACAGATGTAAAAACCATATTAATCGGCCACAGCATTTATTCTTTACCGGCTCAATCCGCGTGTAGAGCCGTTATCGCGGTAAAAAGTGACTTAGGTTACTCACTGATAAAGTAGCATTCCATTGGTGAAAGAGTTTTTAAAATCAGTTGTTTAGACGTGAAAGCGTAACAAACAAACAAACTTACTTTTACATTTAAAATATATATAAGTATGGATTGTACATAACAATTAATGTTAATAAAATAACAATGAAATGTTTTGCACAAAAGCGAGCTAAACTTATATCTAAGTTTTCTTCCAGCGAACCTTTAGAGTAAATAGCAGAGATCGTAATGTCAGTCATGTAAATAAATAAATATTTTACTAACTTTTAAACTTTCGCGTTCCATGATAATTAATATTATTTAACCGGCCGTGGTCACAGCCTGTGACCACGGCCGGTGCAACCTGGTCGAAACGTCAGGCAAACCAGAGGTATGTAATACCCTAAATAAGAGATCGCGTTAATTCCCGTTAAATAATATTAAATAAATATTTTATTTCATATTTCATTTGTTATACAATTTTATTTGTCTCTGTGCCAAATTTTAACCGAAAAATCGATTGTTGTATGTATGATATTGTTTTGCTAAATCATGTTTATGACAAAATAATTTCGGCTGCATGCTCATTAATTTGTTAAATTATCCTATTAGTGTCCACATGACACGATTTCATCCGAAATGATGTGACACGATCAAGTCAGAAGAACCTTTAAATGGAAGATCTGCTTTTTTTTGTTTTTTTTTTTAATGGACGACGAGCAGACAGGGCACCTGAGGGAAAGTGACTACCGCCGCCCATGAACGTCTGCAACTCAGGAACTATTATTATTTTATTGACAGATTTACTTATCGTATGATTTAATGTAAAGCAATAGATATCTATCTATATATCTATCTATCTATATATATATATATATATATATATATATATAAATATAACTAAATATTAAGTTGGTTTGTATACGCTTTATAAACTTTACTTCTGCACCGATTGAGCTTAAATTTTGAGATGATATAACCCGCTTCAAAGATAGCTGTTATATATTTTTCGTGGCTGTTTTTTGCCTCAATTCTCATAAATGTAACCAGAAATTGCCACAGCGAAGCGTGACAGGGTACAGCTACTATAGTTTAAACATTTACAATCAAAATGTTTGTGATAAAATGATATTACATTTTGAATGAAAAAGAGGAAGGGATAAGATATATGCATTACTGTAAAATAAACTTACTATCTTTAGCTTTGCGTCCACTTTTCAAATAAATGGCTCCGTCTGCACCAGTCAAGTAATTGCTGAAATAAAAAAACATGTATTAAGAGTTTAGAAGTATGAGTGTCACGTTAGACGGCGTTTTTTTTTTAATTTTATTTAATTCACAGTAGTAACTTAGATCTAAGACTTAAACTTTATACTCGCCAAACGTATGTTTAACGGCGAGACGCGCTCGTTAATCAATTAAGTAATCCATGCTACACCGTGTGTACATCACACATAGCGAAAATTACAAAAAAAAAACGTTGATCTAGTGATCGCCAGTTCCCCTCTATTGTTGGTGAATCATTTGGGTTAAATGACATTTTAAAAGTATGATGTTGCTGTCAAAATACTTTTGACTGACCAAAGACGACCGAGACCAAAGTGTATCCTTTACTGTCTTCCGCGATTTAACGGTGTAGCTGGTGTAGTATCCTCTTATTTTTATAGATTACACTAAAACAATCAATTTATTGTGTTTTGTTGGTATGTTTTATGTTGTGAGTGTCGTAAAACTAAGGGAACTAACTACAAAGGACAACATCACTGCAAAGACAAGTAAATCTTGAAACAAACCCTATACCAACCCGTCTGGCCAGCGTGGTATAGTAGACCAAAACCTCTTTTCTAAAGATAGGCCTATGTCCAGCAGTGGACTATTAAAGGCTGTTGATAACGCTTTTTTTTTCGGTGAGGGATTAAGAATACCTACGGAGTGTCACCACCCCTATTCGTCCCGACTAAGGAAGCAAACTGCGCGGGACAACAGCACTGCAAAGAGAAAGAAAACTTGTAACAAACTGTATACCAAACCGTCTGGCCAGCGTAGTATAATAGACCAAAAAATCCTTTCTAAGGACAGGTCTATGTCCAGCAGTGGACTATTAAAGGCTGTTCATGATGATGATAGAAGTATGGATGTTTGAATGATGGATTTGCGTTTTTAAAATTTATATTTTAGTCATGTGTTGAATTACAAGCATTTTTTTTACTGACTGTGCAAAATAGTTTTGAAATTTGGTGTTCGCCGAATCGTCAGTAAAAATAATTCTAAAATTAAAAAGTGTAAATTCCGCCAAGCGTCCAAAACGTCAGCAAACAGATGAAAGGGGATGGTGACACTTTTAACCCTTACCTTGTATTATTGACTAGTTCACAATCGGTGCAGCATATTATTGGATCACGTCCGCTGAATGAACAAAGCTGAAAAATTAATCTTTATCTCAAACAAACTGACTGTGATATTCATCTATGTTTACATGTATGTAATAATATTTTTTCGGACACCTGACACACAACGCCATCTAGTTTCAAACTAAACAGAGCTGTACTACGAAAGCTAGATTGACTGATAGAATACTTATATACTTTTTTTTGCAAATACAGACATATTATACAGAGTGTAAAACACTGTAACACGTCGTAACGAATACTGAAATAGTGTCTTTAGACCATAATTCTGAGTCGAAAATCATTGGAATTCACCTTTTTTTAAACTTTTTTTTTGGTTCAAATGAAAAACTATAATGTTATTAATCAAAAAGCCGAAGCGCGCGGTGCCTCGAAATTGACGTGAAATAAATTCACATTAAGTCCTTAAGTAAAAAATTGACGAGCCGTCGTCATTACAGAAGACAAGAAAAGAGATTAGGAAAAACGAAAAAAGCAAAGAGGAGAAAATATTTTATATTGTTTGTGACAGTTTTATATAGTTTTATATTGATTTAATCACATTATATATTGGAAGACTAATTCTATATACCGGTAGCGTTTGATAATTGTACCTAAAAATGGTTGAGGAAAAACCGGTATTAGCAGTTCTCTTACCAAGAGTGCGAAACACATGTTTAAGTTTTATTCGACGGCCGGCTGGCGTAGTGGTTTGTGTAAGAGATTGCTACGCCAAAGCTCGCGGGTTCGGTTCCCGCTCAAGGCAAGCATTTGTGTGCTTGAAAATTTAATGTTCGATTTGGTCTGGGTATTTTATATGTACCTATGTATTTACAAAAAAAATGTAAGTGTATTTATATCAGTTGTCTACTACCCATAGTACAAGCTCTGCTTAATTTGAGACTAGATGGCGTTGTGTGAATGTGGTACAATAATATTGTTATCTTATATATAAAATTCTCATGTCACAATGTTAGTTACCATACTCCTCCGAAACGACTGAACCCATGTTTATGAAATTTTGTGTTTATATCGGGTAGGTCTGATAATCGGTCAACATCGATTTTTCATACCCCTGAATGACAAGGGTGACCCAACCCTAATATTTTTTTATATTTTCTAGAAATATATGGCAAAACAACGTTTACCGGGTCAGCTAGTATTATATAGGGTGTAAGGGACGGTGTAACGAGTATTGAAATAGTGTATTCAGACCATCATTCTGAGTAGTTGTTTCGGTCGCTATACGAACAAATGTCTGATGGCAGTCGCTCCTCGTAAAATATCAAAGTTCAGCCATGTCATAGCAGACTTAAAGCCGACCTAACCTAGTTTGGAAAAAGGTTTGGAGGAAGAAGGCACTTTAAAAGAAGTTAAAGGCAAACACACCTGCGGATATTTTTTGGTTCTAATATCAGTGAGGACAGACAGGCAACGCTTCAGGTTGACACATCTACCTTTTAGGTTATCTGCTTGTGAGAAACAATCGGCACCTGAAAAGAAAGCAAAAATCTCAATTATATAACTATACTAGCGGTCCGCCCCGGCTTATCATGTGAAGCATAAAATTCCTACCGCAACATTCCATCTGCCACCAGAGGTCCCCTCTCTGGCGGCCCGCGGCCCCGTCGGCGGCTGGTATCTTCGCCGACGGGGCCGGAATCAGCCCTCTCCCGATCCCGTTCAGCGGTCTCTTTCTGGAGCATTACAGGTTCACAGAAAGAGACCACTGCACCCCATCCCGAACCTCTAGGTGACAGACAAGGTAAGGATTTCATCTCTTTATGCAACTTTAATGTAATTCCAACCAACCGTGTACTGCGATTATTACTCACGCTTGGGGACTGCAAATAACATTAGATATGAAGGTAATTGTTTATTTCAAGTTTTTAGCTTTTAAAATAAACCCTAAAATACTTCAAAACTGCTTGTTTGTATTGGTTACTACCAGTTCGTTTAAAAATATTCCACTTAAACCTTTAATTTTAACCACTTAAGTTTTAATAAGTAAAATAGCATTAGAAAACTTCTAAAATCTTAAATCCTCAATAAATCGAAACATGAATTTATGAAATGTTCCGATACTGTCATTATCCGACAATACTTAGGAATACTTTTCGTCGTATGTGTATCAGCAGTCCGGTTATCATAGTACAGGCTCTGTCTAGTTTGGATCAGACGGCCGTGTGAGATGTGTAAGTTTATTAAGTACGGGTCTAGTTCATAATATCACCAAAAACTACATCTATCGTCGCTATATGAAAACCGTTCCATGGACAAGTTCATAGACCAATAAAATTGGACTATGTAAATTGTTATTGTTATTTTCATTGTTACGGAGTCAAAGATCAAAAGATTGATACTACAAATCGTAAATTAGATATCGTCCTTTGTATAATAAAAGTAATAAAGTAGTAAACGCATGCGGTTCCGTTTAATTTTACGCTTTTTATATAATTAAACGGAACTAATTAAATGAATACATATTTATTTTTAAGAATAATCATAAAATAAAACATTTACTTACTACTGTTTAGCTGTATGAATAAAAATGAATTGCCAGCGCAAAAATCCAGAACGGCTTTACCATTTCGGCTAATTCTTTTTACAAATTTTCGTTAAGACACAAGGAAGGTTCTTAGTTCGCAAAAAATGTAAAACTTGCGCGGTAAATAATAAAAACAACACGTTTCTTTCCCCAAAGTGAGCGTTACAGAGTAAAATAAAACACCTTTAACTAGCTATCAAACCTTTGACATCAATCAAAGGCTGTATGATTGATCTCAGTGGTTGGTTTTTACATAAGGAAAGGGGGGAAACTTCGTAATGACTGATGCCTTTGGCCGCGCGTGGCCGACAATGTCAGATGTCCTGTGTTGTAAACTTTTAGAGACTCAATTAGTCATATGTTTATTTAGAATTATACAAGTACTAGCGGACCCGCGCAACTTCGTCTGCGTCTCTCAATAGTAATATATTTTCTCCGTTTCTGAAACATTATTCATTGGTGCTCCGCTCCTATTGGTCTGAGTGTGATGATATATAGCCTTCCTCGATAAATGGGCTATCTAACACTGAAAGAGTTTTTCAAATCGGACCAGTAGTTCCTGAGATTAGCGCGTTCAAACAAACAAACAAACTCTTCAGCTTTATAATATTAGTATAGATAAGCTTTTGCCCGCGGTTCCGCTCGGGTGTACGTCGGTTATCACTGTAAAATGTAGCCTATGTTCCTCCCTGATAATGAAGCTTTCCATTGGTGAAAGAAATTTTAACATCGGTTTAGTGGTTTAGGCGTGACAGCGTGACAAACAAACTCACATTCATATTTTTAACGTAGTAGTTTTTAATATAGTAGTATGGAAATATGGATATTTATCAGCAGACTGGTTATACAGGCTAAACAAGCAATAAGTACATATATTCTTTTTGACTTACGTTATTTATATAAAAAAGAAAGAAAATTATTGAGTAATTTAAAAACAAGAAGAAGGTTATTAATGCAATAGTATTTTTGATGTTTTTTTTATGGAAGAGGCGGCAAACGAGCAGACGGGTCGAGCCTGATGGAAAGTGACCATCGTCGCCCATGAACGTCTGCAACTCAGGAGTCACAAACGTGTTGCCGGCCTTTTAGGAAAGAGTACGCTCTTTTCTGGAAAGTTTGAAGGTCGTATCGGTTCGGAAATACCGCAGACGATAACTTGTTCCACAGATTGGCTGTGTCATTTGTGAACCGGTCTTTAATCTTCTATTTTTAGATCGCAGTGTGTACTTTCCGTTTGGTCCCAAATTTGAAGAAAAAATACTATATAGTTTATTACGTTTCATTATGATAATATTTATAACTTCACACATCTCACACACGGCCGTCTGATCCCAAACTAGGCAGAGTCTGTACTATGGTAAACATACTTATTTATTTCTAAATACATACATTTCATGGATAAATTACATCCAGACACAGAACAAATGATCGTGCTCATCACACTGTTATTAATGTGCTGTTTGCATTTATCACATGACACTTTGATTTTGAAGGCTAAACCTTCCGATTTCAAGTGCAAAAAGTCATTTTCCCATCACAATTAACGCACTTCACTAATGTTGATATAGTTGAAAATACTAAAAGAAAGTCTATAATTCTGTAATGTTTCTCTAAATCTTGCTCTACACTTTCTACGATACTCAGTTTTTGACGTGACAACGTCTTATAATTCGATGGAGCCGGCTGCACGCACGAAAAAACATGACTCATGCGGCGTTACCTCGCTCTGAGGCGTTCCATTTAAGGCGTGAAGTGCAAGCGAGAGCGCGGAACGAGTGACAAAGAGGCACAATCGGCCTCCGCGTTCGGCAGCGTTCGACATCTGTCTCTCTCCTACTTGAGTGAGCGATGCGTCCGCGTGGACAGCTGCTACTCGTATACAATAATACATTTTTGAAAAATGCTACCATTCCATCAGTATTTTCTTATGACGTTGTCACGTTCAACTATCGTCAGTAAACCGACTTTACAGACAACCGATTTTTTTTTTATGCGATGCGCTGAACACTTCCACGTGGTCATTTTGGCGTTTTGGCCAAATTTTTTTTTCTCGGTCGACCCGAAATAACACCACTTGCCCATCGATCCTGTCTTGTAACTTTTTTGGGCATTTTGGAAATAAATAAATAATTTTATCATGATACAACACAAACCAAGTGAAAATACAGCTACAAATAATAACGCTGTATCTTCATTATTTTTGATCCGATTTACTTGAAGTTTTGAGACAATATTCTCGACGTTGTACATTCCGAAAAAAATAGTGTTCATTAGTATAAAAAAAGGACGCATCTCGTCATCAAACGTCAAAGTTTGGCGAGTTTAGTATTTAGGTTGTAAAAAAGTTGATTAATAAATATATATATTAAAATACAAACGTGCACTTGTTTTTTAGGGTAATTTCAAAATTTGTTTAAACGTTTTTTATTAGTTTTAATTAAGAGTATTTACTGTGTGATTGAAAACGATACTACCAAAAATGACACAGTTTCATACAAGTTTCCAACCCCCCCTTTTACACCCTAAGGGGCGGAATTTAAAAAAATCCTTTCTTAGTGCACACCTACGTCACGTAAGGACCATTTGTGCAAAATTTCATGCGTCTACACCCAGCGGTTTCATCTGTGAGCTGATCGATCAATCAGTGAATCAATCTGTCAGATTTTTCTTTTATAAATATAGGCGTTTTATAGATATTTTGAGACACGACAAAATCGCTTACTGCAGTCGATATAGTATAGATCCTTCGTAATTCTCTAAGGTGAATAGTATAAGATTACTAGCTGACCCGCGCAACTTCGTCTGCGTCTTTCAATAGTAATAAATTTTCTCCGTTTTTGAAACATTCGTCATTGGTGCTCCGCTCCTATTGGTCTTAGCGTGATGATATATAGCCTTCCTCGATAAATGGGCTATCTAACACTGAAAGATTTTTTTAAATCGGACCAGTAGTTCCTGAGATTAGGGCGTTCAAACAAACAAACAAACAAACTCTTCAGCTTTATAATATTAGTATAGATTTTCCCCACTATTTGACGTCACACATTTAAGTCATTTGTTTTAGATAGAAGAATATAAACGATAAATTAGTATAGTAGTATTAATTCACAGCAACATAAACAGCGATAAGCATCTGTGTTTAAGGAAAATCTGTGGATTAATTCAGTAATGGAATGATTCACAAGTATATGTGTAAATATAGGATAAACACACGTCAAGGACAACGCTGTTAGGCCGTGATTTACACATATAAAATTACTAGACTAACTGACGGATTTATCAACGCAGAGCCTAAACCCATGGGGCTACAAACTTGAAATTTTGACAGCTTATGCTTTTTATAAGCATGCATTTGTAAGCATGGAATAACAAAGGATTTTCTTTTTTTTTCACGCTTAAGGGTGTAAAAGAAGGGATGAACGGTTATATGGAAGTTCGTAATTTTCAAAGTTTGAAAACACGAAATTGCAATAACCTGGAAATTGCAATGCGTGGGAAGCCTGGAACAATCACATCATTAACAGCCTTTAATAGTCCACTGCTGAACATAGGCCTATCCTTAGAAAGGAGGTTTTGGCCTACTATACCACGCAGGGCAGACGGGTTGGGATAGGGTTTGTGTCAAGTTTTCCTTCTTTTTGTAGTGCTGTTGTCCTACATTGTTTTGCGCTCTTAGTCGGCTCTTACGACACCCGCCAGATGAATTGGGGTAGTGACATTCCGTATTCTTAATCCGTCACTGGAACAATAGCTAGTTTTATTATAAGCGGCTCTTTGTTTGAGGAAAAAACGAAGAAGGTTTGCAACTATCCGCTATCCTTTGAGACCAGCCGGATCCAGCCTCCCACTAGAATTCAGATGGAAGAATTTAGCCGCGGGAACCTCATTCGGTAAAAAACAACGATAAACCTGCCTAACAGCGGTTTTCTGTAAGGCCGTGGTATAACTCCGTTGGAGAACTAAACCTATTTGGACCTAACATTGCTCTCCCACGAAAAAATAATCTATAATCTAAAAATAACTATAATCAACGATTCTATTTAAAATAACTATACCTTGAAACATGTAATTAATAAAATGGTGCTGTCTTATTATAATTCTGTAAGTTTCACTAAGAATTTAAAAAAAAATAGTAAGACCTGGGCACATCTCACACACGGTCGTCTGGTCCCAAACTAGGCAGAGCCTGTACTATGGTAACAAGACTGCTGATAAACATACCTATATTTCTCTAAACACATATTTATCATAGATAAATTACATCCAGACAAAAATAAATGATTGTGCTCATCATACAATTATTTGACAATGGTGGAAACGAACCCACAACCAGAAACCACATGGCCAACAAGCTGGTTAAGGAAAACTTCGTTTTTTATTAAGTCCCTTGACCCGGCGAGCCAAGGCGAATCTCTCAGTACATTGCGCGAGGCTCTCAGTAAAAAATCTGTGGACTATTAGGACAATTAACCGATTTTTAAAATGAATGTTTCTTTAGGCACGTTAGGCATTTCTGAGATGGGAAAAAACAACGAAACTCGCGACTCTGTTACCGTTACCGACACCTCTGTATATAAGTTTTTACATCTGTTGGCACTCCCGGAGTACCACTGTTTTTTTTACCAAAAGTTTGCCGCCCCTATGCACGGGCATTTTGTGCATAGGCGTTAATCCGCTACTGGTCCCTATTCATCCCATTTGTGTCGCAAGAGCCGACTAAAGGAGAAATCTAAGCAGGGCAACAGGACTGGTAACAGAAGGTAAACTTAAAACTAACACTATAGCAACCCGTCTGGCCCGAGTGGTATAGTAGGCCAAAACCTCCTTTCTAAGGAGAGGCCTATGTTTTACAGTGGACTACCAAAGGCTGTTGATCATGATGATGACGGAAGTATGGATGTTTATCAGCAGTCAAGTTACCATAGTACCGGTTCTGCTTAGTTTGATTGATTAATGGGATTGGACGCCCATGTGTAAAATGTGTAAGGTTATTATTATACTTACTAACCAAGTATAATTAACCAATAAATTCAAGTTACACTTTTTATATAGTTTTTAACACGCTTATTGTATTGTATTATATTGTAATATTAGCCTATTAGATATACTTGCAAATTACTGTAAAAAAATCTTGGAGGTCAATTTTAAGGCAAAAACAATTACCGTATCGAAATGTAACTTTGTATGAATAAGTAGTTCGCTCGTGGCTAAGTGGTATCCAAATAGGTAAACACTTGCAAAGTCAAGCAATCCTAGCCAGGTCAGTCTATTGATGGGTGACTATTCTTAACATATTGAGACCCTTACGTGCCTCGGAGAGCACGTTAAACCGTCGGTCCCGATTGCCATACGAACATCTGTGGCAATCGTTAGGGGTAGGTAGAGCCCTTCACCAGGGACTTCCTTTCTAGGGTATACCTGGTTCCCCGGCTACTAGTACCCGAGACGGCGTGCGGTTTTAGTCGGTTCGAGTCCGACATGCCACCGATAGGTGATTTCCGCACGGAAAAAAAAAGGGGTAGATGCAGCCCTAAAAAGTCTGATAACAGCCTTGTACTTGGGTTGTGGAGATCTGATGGCAGTCGTAAAAAAATAAAGTTCAACCGTGTCTTAGTAGACCGACCCCAACCTAGTTTGGGAATAAAGCTAGAAGAAAGGTGTAGTTTGAATGATAATACTATTATTTTGGAAGTGATCTGATGATGAAGGCAGGTAGTAACTGCAGTAGCTACTATTAAACAGGTCTAGTAGATTAGGCTTGGTATTTTTTTTTATATGGCATTAAATCTAAATCAAAGTAGGCTGAGTGCCAGCACTTTTTGAACGTAATTATTTCCGTAAAGACCCAACTCGTCACCATCGCTGAAGCGGTGGAAGAAACTCCACAGCAACATAGGTGTCAACGAGCAGACGGGTTACTTGATGATTGAAGTGACTAATGTCGCTAGGCACATGCAGCTCAAAAGACGTTGAATTCCTTTGAGTGACTCTTCATCTAGAATTGCGAGGTTTGTTAATAATAATAATAACATCTCACACTCGGCGGTCTGATCCCAAACTAGGCAAAGTCTGTGCTATGGTAACCAGACTGCTGATAAACATACTTAGGTATATATTTCTATATACATACATGTTATAGACACAGAACAAATGACCGTGCTCATTACACAATATTTGTCCTGGGTTTGAATCGAACCCACGACTTTCGGCTTAGCAGTCAGGCAATCACTAGACCAACAGGCCCTACAGGGTTGGGTTCCGATAACCTCCCTCACTTGGTGAAATGTCGCGAAAGAAACGTTTAACACCGGTTTTCTGTGAGGCCGAGATACTCCGGTCGTGCCATCCCGTATTAGCTGAAGCATGATTCTCCCACGGTAGTGAAACTAGAGGAACACTTCTTTATTTTTTTTGATTCAGAAGACCGTGAAATAGTCAAACCAATCATTTATATTCTGAGCTATATTAAGACATTTAAAACAAAACGGCACTCCGGGAGTGCAGATAGAAGTGAAAACCTAAAAATTTAAAAAAATTGAATATAACAGGTTTTTTTTTATTTTTATTCGATTCGAAAAGTTCCGACTTGAATATACATACAACTATGTTGTACATAATAAATGTTTAAATTATATATAGTTATATAATTAATGTATTTCAACCCAAACTCAACCCTCGTGTAAACGCGGCCAATATATGTAGATACTTATATAAAGACGTGTCGGTAACGGTAACAGTGTCGCGAGTTCAATGTTTTTTTCCAATCTCAAAAAATACATTCTTTTGTTTGTTGTTCAAAAATACCCATCGCGTCTAAGTTTTTCAAAAATACCCATCGCGTCTGGTGTTTCTGAAGTTTTCACTTCAGAAACACCAGACGATAAAAACAAAAAAAAATTAGAGATGCATATCTACAATCATTTTAATAATATATTTGCGTTCGTCCGGGTTTTTACGTTTAATATACATGTTTATAACTAGTTACAAAAAAACGAAAAACAAAAATTTAACGGCATACAGTCGTATTTTGACCTCTAGGCGAATACTAGTAGCCGCAGGCTACCAGAGAGTGGGGACGGCGGCAGATTAATTGCTGCGGTAGGCGATAGGATGGCGGACCATTGATTGGGCCGATAGGCGGAGGCAGCCTTCTTCCCCCGGGGTAGGGCCTGGCAAGGCGCGGCGTCGATCCGGGGGGACCTTAAATAACATGGTCTGGGTTCTCCCCAGCGCCTGAGACCGGCTGTCGGGGTGGTTTTAGTGGAAACACCACATACTCCTGGCTCCTGGGTCCCCGAAGAGCCAAAAAAAGGTAAATACCTACTAGTAATTTCAAAATATTAAATGATTAATTTCAAATTGTTAACAGACATCGCGTCTTTATTTTAAGACTTAGTTTTAAAATTTACTAATTAATTATTGGCCATAGCAAAATATTATAATTAACTAGCTGACCCTGCAAACGTTGTTTTGCTATTTACATTATTTAATTATTATTATTTTTTGAATTTCTTATAATCCGTTCTTAGCTGACCTCTACTCGGTGAAAAGAATATTCCTACCAAATTTCAAGTCTTTAGCTCTAAGATTAGCTCCATAGATATTGTGATGATGACTATATACGTGGAAATCTCTTATATACCTATATATAGATAAATAACAAACCTTCTTCCAACTGACATTTAACACTTAGTATATATAAAAATACACAGAAACTAACACTAAATACATATTTAGACATGTTTTCAAAACTTTCAACCACGCGTGTGCGCAGGTTCTCTTTTGTTGTGATACTGAATTGTGTATTAAATATACATTGCATACCAGAAACCGGTTTCTCGCTTTCTGCGCCACTGATGACGCATTTACACTCATTTGGCTTCTGTAGAATTGTTAACTCGAAAAATTTCCAGACTCAAAAATTTTTAAAGCCAATATTTGATTGCAAACATGATTTTTCTGATGTTATATTAAGTTATTTGGGGTCGGTGTTGGATTATTTAACGTAGCAAGATTGTCGTCCACTGTTGTCGGATTATCGGAGAAAAGAAACGCTTGAGGGTAAGTGACTACCACACCTGCATGGAGCCAATATTTGCTCCGTGCTCAAGAGTCACAAGTGCGTTGGGACTTTTGAGCTGCAAGTGTGAGGTACTGGAACCCAAACCCCTTGTTTGGGTTCCGGTAACTTCATTAACTAACACACACTGCCCACCGGAAACAGTGGTGGTTAGTGATCCTGACGGATTTCTTTTCACGTGCAGAAACATCGCAATCCAAAGAGATTTTTCCTCATACCTGGTCTTTCTTTACAATATTTTTAGTGTCATCGACCTTATTATCCTTATACCAAATAAAAAAACCGGTCAGATACGAGTCGAACTCGTGCGTCGAGGGTTCCGTACCTAACCAGATCTTACGCAGATTTTCGAGAAAATTTGAATTTTCTTTTTACTTGTGCTGTAAGACCTTGGTGTAGCGGTGTATCGCGGTGTGCAGACGTGTAGCGAAGTGTCAAGTGAACTGTGATAAAAATCCTTCTCGAAAATTTGTGATTGGTCTATTAGGCGGAACACAATTCCCGTTCTAACTTAAAGTGCTTTTACGGATTAGCTCCTCCCCCGGAGCAGGATAGATATAATTGTCATCATTACCACGAAATAAATTTTAAAAACTCTGTCGTGACTGGCTGTATATCTGAAGTCGTCGTGGGGATCCGAACCGCCTAACGAACTCGCCCGTCGGGAGTGGTGAAAACACAACGAGCCACAGCCACAGTGTTGAGCAGCTGCGAAATAGGTGAATGGTAACTGTGCATGCGCTACGACGGGTCGTGCGAGTGACGTCGGCAGGCTACGAGCCGGTAATAGCTAGGCTACGCGCTACGGGCGGTGTGTTTGTGACGCGCTGTGCCAGTGACTTTAGAACGGTGTAGTGCGTGTGCGTTATTGACTACACATAAACAAGCATGTCAAAATGCAAAGGATGCGGTAAATACATAGCACAAAAAGACATTACTAAATGTTCTAAATGTCAGAACTATTACCATCGCACATGTGCGCTCGCGGCTACACCAGGGGTTAAATCTGTCTCGCCAAAATGGATATGCGCGGGCTGCAATGTTGTCTTAGCAACCCCGCCAGCTGTGGCGGAGGCATGTGTGTCACCGCAGCCGAGTAATTCACACGGCGCCACGGCAAGTAACAACTTGCCTAGGGATTGCAACCCGGCACAAACAGTGGATGTAAGCTTAATACTTAAAGAGATTCGTATCTTTCGTGAAGAGATTAATGCTTTGATATCGGAATTGCGTGAGTTTAGAGAAGAGATGTTAAGCCTTCAAGCAGATAATAAGATGTGCAACGATAGAGTGGATTTACTGGAGAAGAGAGTTGGTGCCTTAGAGGAGAAATCGGATCAACATTTGTATCCCGACCTCACAACATTAGAGACAACCGTACGCGATTTAAAACTTAAACTGAATGAGCGTGAACAGGAATCCTTGTTAAACGACATAGAGGTTTCTGGGGTACCCGAATCGAATGGTGAAAACGCAAAGCAAATTATAAATATGATTTCCATCAAACTCGGCATTAAGTTGGAGGAACAGGACGTGGTATACGCCAAACGGGCAGGAAACGGACGTCGTAATTATGAGGAAAGCGAAGAAAAGGCGCCTCGGCCGCGCGTCATTGTCGTCCGCCTTACGCGACGTGAAACGCGCGAAGAGCTTCTGCGCAGCGCTCGGGTACGACGTGGCTTGACCACGAAGGATATACAGTTAGCTGGGACTCCACGCCGAGTTTATATAAACGAGCGTTTAACGCAAGTTAATAGAAAACTATTTCACAAGGCTCGAGAGGCTGCTATGCACCATAACTATAGGTACACCTGGACCAAAGAGGGCTGTATATTAACTCGGAAAGAAGACGGAAAACCCGCGAAACGTATACGATCCGAGGATGATATTTTTCAGATTTTTGGATGACTTACAGTTTGTGCCGAGTTAATTTAATTAAGATAGTTGAGTGTCAAATGTTATATAGGTATGTTGTTATTATTTTAATTTTTATATTGGAAACTGATTACTGCTTATACACACTATCAAGAACTTTACATTATAGCTTTAACTTTTGTAAAATACTCATCTTCTACTATGTTTATATACTGTCTTGTTTTATCTTTTTAATTTATGTACGTGCTTGTTTATGTGGATTACGTGAAATAGTTCCTAGGCTTATGCTATCTATCCTATTTAAACATAAAAGCGCAGCACAAGGGTGTACTCTGTACATGAATAGTTTTCCTGATCTGTTCAAGTTAATAAAAACTATATATACTACTATATTTTTCTATACACGTAGATCAAATCTATCTAGCATATTATATTTATATTTATGTACATCTGGTACAGTTATAAGAAATACTATATTACACAAAATAGACATGCATTGTTACAAATCGCGCTTGGCCTATATCATGTATGCACTGTATTATATCCGAATGTACTCACCCGCTAATAAAAGCTGTTGGACATATAATATCAAGATTTTAACAATTACAGTAATAGTGATGTCTTTGCATGTTTTTGATGGCTCCTAAGTATCTAAGAGTTGGTCATTTTAATGCGGGTTCATTGGGTACAAGACATGAGGAGCTTATGGAAGTGGTAGAGAGACATAAAATAGATTTTATTTCTATCAACGAGACGTGGTTGAGAGAGGGTGAGGATTGGAAAGCACCCGCATTGCCTGGTTACATTTTAAAGCACATCCCCCGTTCGGCAACAGTCAAGCGTGGTAGAGGCGGTGGGATCGGCTTTTATATCAAGCGGGAAGTTACTGCTCGCAGACACTCACACCCCGTGGACTCATTACACTCCTCAGTGGAGCAAATGTGGTTTACTACCAGCGTGAATGGAATTAAACTAGCTATAGGAACTGCATACCGACCTCCCTGGCTGGATGTAGACCTGTTTCTGGACGCTCTCACGTTTTCTGTGAACTCTCTGGCTCATTGCGACGGAATGGTACTGATGGGTGATTTTAATATTAACATGTTAAATGAATCCGACGCTAAGACCGACAAACTGAAAACATTCTTAAGCTATCTAAGTTTAAAACAAATAATAGATACGCCTACGCATTTCACACTTAATAGCAAGACACTGATAGATGTTGTTTGCACTGATGTAGAGGTTCAGTCGTTTTCGGTGGAGTACATTCCCGACCTTGGGGCCCACGCATTCTTGATCTGCGATCTCCATATAAAAATGGATAAAGCAGCGCCACAAACTATATCGTTTCGCCCATTAAAAAGCATATGTAGGAAAAACTTTGACGAAGACATCTCGCGTCTTGATTGGCACAGTATAACAAGACTGTCAAGCGTGAATGAAATGGTGACATGTTTTAATGCTAATATCAATACTTTATTTGACTATCATGCACCCAAAACTACAAGAAAAATCAAGGAGCGGTCGCATCCATGGGTTACTGACAATATAAAATATATGATGGTTTTAAGAAACAATGCACATAATCAATTTTTAAAACATAAAACAGAGAGTAAAAAACAATATTATAAACAACTTAAATCACTTGTAAAAGAATCGCTGCATAATGAAAAAATAGCCTACTACAAATACAATGTAACAAAAAAAATAAATGACCCTAGGACTTTATGGAAAAGCTTGAAATTAACTTTAGTACCAATAAAAAGCAACATGTACCTACCGTCACACTTTAATGACCCAGATAAAATATGCGACTTCTTCATGAATGTCCCGGGGAAGGAAGTAGTTAATATATCTGACCTTATGTCCTACGAGTATTCGCGCTTTAGTGAAGCAACATTTACACTGGAATCGGTTCCATGGACTTCGGTCGCTAAAACCCTCCAAGGTCTTAAGTCCAACGCTGAAGGTAATGACGGGATTAGTTTAGATATGGTGCTCCTCACTATGCCACTGGCGATAGAGGCTGTTACCAGCATCGTCAATAAATCTATTCAAACATCTTCTTATCCGGAACTGTGGAAAACCGCTGTAATACGCCCACTACCAAAAAATAGCTCACCAACGGATATGAAAGATTTGCGACCGATTAGTATACTTCCCGTTCTTTCAAAGGTGTTGGAGAAAATCGTTAGTTCCCAGCTCGTAAAGTATTTAGAGAAAAATAACATTCTCCCTGATACGCAATCAGGTTTTAGAAAAGCTCGTAGTACAACCACTACCTTATTGGCAGTGACGGACGATATCCTGTCAGCACAGGACGCCGGCATGTGTACGCTGCTGGTGTTATTGGACTACTCTCGCGCCTTTGACTCCATCAATGTTCCACTGCTGCTGTCGAAGATGGCTTACTACGGCTTTGACGGGGGAGCTATTAAATGGTTTGATAGCTACTTAGGTGGTCGCTCTCAATACGTTGAGATCAAGCAAATAAATGGAAACACAATATGCTCTAGCTCGAGATCTGTAACTAGAGGCGTGCCCCAGGGATCAATATTGGGACCTATTTTATTTATTATGTACTGTTCCGATGTGGGTCGGCAGCTGCGTCATTGCAAGTACCATATGTATGCAGATGATACACAGGTCTATATATCGTTCAAGCCCCCGGACTACGAAACAGCACTTCAAAAATTAAACGAAGATCTAAATAGAATTGTCGATTGGTCTGCTCGCAATTCTCTTGTGCTCAATCCGCTGAAAACAAAATATATGCTGTTTGGCACCAAATCCCAGCTAGGTGCCATCCCACGAAAAACACGTCCTGTTGAAGTAATGGGCGTGCCGATTGAGCGAGTTTATGAAGTTCGTAACTTGGGGATAATAATGGACGCTGACTTGAGGTTTGAGAACCACATCTCGAGAGCTGTTCGTGACTGTTTCTATAAACTAAAGGTCTTGTACAGGGCGCGGCCATTTATAGGTGAAGAGCTGCGAATACTTTTGGTGGAGAGCCTCGTCTTATCTCGACTAAACTATGCAGACACTGTATACGGTCCTCGACTCTTTTCTAGAACAGAACGCCTGATACAAAGACTTCAAAACGCTTGTGCCAGGTTCTGTTTTACCGTACCCAAAAGGGGTCATGTCACCCCTTTTTTTAATAAGCGCAACATTTTAAAAATGCATGCGCGTCGAAGGCTTCATATGGCAAGTCTCCTATTTGGCGTAATTAACTTCCGTACAGCGTCCTATTTATTTAACAAGTTGAAGTGGACATTTAGGCACAACCAAAATATGAGTAGAGAATGCTCATCGCAGCTTTCAATACCTCATCATAGGACAACTGCCTTTAAGGGTAGTTTTCGTTACTCTGCGTCGAAATGCTGGAATAATATCCCTCCTCCAATAAAAAGAAGACCAAGTGCGTATTCTTTCAAAACGAAATTGAAGGAATTCTTACTGGAGCATCAGAAGGATTTCGAAGACGTCAGAGTAACTCTTAGCGTGATATAAAATGGAGTGCGTGCCATGACCTTGGATGCCGTGCTGTGCCGTATCTCACCTTATTTTATTAACAACCAGAAATTATTATATCTTTACTATCATGGTCATAATGTCTTAATTCAATCAAATTGTTATCCAATTAGTACTCATTATATATTTAAATGTTTTCCTATTAATCAAGTTATTATGCAATCACTATCGTTCTCGGAATATTCTCAAACCAATATCTCTTTACAGCATGCTATACTAGACTATCATAATGATCGAATATTTATTCTATCTAACAGACACGCGGACAACACCCCTGGGCTGCGCTGAAAACCAGCGCTAGGTGCATTGCGCCTAGCATTATGCTGAGTCGTGGTCCATATTGGTACAGATGTATTAAATATGTAACTTGTAAATATGTAACAATCCAAAATGTGCCAATTAAAGTATTTTTCTTCTTCTTCTTCTTCTTTTAACCAAAGTTGACAATTCTAGGTCAACCGGAAGTACCCTACAGGTTTTGGGTTGAAAACCTATATGGTAGTTCCCGTTAACCTAGAATCACGAAATTTGGCAAAAAGAAACGTCTTACAGCACAAATAAAGGAATAATTCCAAAAAATAAAAAAAAGTTAAAAATTAAGATAAATTTTGGTACTTACAAGTGTTCGCTAAAATTGAAATTTGCCCATATCTTTTTGTCGTGTTGACTCAGGACCTTGATTTTTATACACCAAATAGGGACCATAAACATCAGTATCTGGTATAAATTTGAACTTGCTAGGTCTACCCGTTCCTGAGAAAATCGGTGGTGACACACGGACAGACGGGTGGACGGACAACAAAGTGAGTGGTTAAGGGTTCCTTTTTTACCTTTTGAGGTACGGCACCCTAAAAAACCGGACAAGTGCGGGTCGGACTCGCCCACCGAGGGTTCCATACAAATTTTTAAGGTACGTTTACAGGTTTTAAATACAAATGTATAGTTGTCAGATTTTTAGCTATACATGTAGCATGAGACGGTATTACTTACGAAATTTCATAGTTTTAGGTCAACGCAAAATACCTTATAAATTTTGATTCCCTTGTAGTGTCAAAATATACGTTTTTTGCTGAATAATCGACCATATCTTTTTTACGTTAACTTAGAAGTTTGATTTTTTCACAGCTTCCAGAGGCTGTAGACCTGAGTATATCGTTTATATTTCAACTCGATAACTCCACGCGTTCCCGAGATAAAGGGTTTGACAGACAGTGAGACGGGCGGACAGACAATAGAGTGATCCTATAAGGGTTCCGTTTTTTTCTTTTGAGGTACGGAACCCTAAAAACAGTCTTAAGTAAGTAAAGGGTTATGATGAAATGATTCCCCTTGACAATATAATTTTTAAACTAGTCATTGCCGCGCTACGCTCACATTTTTTTTTTAATATTCTAAGTCATTCACACAACGCCATCTAGTCCCAAACTCAGGAATCTCTAACTTTGAATGGCGAACTTCCATACTAATCCACCACTAATTTTATAATAATAATTAATTTAAATAATAATAATTCATCACTAATTTTACCCACTTAGGGGTCAAAATTCAAGACTCTACGTTGATGAATCAGTCAGTCAGGACAAGTTATTTTATAAAGGATTTAAGAGACATCGTAACAAATATTGAAATGGTGTATTCAGATCATCATTCGAGTCGAAAATCATCAATTATCTGCCGGTTTTTTTCCATTTTTTTATTTAAAACTGATGCAAAACTATATCACAATGAGTAAACAGAACATTTTACCTAATAATTTGATAAATACCGCATACGGTCAAAAATTGTAATGTTCTTCCCCCCGGCCGCCAACTTGTGTTAGTGTGCGTAGACTGTTTGCACGGAATACAAATGTAGTTATCACTTTTGTACGATACCTACAGGCAATGGCTTTAACCTTTGACAGCTACTTGCATCAAACGTTTAATTTTCCGGCAGAAAATTCCAATGATTGTCGACTCAGAGTGACGGTCTGAATACACTATTTCAGTATTCGTTACGACGTCCCTTACACCCTGTATATTGTGTAGATTAAAGATTAAAATCGTAAACCCATATTATATGTTTATTATTGTATATTTCTTTGCATTTTGGGAGTGAAATATCAGCTTTATAAAAGTAATTCCTCCATTTTGGTTAAATAAATAATTCTGACGGATTAAGAAAGTGCACCCCTATTCATCCTGTGGGTGTCGTAAGAGCCGACTAAGGGCGCAAACTACGCAGGACAATAGCACTCCAAACAGAAGGAAAACTTGAAACAAAACCTTTTTTTTTTTTAACGAGTGGAAATCCCCTCGGACCGTCACCCCACCGGGGTTTGCGGCGGGGTGGTGTGTCGGACTCGGACCGACTAAAACCACACGGTGTGCCACTCTGCGCCTGTAATAGGAGGGATCCGGGAACAGCTGTTATTAAGACATCCGGACCCCTCCTAGCGCCAGCCCGCTCCAGTTGCGGGCCCCGTCTCAAAATTGTTCCTCTCTTTAGGCGACGTCCGGCACACGCGGACGCCGCCCCCTCGCGGCTGGCCAAACTAATGCGGGTGGAGGGGAAACCCACCCCGTCCACCCGCGGCCACACTCAGGGCGGCATGAGGCGGTGATAGGCGCGCCTCCGCCGCCCGGTTCGCCGGCGGCGGATCGCGGCGGTGCGACTTTGCGTTGAAGTCCCCCAGCACAAGGACGTGCCCAGACGCTAGTCGCCGTATCGAGGTCTCCAAGCTGGTTAGGAAAACCTCGAAGTCGCTCAAACTCCGGTTGGGGGAGAAATAAACACCATATATGGTGATCCCCCCCCCACTCGGCGGCAACATATCCAGTGCCCTTGTCTCTTAGCGACAAGGGCGGGGAATGAGCCGCCGTGGAACCGACGACTGCCACGGAACCGTCCCAGTCACCCATCCAGTTTGGACGGGGAGGGACAAAATAGGGCTCCGCGACTACGGCAACACCTATCGACCACTGTGCCATGGTTTGCAGGAAGAGATCCTGGGCCGCGGCACAGTGGTTGAGGTTTGTCTGGACGAGGAGGTTGGAGACCTGGTCCATTACTGGATTGTCTCTACAACCTCCTCCATGGGCGATGATGTCGACGCACGAGGGATGTCGGAGGTAGCCTGGGTCGACTGGCTAGCCCCCGACGTCTGCCGAGAATTGCGGGGAGGCTTGCAGTCTCTCTGCCCCATCTGGTGATTGGCGGGCTTATTGCCCGCCGCACACGCTGGGCAGTGAGGGGCGGCAGAGCATTCTGCCGCCTTATGCCCCGGTTGACCGCAGCGGAAACACAGTCCGCCGCAGTCAAAACAGCTATCGCACTTGACGCGCGTGTGTCCCGTGGCCAGGCATTTAAAACACCTCATTGGTCTCGCCGCCAGGACTGTGATCCTGGCGCTCACGAAACCGATGAGCAGCCTGCCGGCGGACGGCCAAAGCACAGCTGACCCACACGGCGCCAAGCCCTCCTGGACCGGGGCGGATGGTGCCGACCCTGACGTTGTCCGCGCTGCACCCCGTCTTCTCCCGGATTACAGCGCGGACATCTTCGGCCGTCACAGAGTCGTCCAGGCCTGAGATGCGCAGCTCCGCGCACTTGGTAGGCCTGGCGACCCTCACACCATCTGTGGTCGCGAATATACCCCGCAGCCTATCAGCAAACGAGTCTGCCGTCTTAGCGCCTTCAGCCCCAGGGAACTCGAGGACTCGAGCTCCCGTCTGGGCGAGGCGCATCCTGACCCCCACCGTCCCAAAATCGTTGGCGAGGCTGTCCCGGGCCTTTTTAAAGACGGCCGCGTAGGACAGCCCGCCGTCAGCCGCCTCCGGGGACACGGTCACCACTACAGCCGCGGTTTTGGGCGGCTGCAGCTTCCGCGGCCTCTTTGTTGAGGCCGTTGCCACCGGTGGCGAAGGCTGGGCTTGGGCTGCTTTTTGGGCAGCCCTTCTGGCCCGCCTTCGGGACTTCTTGGAGCCCCTCGCCTCCTGCCAACCCTCGTTGGAGGGGGCAGGTGCGGAGGGGCCCGGCAGCAAACCCTTTTTTTTTTTTTTTTTTTTTTTTTTTACGTGTGGAAATCCCCTCGGACCGTCACCCCGCCGGGGCTCTCGTTCGGCGGGGCGGTGTGTCGGACTCGAACCGACTAAAACCACACGGTGTGCCCTCTTTGCGCTTCCAGTTTAGGAGGGGTCCAGGTAGTTATCGCCTTCTGGACCCCTCCCAGCGCCAGCCCGCTCCTGGTGCGGGCTCCGTCTCCAGGACCTCTCTTTTTATTTAGGCGGCGTCCGGCACACGCGGACGCCGCCCCCTCGCGGCTGGCCAACTAATGCGGGTGGAGGGGAGAACCCATCCCGTCCACCCGCGGCCACACTCAGGGCGGCATGAGGCGCAGGTGAGCGCGCCTCCGCCGCCCGGTTCGCCGGCGGCGGATCAGGTCCGAGTGGAGGTCGTCCTCCCGGGCCTTCTCCGCCGCCTCCTTCTGCGAGATTACCTCCTCGCAGAAGGTTGCGACCGCGGTAAAACAACTGTCGCTACCGGCCATGGAGCGAATTACGGCCGGTAGCGAGAGATCCACTCCGATGACTGCAGTGAGGGCCCGGCGCTGCGTCGCCCATGCGGGGCAAACCGCCAGCGTGTGCTGGGCCGAATCCTCACTGCAGTCGCAGTGGTGGCAGGCGGGACTCGATTCCCTCCTAGCGACCGAGTACAGGTACTTTCCGAAGCAACCGTGCCCGGAAAGCACCTGCGTCAGCCGGAAGGAAAGGGTCCCGTGCTGCCGCCCCGCCCACTCGGCGATGACCGGCTGGAGAGCCTCCACGGCGGCGAAGCCAGCGCGTGGAGTCTCCAGCCGGAACGACCATCTCACCATGGTGGCTCGGCGAGCGGCTTCGCGCCACTCGCGCACGTCTTCGGGCGGAGGGCGAAATCCGCTCTCCGCCCGGAAGTCAGCCACTCGCCGATAAACTTCGGCCGGCAGCAAACCCTATACCAACCTGTCTGGCCAGCGTGGTTTAGTAGGCCAAAACCTCTTTTCTAAGGAGAGGCCTATATCCAGCAGTGGAGTATTAAGGCTGTTGATGATTTATATTTTTTTTCATGTTTGTTAAAAAGACAACTCCCGCATAAGGAATATGTAATGTGTCGCGGGAGACTTTACATACATACATGAAACGGACACAAAGAACACACAGACTCAGAGCAACAATTTGTTGAACAGCATAGTAGTGGCGACCGCTTAAACTGCTACGCCATCCGTGTAGTCAAATTATTACCAAAATTAAGATCGCAAAAAGTATCAAAACGAGTTTATGTATATTTCGGCAACAGTCATAAAGTAAGGAAGTTAAAAAAAATTGTCTTTTTACACGACTACACCAGAATGGCGGTTATCGTTATAAAGTGTATGTATGTATATTTATTTATCGCACTATGTAGCCTCTACGGCTTGCTGGATTTTGGAGTTTGAGTTGTAGTTAGATTCGTTTTATTGTGAGAATGACACTGGGGTTATAAACGTTAAGCCGTCAACAGACGTTTTACAAGAAGTATGGTACATAAAAAAAGTCAGATATATAATTCACCTTATTGCAAAGAATAATCTCTTCCAGGCAACCTTAGGATGGATCAAAATGTTTCAGAGAGCCAGTAGTAGTTGAAGGTGCAATGTGTTTTGTCGGGTTAATTACTAATCAATATAAAAAAGGGTAAAATTAGATAAATATTTTACATAAAACACATATTTATATATACCAACAAATACACATACACACATACATAACTAATTAAGTATATCACAAAAAAAAACACACATCATGCCTTAATACGTAACTGACTTAACCAAGATACATAAAATTCTTGAAGCCTGTAAGCCTATTAGGTTAGGCTACGAAACGTGTCCAAAGAATATACATACATACAAACATACACTTGATAAACGTAACTCCTTCTGCCGCAGTCGGTGAAATAAACATTGGTCACACTGGCCCGTGCCATTTTATTGTACATAGCTCAAACACAAGGTCTTTTTAAGAACTGGTTTTTCATTTGCTACCTACTTTTGTTTTTAAATATTTACATCACACATCGGAGTAATATTCACGGAATGAACAAATTGAACGAATAAATTAATTATCTGACCTGTACCCATCTTAAAATGGATAACCTTACAAGTGTATGTTTTTGTGTTTTTATGTGTGTTTTTGTGGTTAAATCTGAGCTATACGAAGGTATGTACATTTAAAATAAACTTTATAAATTAATGTTATAAATTAATTGTAATAATAATATCCTCACACATCTGACACTGACACACGGCCGTCTGATCCCTAACTAAACAGAGCCTGTACTATTCAGCGCTATCTTTCCAGCGCTAGATGGCGCTGCAAGTAACGCGTGACTGATTCTGGAATATTCGTGTTGTCTGGAACGGACTATCGATCTAGTAAAATTCAAAAACGCTGTAAAAGCGGAGCATGTTGGCCGTTTGTGACAGTTTCTTTTTAGGACACAGCGAATCAACATCGGAGTGAATTTCTAGTGCGGCTAACAAGATATATAGTGATTTCTAGTTTATTATAGTGAATGTTTGTAAATACATTGAAATAAAGTAATTAACCGACAACTTTTATTTATTATATATCCCGCTCGTAACAATATAATATTAATTTTATTGTAATAAAAACGGAATGGAATCAACAATGAATGTATTAATATTTTCTTTTTGCATGCCTAGAGGTAAAATACTGCTGGACATTTGTTCTCTATTGACACCATGTCTATGCATTTGTATAACTTTTATTTGCAATTTTCTCTTTGTCTTTAGTAATTACATCAAAATATTTCTGGATTACAGGGAATAGCTGTTATTCCGAAATTGACCGGTTGAATGGTACTTGTGTACACGTACATCGATGTTTATCAACCGTTAATGATATCAAAAAAGGGATAAAACCACAGGTAAAGCTATGTATGTATTCCGTATACCTGTAGTATGTATCTATCCGTGTGGGGACGGAATAAGAATACGGAGTGTCACTAAGGGAGCAAACTACGCAGCCAACAGCACTGCAAGGAGATCGAAAACTTGAAACAACCCCTATACCAACCGGTATGGCCAGCGTGGTATAGTAGGCCAAACCCTCCTTTCTAACGAGAGGCCTATGTCCAGCAGTGGAATGTGTGAAATTTAATTGGCGTTGATTAATTTAATTTGACGTTAGAAAGCCATGCTTCGGCATATAGGCCGTATTGGTGTGATATCCGCTTCGCAAAAAACCGGTGTTAAGCTGTTCATGTATTGTTTTTTTAACATGTATTCACATTTAGATTAGCGTAGGATCAACCCTCATCCTCTTACTCTAGGGGAGGAGCGGCTAGGATGTTTAAATTATAAGAAGACATATGATAATTTTGACTAAATGACAAAAGAATTAAAAATGTAACTCTGGCATTAATGGGACCAAACTTAAAAAATATCCTAAAGAAATAAAGAATTTTTCAATCCGCAAATGATGGAGTTGTCGAAAATACACGAAAAAAAAATACAACCGAATAAGGAAGTTCTTCCTTTTTTTTAAGTCGGTTAATAGTTACAAATATAATAGGTCTTTACCTAGGAAATTGCCGTTTTGTATGCAATAAGTGAAAGTACTTATTTTTTCAAACTTTTTTATTTCTGTTATTCGAAGTAATCACCCATGCTATCGACGCATCTTTGCCAACGCATTGGCAGTTTATTGATGCCCTTCTTGTAAAAATCAGCTGGATGGGAGGCAACAAACTCTTCAAAGGCATTTTGTACTGCCTCTCAGGAATTGAATTTTTTACCCACTAAAAAGTTGTCTAAATTTTGGAAAAAGTAATAGTCGGTAGGTGCAAGGTCTGGTGGTCACATCTGCAACCAGCTTTGGTCAATCGGTCGTCCCCACTGCTCCTTCACGACAACGCGCGACCCCATACTGCGCAACAGACAGTCTCCAAGCTGCAAGAGCTGGGGTTGGAAGCTCTCCCTCATCCGCCATACTCACCAGACCTTGCATCTTTTAGCTAGAGCATTAACAAACTGCCAATGCGTTGGCAAAGGTGCGTCGATTTCATGGGTGATTACTTCGAATAACAGAAATAAAAAAGTTTAAAAGAATAAGTACCTTCACTTATTGCATACAAAACGGCAATTTCATAGGTAAAGACCTAATATAAAATCTAATTTTTTCAGCTTTGTTCATTTGATGGACAAAAGCCAATCATATGCTGCACAGATTGTGAACTCATCGGCAATACCAGGTAAGATATTAGCTATTATCAATTCATATATAGTTACAAAAGGCGGCAAAATTATGTCAGCCATTTTGTGACGTCCATCTTTAGTACTTTGACAGATTAGAGACCACTGATATTATTGTTTTTCATTGAATTAATAACAATTAACGACTATCACTAGAAAGGTTTCGTATCTAGGTATAAACGACACACACAAAAACCACTTAGTTGAGATCATCGTAAAATATAATTTTGGAAATACCAAAGTATCTCTCTCAAATACCAACGTTCTCTGACAAATCGTTTTTACTACATCAAAGTGCACGTCTGTGGAATACATTGTCCAAATTATCCGAAGAGTACAACAGTCACTATTATTCAGAATCTCGGTCATAACTTATCTCTATAATAAATATAATATATATATATATATAAAAGCATTGAGTTATAAAAGGCCATATATTGAGTACTGACTAGCTCTAGTTTTTAATTTTATGTTTTTACATATTTTATCACAGATCTGTTTGTTTTTATTGTAAGTCTTGCATTATTCTATTGGTCTATCTGTGATAATAATGTATAGTATGGTTTAGATAAATAAATAAAATAAATAATAAATAAATATTTGATGCTAACTGTATGATTTTGCCATTTAAATTATTACCTAACAATCAAAGAAATCAAATCGCAATTAAAAAATGAGGGGTACGGGGTAGGAGGGTGAAAAGTGGTTTACGATCTATTCTTATCCAACTATTCTCTGACAAGCCAAACTTAAAGTGCTTTAAGATGAGTCACCAGCCTCTGTTTTCTATGTGGTCCTTTTCCGTGCCGTTTTGTGGAAATATACTTCTATAAAAAAACCTATCAAATTTACAAAAAAAAAACATTAATTTCGGTCTAGTCGTTTCGGAGTTTTACGACCACAAACACACGTGAATGTGTGAGATGTTACTTTATGAATGTATTGTATGCATTGCATGTGTTAGCTAATTGAAATTGTATACTTCCTTGTTATTTTTTTTGGTAATTAACTCTTTCGTTACATTTCACTTACTGAGTGCGGTATTTGGAGACCCGAATCCCGCTCCATCATTCCTGGAGAGGGGGGGGGGGGGGTGTACGAGGATTTGGCGAAGAAGCTAGAGCACGGTATCCCTTACGGAAGGTATGTCTCGACTTCGAAACAGGTCTGGAGACTGCGGCAGCTCCAAGGTGCCAGGTCCGCGTGCCTTTTTTTTTTTTTTTTTTTTTTTTTTTTTTTTTTTCCGTGCGGAAATCCCCTCGGATACCACCTGTCGGTGGCATGTCGGACCCGAACCGACTAAAACCGCACGCCTTCGCCGGGTACTAATAGCCGGGGAACCAGGTATACCCTAGAAAGGAAGGCCCTGGTGCCCCGACATACCTCGGGTCATCTACAGACGAGTAGACGACCCCCGCCCCGTGTGGGAACCCCATGTTCCCTGTGCTCCCTGAAAGCGAGCGCGCTTCGCAACGCGCTCGCCGCCACCCCGGCCTGCTTCTGCTAGGGTGACAGATGGCCTCACCTGTCACCCCCAGGCCTGCGCTTATGGAGGACGGTAGGTCCGCGTGCCTAAATGTCCGAGCCATCCTGTGATTTATCGAGCCTTTAGGGTAGATCAGCTGACTATTATTGCATTAGAATGGACAATGGTGCTATTTCTATTGTTCGAAAACTCTCTAAAACTAAACTAAAAACCGCTAAAAAACTGCCGCCGTCAAATACTACATATGTTTTCCGAATAGGACACGATGTTTGACAGGACGAAACGCATTTTTTGTGATTTTTAGTTTAGTTTAGAGGGTTTTAGAACAACGGAATTAGCACCATTATTTAAGCATTTTATTCATTGTTTCAGTTTGGTATGGGTTAATGACAGAGGCGTTTATTTCTTCAAAACTGGATCTAAAGCTCAAGACAGTAAGCCTTATTTATATTTTATCTTTTTTCTTATCGGTCTCTTGTGTAGACTCTAAAATCATAGATCAACACACACAATAGCAACAATCTCTGTTTTGTCAAATATTTAGCAAACTTACGTATCGAAAATCTCTTATATGCCCGTGCTGATGTACAACCGCCCATTTCCATTTCCAATTACTGTCGAATTTCCACTTCTATATAAATATACAAACATACATAATACTAGCTGATCCGGCAAACAATGTTTTGCCATATTAAGAAAATAAAAATGTATTTTTTTGTCAAAAAAATAAAAATAAAAATTTAGGGGTGGGTAACCCAGGGTTACCCACCCCTAAAATTTTATTTTTTATTTTTATTTTTTCAACAGCAACGAACATTTCCGATTACTCCCGACAACTGCCGAACTAACTTCGGTAGCCTGCGGCTGGAGGCGGGGAAATAAAATAAATGGGTGTGTGCGTTTGCGAACTGTGCACGGACACCAAAATTACTACACACATGCGAACAAATGTCCTGCGGGACGCGACGGCATGAGTTGGTTGGTTAGGTACAGCGCCGCTTGCTTGTCGGTAAACGCGTGGCAAACATAATGTTTGTGTGGTGCTATTTTTAAATAGTAGGCGTTTTTAAGTTATTATATTTTGTTTTTTCATTTATTTACTATTAATTAAAGTCATCTAAAACGTACGAACGTTTTATGAAAATGTCTGTGAATAGCAAGTAAAGCACTGCATTCTGCCTACAAGGAGCGCACGCCCCTGGTAACCCTTATTATTTAGGGGTATGAAAAATAGATGCTGGCCGATTCTCAAACCCAGCCGGTCCAGCCGTTTCGGAGGAGTTTGGTAAAAAACACCGTGACACCTGAATTTTATTTATTACATGATGTACATACACAAACATTGACATCAAAATCATGTTTTTACTTTTTTTCCAAATCAATTCGAGGATTGTACAACGAGTTTACTCCTTTCATTCTCCGCCATTATCCCTCGACATCTTATTTCACTCACTTTTTAATTTTATCGAATGGGAAGACCTTGCGAATGTAACGGTTCTTCGTACAAATATAGATATACTATATGTATATGTATATACAGTACTAACTGTACCTTTCCACGCTGTACATTGTGACAAACAACAAACTGACACGAAAAATAGACAAAATCAATCTTTGAAACGGGTGGTTTGGTTTGACGGTGGTTTTTTTAACTTTAATTTACATATTATACATGATTGTCTTATTTTCCAGAATGTATAGAACACGTAGCAAACTTGAGGTATCCCTGTTATACATCGACAGGGGTAAAACGAATGCTCAATTTCATTAGCAGAGACTGTTATCAATATTTACCTTCGTTTGAGCTAACTACTGTGGGAGGAGAGAACGCAGAAAGAGGGGAATTCCCTCATATGGTGAGTTTCAATGTTCATGCGCCCGTTCCTCGGAGAGCACGTTAAGCAGTCGGTTCCAATTGCCATACGAACATCAAGATGGTAAATTTCAATGTTGATTACATTACTTTTTAAAAAGCTCTTGAGACGAGAGCGAGATCTAGAAATATACACTGCCTCCTTCTGCGACGCTAGAAATAGAAGGAGAATTCTTACTTTCTAGTTGCACATAAGGTGGAGTAGGCGCCAGAGAGTACAGAACGATCCCTGGCTTATAGAACCGCTTGCTGAGGGTCGATGGATACGGTTGTCTAATAGCTACCACTCTGACAGTAGCAAACCCAAGACGACGTAATGGTTCTGGATGTATTTAATTTTTAAGCGTCTCATTGATTAAGCTGGTAAAACTCTACTATGTTCTGGGGTCTTCGCCAAAGTCTTCAGGATTTGACACACGCAACTTAAGAGACACAGTGTGTTTGTGCACGTTGAATAACCCCTCCCCCTGGAAAGGCTTAGGGAGGTCGGCGAAAGGATTGATTAACACCAGTTTTTTTTTGAGGTCGTGGTATAACTCCAGTCGAGCCGGCCCATTTTTGTGCCAAAATATGATTCTCCCACGGCAAATGTATGTTTAAGTAATGGTATGTTTTCCAGGCCTTACTAGGTTATGGAGACAGCATAGAAAGAGCTGAATGGGTGTGCGGAGGGTCTGTTATCAGCGATCGTTTCATTTTGACAGCTGCCCATTGTATATCTAGTAGTAAGCTGTAAGTGTTTAATATTTTAGTTATCGGCATCACCTACTTTTTCTGCAATATGCATACGCCCATAAAAATAAAGTTCAACAAACGCTGCGGCTTGCACTCGTGTAGGTTGCACGATTGGCGTCTATTAAAGGCATAACTTGATCGGTACTACCCAAGCATGAACGCAAGTTAGCAGACACGTCCATCTGGAGCAACTGGGTTTGCTGAAATTGTCTGTCCAGACAAACTCATATATTTATAATTACAGACAGCGCCTAGTCAGATTTTGATCATAATTTATTACATTTTAATATCGGTGATCTGATTTATTTATCAACCAGTATAAGTTAAACTCTCATTGCCTAGACTTTAATGTCTAGAAATACATGACAATGTATTTACTCGTATATTGTCATGTATTTCATGCCAGGCAATAACCTAATTTATTTTTTCTTTTCTGTACTGTACTGTAGTAAAACATGACTGCACGGATGGCGTGGTGGTTTAAATACTTAACCGTCGCCTATTGTGCTCAGTGTTGTAGGTCTGCTCCCTACTTGGTACAACAATTTGTGTGATTCACAAATTGTTGTTCCGAGTCTGGGTGTTCTTTGTGCCCATTTCATGAATATTTGTAAAATTCCCCACGACACAGCATATAATTTCAATGCAGGTTTTTTCTTTGCTTCAATAAAAAATAGTACAAATACAAAATTATGTATAAAACGTTTCACTAAAAGGACATTAAACCTACAATCTGAAGTCACAACAGGCGAATTATCACTTCATATCTGTTTACAGAGGGCCAGTCAAATACATAGCTCTAGGTACCCTGAAGAGATCAGACCCTGTAAAAACCTGGCAGCTGTATAATGTCAGCAGGATTATACCCCATCCACAATACAAATCTCCAAGCAAGTACCACGATATCGCTTTGCTGGAGACTGAGACGCAGTAAGTGATGACTGTCCATTATCCACTGACACTGTCTTGTCACCTTCATCAAAGTAGGGGGGGGTATATCTGTGGTTCATGTAAAAGCAAGCTATAGCAACCAAAGAGCTTATAAACGTAAAAGAAGCGAACAAGGCGCTATCGCATGCGGTTGGTAGAGAGAGAAAGAATATAAATTATTACTAAATACATCGTAAAGCAGCAGCCAATCAGTGCAGAGAGCAAAGAGAGATGAAAGACCAAAAAAGTCTTCTTTCTCTGTCTACCGGCCGTACGCTACCACTTACAGAGGAATATACAGTGCGCTACCTCTATTAATATTAACACGGCAATTATAATAGACTATCCAAAAGTAGGTATAGCTACAAAATGCCGTGCAAGGTAAATTGAACTTTATTCTGTAGTAGAAAAAGTTGACTACTAAACTCTAGCCAAAACCTGTGAATTCACCTGATTCTTTTATTCTTAATTCCAGGATAAAATTCAACATCTACGTGTTACCAGCTTGTCTTAGCTTAGGTAATGACGATGAAAGTTTAGCATCAGCCACAGGTTGGGGTGCAATAGGTTACCGTAAAGATTTGGCTGATAATCTACAAGTGGTAAGATTTTTAGTATTCATTTATTTTCAAATCATGGCAATTATGACTCTAAAAGCATAAAAATATAAATCTATTTCGAGTGTAACAGAGGCAGAGGGATATCTTAATTTCAGATCTACCTGCAACAGTTTTCGGAAGATGAATGTTCGACTGCATATCCTTCAAACCGCAATTTACAGAGAGGCTATGATCACACAATACAATCGTGCTACGGTGACAGAAGCCACGTCATTAACACATGCCAGGTATATTAAATTTGTTTATTTTTGAACTGGCAATGTACAAATAAATCTTTCAGAAAGGTAATTATTTATCTGCAAAACGCTTGTTGGTTAGCACTTCATCATCTCTCTTTTCTCTCTGCACTGATTGGCTGATACTGAAGGAGGCATTTAAAATATACAGTCCGTGACAAGAGCAGAGAGAGCTGTAAGACCAAAACAATCTTGTTTCTCTCTCTACAAACCGTATGCGACAGCTCCCTTTTTCTATATTTATAAGCTCTTTGGTTTTAATAGTTTGTTAATATATTCTTTTTTCTGTAACAGGGTGACAGTGGAGGTCCACTTCATATAAAATCACAATATGGACTGTGTGTCTTCAATTTAATAGGAGTTACATCGTTTGGAGCTGCGTGTAGTTCCCTTGGCAGTCCTGGAGTGTACACCAAAGTGGTACACTACGTATCTTGGATAGAAAGCATCGTGTGGCCTTGAATATTTGCATTTACTTTAAATGGACTAAACTACAAAAAGTCATTTGTTTAAACTGTAATGTTAACAACAATTTTATTGTTCTTAATTTATTTTTAAAATCAGACGTCAATATTAAAATACAAAAAATCTCCTTACCGCACTGAGATTAGAAATTGTATTTATTTAATGGGGTATTTTAAAGATAGTTTTAATATTCAAATACGAAATAGAAAGAAAGAAAGAAAAAACAGAAAAAAAAAATTAAAACTTAATACCACGTCGTTTTACAAAATGTTTTAAGTACCATGAAGATTAGAGTTCACAAGTTCCCGATGACAAAAGGGCAAATAATTGAGATACTACAATCGGCTTTAGTTAACTAAACGAAACACTTAAGTATCAAGTGATTAAATATTTACTTATTTTAATATACAAAACTCAAAATACTGTTTAAAATTCACACCTAAACTAATCTTTTTACATTGTAATTTTTTTATGAGTCAATTAAATATTAGTTTTTCTATAAAATGACCAATATATTGGTCTGTGAATGGAAGCTTTAAAATCTCTAAGTTTTAAATTTAATACTGGCAATTATTTTAATAAATGTCATGTTGACAATATTCGATAAACTGACGTGGAGCGAGGTTATGTGTTTAGAAGAAAAATGATGTTTTAACATAAATTATAGTAATAATTACATTTAATATATTAATTAGTTAATAAACTAAAACAAAATGATTGAGATAACGGATACACAAAGTGAGTATTATCATTTTTATGTCAGAGATAACATATACAGAATCTTAATATAACAACAAATAAAGATTTATATCAATGGGACAGAAAAACCATTATCATTAAACATATTTAAAACTCTTTACACCTTTCAACTTATTTTCAAACCTGAAATATTTTAGATACGGCCATCTGGTCCTAAATTAGGCATATCCTGTAATATGGTAACCAGACTGCTGATAAACATACTTAGATATTTCCCACGTACACACGTACATACGTACATATTAATGTTAAATAGCATTCAAAACTTCAACTTTTGGTTAATGGCTTTGTGGTAGAGTGTAACCACAATTTCGCCAATGTCATGTATTTATGTTAATTAAAATATCTATGATGTCTGTCTGATGAAATAGGGGTAATTATTTAATGAATATGTGCCCCAAAAACTATTTATGACCTAGTTTACCTAATTGGCTATTATTTAAGGCAACTATGTACATGATTTTGAATAATATAATGAAATAATAATATTATTTCAATATGTGAATTATCTCTGTGGTGATGGATTAAGAATACGGAATGTCACCACCTCTATTTATCCTATGGGTGTCATAAGAGCTGACTAAGGGAGCAAACTACACAGGACAACAGCACTGCAAAGAGAAGAAAAACTTGACACAAACCCTATACCAACCTGTCTGGCCAGCATGGTATAGTAGGGCAAAACCTCCTTTCTATGGAGAGGACTATGTTTATTTAATATTAATTGATTTGCACCACACCACATTGGATGTGGTAGCACAGAACTGCTTATTGTGGTAAACCATAGGAGATGCCTATGTCCAGCAGAGGACGTCTTTCGGCTAGAATGATGATGATAAAACCACATTACATCGCCACCCCAACAGCCGGTCAGACCCTCCGCATTAAATTTTTCACATAATTTGCAATCCTTATTTTTTTTTATTGTGATTTCAGAGATTGGGGTAGGTTTAGCCGGGTTTGGTATAACCTTTCTCTTTCTTGGAGTACTCTTACTATTTGATAAAGGTCTACTCGCCATAGGTAATGTAAGTATTTATACAGATAATTTTAATAATAATATATAATATAATATCTCACATACTCATACACGACCGTCTGATCCCAAACTAGGCAGAGCCTGTGCTATGGTAACCAGACCGCTGATAAACATACTTATATATTTCTAAATACATACATATTATAGATAAATTACACCCAGACACAGAACAAATGACCGTGCTCATCACACAATATTTGTCCTGGGTGGGAATCGAACCCACAACCTCCGGTTTAGCAGTCAGGGTCACTAACCACTAGACCAACAGGCCCGTCATAATAATAAGTTAATACACCTAACACATCTGTCTGATCCTATTACAGTGGGTTCTGAGGCTCAAGTTTACTTCACTTCAACTAGAACATAAGTATGTTTGCCGTTGTGATTGGCCCGCACTAAAATCTTCATCAATCGCAATGCCAAACGCTTCAGAGAGTGAGTTGATGTGAAATAAACTTGCATTAAGCCCTCTGCTCTTTTAATTATATATTTTAATTACTAGCTGCGCCCTGCGGTGTATCCCATGGTTTATCAGATTTGTTAGATTTTGTTAGTTTTATACAAATTTTGTCAAAATTGGTCTAGCTTTTTTTATGCAGAGGGTGCAAACGAGCAGACGGGTTACCAGATGGAAAGCGCCTGCAACTCAGGAGTCACAAGCGCGTTGCCGGCCTTTGAGGAAGGATTGCGCACTTTTCTTGAAGATTGTATCAGTCTGGAAATACAGCAGACGATAACAGATTGGTTGTGCGAGGCAAAAAGTGACTTGAAAAGCCCAGTGTGGTGGATTGTGCGAGGCAAAAAGTGACTCGAAAAGCCCACAGTGCCAATTATCCGAGATGAATATTTTGCCGTGTGAAACGATGACGGAAAATTGCGGCCGGTATTAGTCCAAACAATTCCTCGGAGCACTCTCCATGATATATACTATAGAGAATGGAGAGTGAAGCTACGTTTCTACGTAAACGTTAAGGGATCGAGCCGGTCGGAGGTCTCGACGATTCGAGTCGCTCTTTGTTGGATACGGTCCAGAGGGAGAAGCTGGTACTGGGGTGCCCCTGCATAGAGATGAGAACAGTATTCTATATGCGGTCGGACTTGTGCCTTATAGAGTTGGTCTTTATAATATTAATGTGATTAATTATATATTGTAATGTTCTCTTTTTTCAAATTTCCAGATTTTATTCATAAGTGGGTTAGGGTGCGTCATTGGGCTGCAAAGGACGTTCTTCTTCTTCTTCCAGCGGCACAAGATCAAAGCATCAGCATCATTCTTTGGTGGCATCATTGTTGTACTTCTCGGATGGCCCATGGTAGGCATGGTGGCTGAGATGTATGGATTCCTTTTATTGTTCAGGTATGTAACAATTATATTTTAAGAGAGGAAGAAAAGGAAAACTTGATACAAACTCTATAGTAACCTGTCTAGCCAGCATGTTATAGTAGGCCAAAACCTCCTTTCTGAGTGGAAGCCTATGTAAAGCAGTGGACTACTACAGGCTTTTATTACTGCTGCTGATGATGATGATATTTTAAGAGTTGAGGCTTTAGCCCAGCTATTTTCAAGATTTTTAAAACGTCAAATCAAACCAATACTTAAGTGGTTGCAGGATCCAACTCCAGATAGTATATTTGGTGATAATTTCAGCAGAATATGCATAAAAAAATAAGCCATCGCGGGACAACTCACAGATGTGAAAGATGGGGACTATGGGGATCTTGTGTCAACTAGGGTGAATTTCTGTGCGTTTAGGCGATTCGTAATATTTTGTGGCCCTGGTGCTTCCCTCTTTAAAAGGGTGTATGCCCATTTTACTTCATTTTGTATCCCGCTTTGCTAGGGAGGGAAGTGGATTTACTGTATTTCCAACTCCTCCAATTTTCTTCTGATTAATTTCGTTGCGGGTTCCAAGACAGTTTAATTTCTTCCTGGGACTTCCCGAGTGTCATAACTCGGTGTGTTCGTGGGTCACTGCTGTGGATCCTGTGTACAGGAGTTACAGTGGTGGGCGTGTGGGTGGGATTGGTCCCAATAAAAAAAAAAGATGTGAACATCGAAATTATTTTGCGGAAATTAACAAAAAAAAACACTAGTTCATGTTGCATAAACTATTATATAGCGTGGTTTTTTGATGCACAAATAATAATAATAACCTCACACATCTCACACACGGCAGTCTGATCCCAAACTAGGCACAGCCTGTACTATGGTAACCAGACAGCTGATGAACATACTTATATATTTCTATTTCTAAATACATACATATTATAGATAAATTATACCCAGACACAGAACAAACGACCGTGCTCATCACACAAACATTTGTCCTGGGTGGGAATCGAACTCACGACCTCCGGCTTAGTAGTCAGGGTCACTAACCACTAGACCAACAGGGCTGTCGAAATATTTGAACTTGTGCCTGATCCTAATCAGGCATAGAGTTCGATTATTTGTAGGCTAAAAACTATCTTTTCAGCTAGTCTGTACTGCGTCCTACGCCCGCCACCTTCTCGTCCATTCCTCAATCTGAACGTAACATGAATGTGAAATGAATCTACCATTTTTTTTGCAGAGGTTTCCTACCAGCGGCGGTGAATTTCTTAAGAATGGTGCCAGTGTTGGGGTCTCTGCTAAGTCTACCATTCATAAGAGGGGTGAGGATATTATTTATTGTAGAAAAATTATACTGGTTTCATAAGTCTAATTACTGCTGCACCTTAACATTTTTCTATAGAATTGGAAAGTAAAAAATACTATTTTTATTTATGTAAATATATATAAACAGCAGTGGACTACTTATTGTGCTGTTGATGTGGTGAGATTTTTTTGTTTATGGTACAAGGGAGCAAATGAGTAGACGGGTCACCTGATGGTAAGCAACTACCGCCGCCCATGGACACCTGCAATGATACCTGTGATGTGATGAAATATATATTTTAACTAACTTTTGCCCGTGACTTTGTTTGCGTGGAAGTTTGAAAATATTTGTAAAGTCTAAGTACATTAATGAGCTGTGATTTAAAGAGCAATTTTTTAAATATTGTATTTAGTTGGATAATAATTAATATCCAATATATAAAATTCTCATTTCGCGGTGTTTGTTAGCACACTCCCGAAACGGCTGGACCGATATTTATGAAATTTTTGTGTGCGTATCAGGTAGGTCTGAGAATCGGCCAACATCTATTTTTCATAGCCCTAAATGATAAGAATGACAATTTGAATTTTTGTTGAGTCAGCAACAATTTCTGAATCACACAAAGTGGTGTCCCATGTGGGGATCGAATCGACAACCCTTATCGCAGTAGGAAGCGGCATGGCGACCGCTTAAACCACTAAGCCACAGTGTAGTCCAGCCATTCTTAAGTTATGAACTAACCCATTTTTTTTTCTATTTATTAATATTTATGTTTTTTTTTCAGCTCGTAGACAGGATCGCCGGTGACAACGGACGTAACATGGTATGATAGTGCGTAACAAGAAAAGACAATTATATATTTATAATTATTAATATTAATAATAATAGTGTACGTGAAGTGAATGTATGTGGAAATGTTCTATTGTAATTTATTATTCTTAATTGTATGTGTATGGAGTTCGATTCCGCGTCTAAATATAGATATAATCCTCTAATACGAGAAGTATATACGTTTTAACCCAGGTAAGCCTACTGTCCCATATGTAGGATGGTAGAAATAACAAAATATTTCAACTTACGCACATATTAACAGTATATATTTAATGGATTTGTAGTGACAAGCTAATGTGCTATTGAAATAAAAATTTATCAATATTTCATTGAAAAGTATATCTTAAAGTGCATTGCAGACATATGGGACAGTAGGCTTATCTGGGTTAATAAAGGCACAATCTTCTGTAATCTTGAGGTCCCCGGTGACCGCATTTGTCAGAAGTCAAGGTCTCTGACTGCATTCACCAATAACTTACAGGCCATAGGGGACAATAGTCAGAATCAACATAATTACCTGTGACCTAGTCAAAAATCCTGTGGTTTCTTATGATCACAGAAATTTTGAAGTTACTAATTGATAGCATTATTTTCAACTTTTGAGGTACCTGAACCTTTCTTAGTCAGGAATTGTGTAGTAACCTTTGATCGCATGTGATCACAAACTACACGATTCATCAGCACTGCTATGGTCAGAAATCTTGAGGTCCCCGGTGACCGCATTAATCCAAACTATACGGTCTCTGATGTCTGCATTAGTCAGAAATATAGTCCCTGAATAACATACAGATAGGCTGACATTGTTTGACCTTTGTAGTTAAGTTAAAAATATAACTAAAGCTATCAAAATGTCCCGAGAATCGAACTTTATAATTCAAGGCTGGGAATTATGTCCGTGTATTTTGCCTCAAGTGGAGGAAACAGATTTTGATGAAACTTTTAAAACTTAAATAAATTAATTCTCAAATTCCTATTTATAGTTCGTATTTATTTCAATCAGGTACCTGATTTATATTTTATTCATGCATACACCATGTAACAAACGCAATTGGTTTTGGATGTTTTTTTTAATGGTAGAGAGGATGAGAGAAAGAAAAATTTAAACAAACTTGCACCAACCTGTGTGGCCAGCATGGTATAGTAGTCCAAAACCTCCTTTTTAAGGATTAGAGGCTGTTGATGATAGTGGACAAACTAGCAGACGTATCACCTGGGCCTCAATTCTGTTATTTTATGTTCACGCCAAGCCACTTAGCAGCACACACACCAGCTTATAATTTGAAAATATAATACTTTTTTTGAGGAAATGATTTATTTATTTTTCCAAATATGGCAATCTTTTTGATATCACCACTGATGAGCCACTGCCATTCCATCGCCACTGTAAAGACACTGAGTTATTGTAGACTACCGCTATTTATACCAATGCCAATGGCCACTCGATGGCATCTCAATAGCGTGTCAGTAGTATGACAGTGGCTTGGCGTGAACATTAAATAGCAGAATTGAGGCCCTGATGGTGAGCGACTACACCGCCCATGGACACCTAATACCTGCAACTTAAGAGACACAAGAACTTTGCTGTTCACTGCATCCCCTCCAGAGTAAGGAGGGGAGGAAAGAGGATCTGGGCCTCCAGTAATGCACTTATTTAGTTAAAAACAACAAAAAATAGCTTAAAGCCGCGGTCTCTCGAGCCGACCCTTAGTCCACGATCTGACCACTCTGAGCAGTCAGACATTTCAAAAGTATGTACTTAATTAATACCTATAAATGTGATTACCTCGGTGGTGTAGCGTATGCGACTGTTGTGCTGAGGTCTCGGGTTCGATTCCCGAGTCGGACCAAATGTTTGTATGATCTGCAAATATTTGTTTCGTAGTTTAGGTGTTATTAATAATAATAATATTTTCAGACAACTGACACAAAACGCCATCTAGTTTCAAACTAAGCAGAGCTTTTACTATGAAAGTTAACTTGACTGATGGAATACTATATACTATTACTTTTTTAAATACAAACATATTATAGATAGCAAACACGCTAACGCCGAATACAAACATTTTGTCGAACCCGGGAATCGAACCCGAGACCTCGCATAGCTGTCGCTTACACTACCACTGCACCACCGAAGCAGTCGGGTTGTGTTACACGTGTTTATAACGTAAGGCCTGATCGGCGTACTAACGAGTAGACCGACAGGTCTACTCGTTAGTACGACTGACTGCTAAGCCGGGCGTCTTGGGTTCGATTCCCACCCAGGAAAATATTGTGTGATGAACACGATCATTTGTTCTGTGTCTGGGTGTAATTTATCTATGATATGTATGTATTTAGAAATATATAAGTATGTTTATCAGCTTCTGACTAATTTGAATTCAAAGGTCCGTGTGAGATGTGTCAAGTTATTTAATAATAATAAATAATATTGTTATTATGATATATATAAAATACATGTAAATATGTATGTGAGTCATCATTCCTACTTGCTAATAATAATCCTAAATTATGGCCCCATGTTGGGCGCCAATATTTTTATTTCTATGGTTGTAATGTGAACAATAAGTAACATCGTTTTATCCTAATAAATGTGATTTTTAATGTGCAAAGAAGTTTATTTGAGAGGTTACCATGTTAAAGTACATGTGGCATATTTTATTTATTAGTAAATAAATTTTACTTATATCTCACTTAAAAATACATAAATATTCATATTGAGCAGTTGTCTCCAGAAATTAACTATAAAAAATACTTTTACACATATTCTTAGGTTTGTAAGAATCTCAGAATGCCGGTAGTTACAGGCCGCTTCGAAACGGTCTTTTTAGAAACCATAGCGGGAACCCAGCATCCTACGTCCTATCATTGAAATGAAGAACATTTTTTTTTGTATATACTTACATAAAAATAACACCCAGAAAAGTGCAAAGAGATATAATAATGTAGATATACAAAGACATCATCCCTGGACGAGTTAAGTTGTTAAGCATGGCCAAAGTTACCCTATAGTACTAGTAGCCAGTGTTAAATATTAAAATGAAATCATTTTTCTCAACAGGAAGAAGGCCACCTGCTATGAAGAAAGTATTCCAGAGATATTTACACCATTCCACATTATTTTTAATAAAATAAAGTTGATATTTGCGTAACAAACTTAGTTTTCAATGAATAATGTTCAACACAAGACCTTAATAAATAGTTAATGAAAGCCTATAGACAGTTACAATTTGTATGCCTTTAAGAAACTATTTTTTAAAGGAGAAAACTACGCAGGACAACAGCACTGCAAAAGAGAAGGAAAACTTGACACAAACCCTATATCAATATCAGGCCAGCATGGTATAGTATAGGCCAAAACCTCCTTTCTAAGGAGAGGCCTATGTCCAGCAGTGATAACTATTAAAAGCCATTGATGATAACGACGCCTCCCATCAAGCCCTTCACACTACAGAGCGTGCCAAAGAAATATTTATATGTTCATACACTTGAAACACAACCATCCTTTTGACGTAGTCGTGTAATAACGGATTGAAAATGACGGACGTTTTACTTTAATATTTAGTACATCATACATGATAGACAGGCTCGTGGTTAAGTTATAACCGAGTAGTTTAACACATTACAAAGTTAAACAATCCTAGCCAGGTCAGTCTATGGATGGGTGACCATTGTTAACACATTGAGACACGTTAAGCGCGGATGTCATACGAACATCTTTGGCAATCGTTACTTTTTAGGGCTCCAACTACCCGTTGGAGCCCTAAAAATTTCAACATCAGTCTTTCTACAGAACTTCGATATCGTCTAGTACTTGGGTTGTGAAGGTCTGATGGCAGTCGCTTCGCATAAAAAATCGAAGTTCAGCCATATTGTAGTAGCCTTAAAGCCGACCCCAACCTAGTTTAAGAAGGAAATCGAAAAAGTGCATGATACAAATATGCAATTTGCTGTAGTAAAGAGACTTCAAGTAAAACACCACTGATATTTTAAAAGTTATTTTCTACCAAGAATGCAAATAGACAAATTCATACCTTTTCTGTGTGACGTATCGTCACGAAGAGTCACATTGAAAAGGGTTCGGTCTTAGTTCCTTTTACCCCGGCTTTTCATAACTATTTAAACTTAAATTATTATACAAATATAAACCAAACAGTTATTATTTATTTATGTTGAAACTCAGTCAGCAGTAATAAAACGCAATTGCATCCCCGTCCGTAGCTATAATCTGTGGAACATCGATAAACGTTGATGGCGGCGCGTTCCTTGACAAGAATTGCCATTCTAAAGATTTTTAGATGTTTTGTGGGAAATTCCAACAAGAATTTCAGGATTTTCATGGATGATTTCATCAGCTTTATTTTCTGTTACGTAGCTATTTTAATCAGATAAGTTATGATTTTTGGCGCTTTGATAGACTTTCTTTTTATTAAATTTGTTTTTTTTTTTCAATTTCTCTAGTCTTCTAGATAAGATCTAGGTATACTACGTAATAGATAATTTTATTTAACAAATAAACAACGTAATATTCCAATAAACGCAAAGCCATCTTGTCTGTAAAGTCTAAAAATTATACAAATTCTAATTCATGATTTACTCCTTGTATTGTGAAACACTATTAAAGTAACATATACACACGAAACCACTTTCATTCTATATATTACGCTATATGCAGTCATAAGAAACCGATATCAATATTAGAGAAAAAAAAAAATAGGTTAGTACAATAAAAAAAACACTCTTGCTATGGATTAAGCACAGTTAATTCATTACAGGCTCTTATATTAGAACACTGTTTCTAATATCTATTTATATTACATTACTAATAAAAGCTCACTTCTACGCAGAAAATCGCGTAAAAGTCAAGATTCAATTAGATTGTTAAATTACGCGGTAAACTATGGGTGTAATAAATCAGGGAGCGGGCAACCTAGATGCCAGTTACCGCCCGTTCCCGGGCTCGGTTAGATGTGTGTGAACTTATTTTATATCCAATTTCACGGTCATAAGCGCTCAAAAAAACCGCGGTAAAATTATACTGCTAAAATAAAATAAAAATTAATAAAAGTCTGTAAATTATCATGTGAAATGTGTTAAGTGAAATTAAAAAAATAACAGCTTATAATTTCGTTCTGAAACGTATCGCGACTATTGTATTTGGACAGTTAATAAACGCTGGGTTTATTACTTTTTTTTTTTTCATACAATTGGTGTGGTCTTTGACTTAATATTTTTCTTAAGTGCTTAACAGATATTATGATGAGTGTATTCATCATTTATTGAACGTAAGTATTTTAAAAATAAATGCAATAAATATTTAGTGATAAACAGTAGAATAATAGCTTCCAATTTTTTTGCTGTTTTTTTTTTTGCCACTAATCTTTATTCGTGTAGATGTTTTTTTTAATAATTAAATCTTTTTTAACGCTTGTTTTTTTTAAAGAAATTATTTTTCGTTTTAATTATCATCTGTTATTGATTCATGTAATTTATAATGAAAATAATCCCATTAATCAACTGTAACGCCCTTCTAAATCCTTCTTAGGTCCCTGATAATAATAATTACTATTAATAAATTTATGTTCATATTTATATTATATTATTTGTCTTACAAATTATATTTACATACACTAAGTATACATTTAAAATTGTCCATATTAAAATTGTTTGATTTATTACATTTAATTATGTTACTTAACATACATTTTTGACAGCCATTAATATTTTGTCTTACTGTAATATTGTAATAATGTGACAGGTCATTTTTCGTTCTTAACTATTTATGGTACCGTAGGGAGTAATCGTATTAATTTCAAGTTTTTATATAAAAAATACTTTCTTTTATTAAAAGAAGTACTGAAAAAAGGACTGCTAAAAAATGTAGTCATCAGAATTTGAAAAAGATTTCGTAATATTTGAAGGCGAATCGGTAGAATTCGGGAGCATAAACAAAATATATTCTATAAACATGCGCGTTGGTTATCAGATCAACAAAACCAGGCGGAACTTTTTTAATACAATGAACGATAATAATATATTATGGGGTTTTTTATGGTTTTATGGTACAGGGGGCAAAATCTGCAGATGGGTCGCCTCATGGTAAGCGCCTACCGCTGCTCATGGACACCTGCATCACAAGACCCACAAGTGGGTTTGTCGCCCTTTGAGTTTTTCGCTGCAGAATCAGGTGAAGGGAGGTTTGGGCTCCAGGAACCTCACTTACTCGTGTACTGTGAAGCCGTTAGATCACTATGGTCATGCCTGCCTACTTAAGTCGAAGGATGGTTCTCCTACATTACTAAAATAATACTGTTTAATCATCAGCCTTCAGTAGTCCACTGATGGACTTAGGCCTCTCCTTAGAAAAGAGGTTTTGGCCTACTATAGCCACGCTGGCTAGCCGGGTTGATAGGGGGCTTGTATCAAGTTTTCCTTCTCTTTGCGTGCTTCTGTGCTGTGTAGTTTGCTCCCTTAGTCGGTTCTTGCGACACCCATGGGTTGAATAGGGGTGGTGACACTATTCTTAGTCCATCATAACACGAAGTATCAAGAGCGCCCTAGGCAAGGCGCTCGAAGTATCAAGGCAAGCAATTGGCGAACGCCCCTCCCCCCCCTCTGCGCCTCTCTAGCACCCATGTGTGATGACTCCAAAGTTAAGTTGTCATTTCTTTGGCTACGTTTGCTACGTGGGTTTTTACACCACCGAGGTTTGCGGTGGGGCAGTGTATCAGAATCGAACAGAATAAAACCACACACTAATCCCAAAATAGGAGGGATCCGATAACAGGCGCAAAATCAATTCATTCCTAGCGATCAACAGCTGGTACATCCCTAAGACGTGCTTAGAAAATGCCTGTGTCAGTCGGAAGGATAGGGTCTCGTGCTGCCACCCTGCCTTCTAGACTATGACCGACTAGACGAACCAAACCACGGTGCCGAAGCCAGTACGTGGAGCTTCCAGCTGGGACTACTAATAAGTCATCGTAACTCGGTGAGCGGCCTTCAGCCACTCCGTCTCTAAATCCAGAGAGATTTGCCAGCACCCTCTGAGGGTTAGCACTCTTAGAGCGTGCCTTATTCTAGGCGATCAGAGCTTTCGCCCACAGTGTTGCACCTTATATTGCCATTGACTAGACAGCCCTGGTCTATAACTACAACTCAAAGAGTAATCTCCACTACAGCTGTAATTGTAGCAACTGCATTCTTGTGTAGACGCACTAACCTCAATCTTCGTAGATATCAGAACCTGAAAGCAAAGAAGCAATTACGTAATATAAATCCTAGATGTCAACCTTAAGCATCACTATAGACTTAAGGAATTGTTTAAATTGTGTAATTATGTGTGCATACTTCCTAACTCATTTCTTTTTATGTAAGGCACATTTTTTCTTTGTTTAAACATTCCTGTAACCTCGCGCCCCTAGGCACGCGCCTACTTTGCCTTAGGGTTAATCCGCCACTGCACGGACCCATATTAATAAAATAATACGTTTTATGTTTCTGTCTACCCTATTTATCAGCAAAAATAGACACTACACTGGTTATGTAGCAGTCGTGTCTATCAATCAGTCAGTGTCCTTGGAAGGAAATATCCTTTTGTCTATGGGAAACCTCCGCGTGGTGACGGATTAAGAACACGGAGCGTTACCACCCTTTTCATTCCGTGGGTGTTGTAAGAGCCGACAAACTACGCAAGACAACAGCACTGCAAAGAAAAGGAAAGCTTGAAACTAACCCTATACCAACCCGTCTTGCCAGCTTGATATAGTAGGCCAAAACCTCTCTTCTGACGAGAGTCCAAAATGTCCAGCAGTAGACTATTAACTGTTGATGATTGATGAGTAATAGGAAATATATAGATACTACGATCGTAGAGCTACCTAGCATTCTGGTCAGTCTTCTGTAGAGAAAAGGTCCCCTTTTTCTCTAAGTAGAATTCGATTCTCGGACACAAGAAGACGCAAATGGGCCGATTCGACCGATGCGATACGGCTTACATAAAACCGGCGTGAAGCAATAAGGGCGATAGACGACCAACTACCCTTATTCTTGTTCGTGCGGAGCCACTGAAAACGAAGGGTG